ATTAGTACAATGATTAGTACAATTGATGGTATCTGTGATGTTGTTGAAATAGATACCAAGCCGGTCCATATCAGCAAGGCAGAGCAAAAAGGAGTTGGGGTTTGAAGGACGTGGAACGTGATCCTTCCGAGGGTGTGTTAAGGGCGACTGTGCCGAGGGAGTGGATGGCGTCGCTGTTGCCGAATTTGATGGAGGCCTGGCCGGATGTGGAGCTGTCGAGAGCTACAGAAGGGTCTTCTCGTTGTAGGGCGATGTACTGAGAGTATCCTGCTGTGGAAAATGTTGCTGCACCTGTGTCGATCATGATACCTTGAATCTATCCCTTGAATAGCGATCTTCAATAATAAATTGCGAGGCTGGAACAACGGTTTGATCCGTCTGATAGACGTCTTCTCCTGTGATCAAATGATTGAATGCCTGTTGACAGAGCATTTGGCTTGCTTGCCATTGTTCCGGGTGATCGTTGGTGCTATTGTCATGTTCTTCCCATGTATCTTCAGTGTCATCAAAGCTGCTCATCTCATGACCTTCGTAGTCTAGAATATAGCCTCCGATGTCCGTGAGTTGTACACCTATGAAGTGACATTGAGTGATATGTTGGTCCTTGGCCTTTTGCCGTTCATCCGTAGAGTGTTTAGTTGACCAACAGCCTTCTTGTCCACAAACAAAACACTTCTTCGTCCAGTTTCGGTTACTGTAGCTATGATTGTAGTTACTACGGCTTTGAGGCCGGTAGTTTCCACGGTTGTAGCTTTGTCTGTATCCGCGGCTGGGTCGTTGACCTGAATATCCGTATCTACCTCGAGAGCGGTTGTTATTGTATCGACGGTCGAGGTAGTACTGATGGTGTGGATCGTTATGATCAAATGATCCAGCAAAGTCAAGGGAAATTGAGAAGTTGTTATGAGGGCAAGATGGGTTTCAACGGATGCACGAAGATCTGCAAGAAGGTGCTCGACGTTATCGGCGGGTTTGAAAGAGCGTATTGGAGTTCGGGTACTCCACGGCATGCTTTCATAAGCGTTGTACGCAGTTGGAGGTCTCCTGCGTACTCCCTGCCAAGGGCTCGTTGGCAGAGCTGAAGCTTATCAAAGAGGATTTGAAGCACTTCGTGGGGGGTCTTCGAAGCATCTTGGGCACGGATGGAGTTGAAGGTTATTGTTGTCCAGTCAGTATGGTAGTGGACATGGTTGACTTCCGTGTCAAAGTGTTGTTTGAAGATATCATACGCTTGTCGGAACGTCGTAGCCCATGTGATCTTATCAAGATAGAATCTTTGGGCTCTTCCATCAAGGATCCGGGAAAGAGTGCGTGAAATTGTGATGGTTTCACTGGGATATGAGAGCAGTTGCTTAAGAAGAGGCGGAGCTTATCATCAAGGAGATCGTACGGCTCTCCTGTGTAGTTCCGATCTTTGTTCCAGGTCTTCATAAACTTCTGCTGGATGTCGCTATCGACGATAGCGTTCGGGATGTTATCCGGGGGGAGTTTCATGTATTCTCCAAAGGTTGCAGGGCCGGATAAGTGTTCGGGGATGGAGTTGGTGACGGGTTGGACGAGATCGGGGTTCTGGAAGCGGTAGGAAGTCGGATGAATAGTAAGAGGTCGGAGCAGGTTTATCTTGGATAGTCGGAGCAGGAGTAGGTGCGTTAGGAGGGCTCGTTAGGGTCTTAATAGGTTGTGGTTCGTTAAGACCTTGATGAGGTGCTGCTAAGGGCGTAACTGATGGTGAAGGAGGTTGAGACGGATGGGGATTAGTGGAAGCATTTGATCCTAGTAATGCTGTCTGCCTCCTGAAGGCAGCAGTCCTCTCATCAAACACCATCTCCGTAAACTCCTGCTCTGGCCAGGTTTGTGGGTTCTCGATAGTTTGTAATATGAGAAATTGTGTTGCGAATTCCCCCCTTGTGAACCTGTGTAGATACCTCTTTCCTTAGTAGTTTCCTGAGGGCTCTCTTGTATTCATTCGGGGCGCGGTCCCATGTGTCTTCGGTCCATTCTTCAAAATGCTGTTGGAAGTAACCAAGGAGGTCGTATCCTTGATCACTGCCAGATTGAACGATGAATATGAACTTTGCCACATATGTCGTTACTGCGATCTTGTCCTTTTCGTCGTGTGTGATATCGTTGTCCCAAAGGTCGATATTAATTTGTCGGAATGCGGATGCTTGGATGTCTAGTGCCTGCATCTGGTCGCATATTTCTTCGAGCTGGGCTTCTGGGGACATAGCTCGGGCGGTCAGGGCTATCGTGATCAAATGAATGAGACGATGTGGGGTTCGTATTGGTCTCTTCGTATACGAGTTGTCGCTAATAGGAGGTCGAGCGTCGCGTACTAAGTAGGTCGTTCGCGGCCAGACTGAACTGACGGGGATCTTGCTACTTAACGTCAAGGGTCGAACGTTCTTACTAGTTGTTTGCGATGTGGTCGCCTGTCGATTCCGGTGCTCACGGCTAGGCAAACTAGCGGGCGATCGTAATCAACAGTTGGAAGGACTCTCGCGCGGCTGGGCAAACCAGCGGGGAGATTCCTTGTTCTTAGCACAAATAACCTTCTTCTGAGCGCTACTCAGGGCCACAGTAAAGTGACGCGGACTATAGCACCTTCGAAGGTTGAGGAATTTGTCTCTTCTACTTAGCTGTCTGTGACGGGCGTGGGCGGTCACTGATCAGTGTGGGTAGGCACCTGCGGCAGCTGCTGCAATGAGACGGTACTAGGGTTAACCTGTGATGTTGTATTCGTCTTGTTCTCTATCTAAGGAGGCAGAGGCCAGCGTGGAGAAAGGGGGCACGCTGCCCTCAGCCGCACACGTGACCGTACGGGTCACGTGCCAACCATGGTTGGTCACACCACTAGATAGATACATTCCTACACTACTAATATATTAGTACTATATACCTAAGTACTTTATTAGCCTATACCTCCTAGTAGTGCTTTTATACTAATATACCTATCCTTATTAGTTTATCTATCCTTTAGTATATCCTCTTAATCTAGTTAATTAGTTCTTATATCTATAGTTAGCTCTATATTACCTAATACCTTATCTTTACCTCTCTTACCTATAGTAAGAGTATCGCTTACTCTATCTTTAGCTAGGTATTAGGCTCTCCTATTACTACTCCCGGCCGCCCTTAGGCCTATTCTCCCCCCTCTAAGTTATTAGGATATCTATATTATATCCTTTAAGTCCGATCTCTCTCTAGGCTTTATAGCCTTATTTAAAAAGAGCTTTAAATATATTAAGGACTAGCGTATACTTAGCGTAGTAGTATAGGGCCGAATAATTATTTATCTAAAGCTAAGGAGAAAGGAGGAAAACTCTATCTTAGTCGCGATAGCTATCTATCTTCCCTAGTCCCTAGCTCGACTTATATTTAGGTACTATTTAGCCTAAGTTTAGGTCGAGCTTTATCTATACGTAGGTCTACTTTAGCCCGACTTTAGTACGGTCGCTATAGTATAACCCTAGCTCTCTATAAGCATAGCCTATAATACTTTACTAGATTAAGCTAGCTATATATATTTACTTAATAAAGTACCTCTTTAAACTATATAAGGTAGGCTAGAATTACTTTACTTTACTTTTAATAGAGTATTATAAGCTCTTAGCTTATTAACTTAGCTATATTAGGTTTATTATAATTAATATAAAGCTTTATAAGGAGGTTAGCTAGTCTATTTATATTAATATATATAAGTAATAAGAGATACCTTTATAGGTATAAGGATCGGCTTATATAAAGATAGTTAAATTAAGTATAAATATCCCTTATTATAGCGCTATTAATATAAAGCTTTACTTTTATATAAAGTAGCTATAGCTTAAGCTCTATAAAGGAGCTATTAAACTTATTAAGGCATAGGAGTACCGCTCTTAGTTATATAGAGCCCTATTATTATAAGAGGCTCTTAATTACTTAAGTAAACTAAGTATTACTTTTACTTTAATTTTATAACTATAGGAGTATAGATATTTTATATATATATATATATTAGCGCGGGCGGTTTAACTAAACTAGGTAATTAAAAGTCGGCTTTAAAGGTAGCTAGAAATAGATATTCTATATATAGGGATATAAAGAGGGTAAAATAAAGGGCAGATTATACTATTATAAAGTAAGTAAAGGTATAAGCTTAAGTATAGTTTATTAAAAGAAGGTTAATAATCTATAAGGGGGAAAAGAAAGAGAAGTATAGGCCTAGTATATATAGATATAAAGGCCGCTTATATATAGACTTAGCTTAGACCCTAGTCTAAGCCTATATAGGGTAAAAGCCCTTATATATATAGCTTAAACTACCTTAAAAGGTATTTTCTTAAGTATTTTAAGTATATATAATTATATATACCTTAAGTTATAGCTAGCTATATTAAGCTTAAGAGTATAACTAAGTAATAAACTAAGATCTATATATATTAAATATAATAGTATTTAATATTATATTTATAGTATAAATAAAGGAAATATTACTATTAATAATAAGTAAATTAAAAAAATAAAATTTTAGTTAAACTATAATAAATAGATATTTAAAAAGGTTTTATAAGAATCTTAATAAGATTTCTATTAAATATCTATAGTTACTTATTATATTTCTAAGATATTCTCTTTATATCTTTATTAAGATATTTAAAGATATTTAGTAAAAAAAACTTAAAATATATCTAAGATTTATATATAGTTATACTAGAGCGCTACCTATATATAAAGTAGTTTTTAATAATAATAAAGGTATAGTAAAGTTAAGCTTAATATATATAGAAGTTATTCTAATTATAAATTTATAGTCGGCTTAACTACTATAAAAAGCGGGTCGCTGGTCGGGCTACTAGGGGGGGATGGTCCGCTTGACCACGTACTCCGCATTTTCCTTCGCGTCCCTCGTGCTTGGTCAGCCTCCTGTCGTCCTCAACATGATTCAAGCTGTCCATTCCGATACCCCCCTGCACAGGACATAGGCGAAGAGCTTCTTCCATAACGGCATCATCGAAATCATGAGCGGTCCCATCAACATCGGCTCCACCGGCGAGTGGCAGTCGCTGCTCTCCAACACCAGCATTGTCGTCGCAGACTGTACAAACACGTTTGCCCTCGATGCGTCGAATGATGACACGGAAGAAGAAACTGACACCCTCATAGTCTACGCCGACTGGTGCGGCCCTTGCAAGATGATTTCGCCTCACTTCGAGCGGCTCTCCAAGGAACACTCGCGCCCGAAGAAGGTGGCCTTTGCCAAGGTCAACGTCGACAGCCAATCCGCCATAGCGCGCACGCAATCCGTCTCGGCCATGCCCACCTTCAAGATCTTCCACGCCGGCCAGTGCGTCGACACCATCCAGGGCGCAAATCCACCCGCCCTCGCAGAGGCCGTGACACGCGCGCTCAAGCTCGCCGACGCGGGCGGGAAGCCCGGCGCCGCCTACAAGACGCCCGGCCGCACCCTCGGCGGGGCGTCGCCGTCCCGGGGCGGCGGCATGGGCCTTGGCGCGTGGAACTTGAGCGGCCTCGTCAACATGCTCGTTGCGTTTGTGGGGCTGTATCTCATCTCTCTGTTTTCGGTACGTCACCCAAAGCACGGCGAGTGCCATAACCTGACTGGTCTCGTTTCGCAGTTTGATGCGCGCAAGGCGGCAGAGTCGTCATGGTTCAACGTCCACAAGAAGCCTACACCGCAGAAGCGGACATCCTCAGGAGCGGCGCCAGCTGGACCAGCGCGGCCGCCACAGAAACCCGCCTTCCGGACGCTGGCTGACCTGGGCTCGGAGTGAGTGTTGACTGGGGAGCGATAGAGGCTGGGCGGGCTGCAAGGCGTTGGGGATGGGAATACAATCAATTCTTTGGGCCGTCTTTGCTTGTGACTATCATACATTTTTGGACTGCAAAGACGCTTGTTACGACGCTCGTTGGCTTTGCCAGCCTTGCTTTATAGCACTTGAAATGCAAACTTTGATTCAGTTTGCACTCTCCGTCGCTCGTATGCCTGTTTTGCTCCTCCCCGGGCCTTGGTCGCAAACGGGTGAGGGCATGCGTGCACTCTCGAGCCCATTCTGGCCTCTGCCTCGAACATGATTGTGATGCAACCACGTCTGTCTCTTGCCTTGTGAGTTCAAGCTCTATTATAGTCATTTATCCGTGATTCAGGATGGAGATTGCCAAGCCGAGAGGGCAGAACTGGTGCGGGGGGTACGTGTTTGCATGGCTCGCACCGCCGATTCTGGCTACGTCACCAATCGTGAATAGCCTCACAACCACCAAAAAAAAATTTCAGAACATCACGAAATTGCCTCGCCACAGCTCAATTCGGGCTCCAAAAAAGCCAAAAAAAGAACCATTCACTTCCCCCAGGCCCGGAGAGCCGGTCGTGTCGGGCACCTCCGGGGAGACTCTAACCCCACGCGTCACTCCGATATGTGTCGACCCTGCTCCTGGACCACAACCAGTGCGCTAAGAATCACATCCGCGTTCGTCCCCTGATTCCCGGACCGGCGACCAATTAAGGTAACAGTGACAGGGAGGGAAGGAGTGTGGCTCGTGACCATTACCGTTCGGCCACCCGTGTTGGGAATTTTGGATTTTTTTTCGTATATAAGGGTTGCTGCGGAGAACGGCGCGGGTCTGTTGCGTGTGCTGGCAACGGGGCAGCGGTGGCGGTGCTGAAGCTGTTCAGTTGCTGTGCGCAGGCTCCAGCACGTGCTGCTCTGCTTGGCCGCGACGCACCACACTGTTACCCCGTCTCTTCCAGAGCCCCTGAAGGTAGGGCCTGCATCATCACCGCCTCAGCCATCTCGTGGTCGATGAAGGAGGTCATGGCCAGGGAGGACCAGGCTACCCACCGAGGACGAGCAGCTGCCCTTGTCTTCTATTAGCATTGCTGCAGGGTCTTCGATCTGTCACCCAGGCGGCATTTCTTTCTCTGCAACGCTGAGACTTGTGTCATTGTGCGCGATGCCAGCGGGCGGTGGCCTGCAATGCCTCGGACATTGGTCGCCACAAAAGTATGGCGCACAAGCATTCTGATGCACAGAGATAATGATGTTGTGAGACTGGCCTTTGGTTCAAAGAGATATAGATAGTTGTCCACGAAGGGTATCAGCTCAGGTCTAGCAGTCGTCAGCCAGGCACTCAAAGGCCAAGGATGGTACTGATGCCCACGAAATCTTTCAAGGCCGTACCACCCATTCAGGGTGGTCGTCTTCTCACAGAGCACCGAGACTGGACATGAGAGCAAGCGGCTTCAGAAGGAGGCCGGGAATGAGCGATTTCACGACAAGGTTGCCTTGGAAGAGTACAAAGAAACGAAACAGAATCAAGTGATCAAGTAGGCACAAGGTCGGCCCGGCGGCCCAACTGCGCCATGATAAAGGTATTCATAATTGCTATGGAAAGCCAAGATGGAGGCGAGGCTTGTTAAAGGAGGAATGAAGTTGGAGGGAGAGACAAGGTCTGTGGAGTCGCAAAGTTGGATGGACCCTCCCTGTAAGCCAATCGCCGCCCAGCAATTACACAATATCGATCACGTGACGCCCTCCGACAAGGATAAAGTGCCGTCCATACTCTGCAGCTCCAGAGCTCTTTGACAAAGCATGCACCCCATCATGCTTCCATTGAAGCGCTTGCATGGCCTTCCTCCAAGGGCCAGCTGTAAATTTCCGCTGTTTCTCAGACGTTGCATTAGCTACACCTCTCTCCCACTTGCGCAACTGGTCTCTTCTCGGTCCCGAACTCTCCAACGCAGCAATCGCATGCATGACCGCTCATTCACGAGTTCTGCATATTTCCGGGTGGACGAACCGACGAAAGATGACATCAAGACACCAGATGATATCGAACGGACAGTCCGGGAAGCAGCGGAACGATGGAAAGACACGCTGCCCAAAGACTATCTCGGCCCCGAAGAATTAGCCCTCTACGAACGACTCTATGGCCCGCCTTTGCGAGAAACGGAGCCAGAAGATGTAGGCATCCCAGCGCATGCCGATATGGGTGCCCCGGTATCCCAACCACAAAACGGCCCAACGCTTTTGGGGACAGCCGAGGACGGACAATTCGAGGAAGTAGAATACGAGACCGCAGACGACCAAGCCTCGCAAGATCAAGCAACTGCGTCGGCTGAGGGGGCTACTCTGGAAGCTGTGGACCAAGCACCGACATACGTCGACGCTGTGGCAAGGAACCCGAGAGAGCACGCCGCGTTGCTGAAGCTATCGCAAGATTTTGAGGCGGCGCAAAGAAAGCAGAGGGAAAGAGAGCAAAGCGCTGCGGTGCAGGAGAGCGAGGCGGATGACCAAGACACGTCTGAACAGTGGCCTCCTGAAGAAGAGTGGGACGACGGCGACTACAGGTCGGGACAGCGTCGACGGTTCCACCGGCACACCCTCCAAGGGCATTTCCATGAAAGCCCGGTTGAGATACTGCTTCCAAAGGAGCACTTTGTGGAGCCGATACGCGAGCTACTGGCTCGGTCGAATCCTGGCCATGTCAAGACAGCAGCCGAAGAGGCCTTTGGCGGACGAGGGCTGCCGACCTCACCGACGACGCCCGCAGGCCTAAGGAAGGGTAAGATGGTCGGGGTCGGGCTCCATCCGGACAAGCGACACATGACGGAGATTCAGGCCGACGCATTTGTCGCCGGCTACCTGCCTCCCGCGTACGCTTCCGTCCTGTCGATCCTCCGCGAGGTGCGGAGGCGCCTCGGAAGCCACTGGCTGCAATCGCGATTGAAGATGGGCCAGGATGGTGGTCTGAGTGTCTTGGATGTTGGCGGCGCCGGCGCCGGCTTGGTCGCATGGGAAGAGGTGCTCCGCGCCGAGTGGGAGGTGCTGAAGGAAAATGGAGAGGTGGGCGGCGAGCATCCCCCACAGTGGAAGAAGACGGCAGTCATCGGATCTGAGCGGTTACGCAACCGTGTCAAAGTCTTCCTCGAGAACACAACCTTTTTGCCGCGACTGCCGGACTACGAGCACTCGGGCGAAACTCAGGGAGAGCATCTCGATGCGGGAGATACGCCTCAGCCGCGCAAGCAGTACGACATTATCATTGCTTCGCACCTGTTTCTCCAGGAGCAGGTCGGCCATCGGCGGCAGGCCGTGCTGAACAGCCTCTGGAGCACGTTGAGCAAGGACGGAGGCATCCTGATTGTCATTGAGAAGCCGCATCCTCGTGGCTTCGAGGCCATGGCGCACGTCCGCGACACGGTGCTCAAGCAGTTCCTCCTACCCGAGTCTGGCGAGCCAAACGTCGACCCAAAGAACTTCAATCCAGCATTCCATCGCGAGCAAGAGCCCGGACACGTCATTGCGCCGTGCACAAGTCAAGGGACGTGTCCCATGTACAAGGAGCCCGGCGAAAGCCAGGGTCGCAAAGATGCATGCCACTTTCACCAGCGGTTTGTGCAGCCGTCGTTTTACATGAGCGTTGTGGGTGGCGGCAAAGGTCGCAACCAGGGCGACGTGCGTTTTAGCTACGTGGCCATCCGCCGGGGCGTGCCAAAGCCGAGTCCCCTGAGCGGCAAGGAGGCCACGCGCAGGGCATTTGACGGCTACGAAAAGTCGCAAGAGACGCCTCACATGCAGACGCTGCCGAGGTTGATCCTGCAGCCGCTGAAGCGCACGCGGCACATCACCATGGACGTGTGCACTGCCGAAGGGAACCTGGAGAGATGGACGGTGCCGAAAAGTTACAGCAAGCAAGCCTACCACGACGCGCGAAAGTCGCAATGGGGAGACTTGTGGGCCCTGGGGGCCAAGACGCGGATATGTCGCCGGGTGCGGGTTGGGCGAGGCGTGGAGAAGCGGGACAAGGGATCGGGGAAGAAGCCGCACAAGGTGGCGGTGACGATGGAGGGCGGGCGGATGTACACCAAGGAGAAGAACAGGTACCGAGATGGGCCGCGGGAAAGGGGCGGTAAAAAGAAAGATGCGGTGCAGGAGCTGATGGAGGCTGAAGAGCGGGAAGAAGCCATGATATCACGAGAAATCGATGAGGAGGCCGAGGAAGACGAGGAAGACGAGGACGAGTTCCCCAGGCGCAGCAAGCAAGGGAAGAGGAGGAGAAGATGAGAGCGAGATGGTGTGTAAAGATATGTGTATATCCCACAATGGGGCCCCTTTGGCTGTAAAACTCATCTACATTCCATGCTCTTGTCTTCCAAGTAGTTCGTTTCGTGATAATAGGAGAGGTGACATTAATAAGCTGAGGTGGGCAAGCCTTGATGAGTCGTGTCGCGCGGCTGCGTGAGCCAGGCAGACAAACCTACGTGCTTGAGGAGCGACTCCCTCGTGGTTCATTCTGGCCAAGTCACGGGTGAAGCCCGGCTCGGACAAACATGGAGCTGAAGCGGCACGGGCATGGGACTGCTCCTTTCCAAGAGGAACGTAAATGTAACTCTCTCTGGTAAGGCCGAGACCAGCCAGCAGCATCAAGGATCGCCAACGAGCCCAACATCACCTGGCGCACTCGAGCCTCTTCAGCCGGGGGCGCCACGCCTTGAACTGTAATTCCAGGGACAAGATTGAACGCAAATGAATGAACTACTGGCGGCGGCTTGATTTAGCCAATGCGGACTAGATGATCGACAGGCTGCCTCAGAGGCTGAATGATTTGGGTCTCAATCGGGCTGAGGCGCCTGCAGGGCTCGGGCTGGTCCCGGCTGCTCAAGAAGTGTCGGAGCTGGTGGCTCTGCGGCCTGCCTAATGAGGCAACTTCACGAGGATCAGATGGATGAGCCCCAAAGAGAGGATCAAAGAGATGTGTGTGTGTGTGTGTGAAGCTGTCTGCGATGTGCCATTCGGGGAATATTCTCCTGGCCCTGCATATCTGGGTCCCTGTACGTGACAAATCCCGTGACCCTTTCAATTCAGATCTGACAGGAAGCGGCTGGAACTCGTCCCGTTACTAATTCTCTCCGGGCAAATTCTTTGCCTGGCTTCTTCCTGGGGATGGCTATACGTATAAGAGACGGGTATATACTCCATGATATAGGTACATTTGCGTTTCTACTCCATCTATTTCAAGACGTGATAATAATTATTCTTTATCCTGGAACAATAGGACAAGTGGCATTAATAAGCAAACGCACGTCCGCCCGACGCCCGCCGACGACCCGAAGCCGGGATTATGTGCATACGGTAATGCGGCGGGGGTGATTGGTGGCCCTTTCCGGGGAGACGATGGCGTCAGATTTGGCACGGATTGGCAAGTGCGAGAAAACTGGGGAAAGGAAAGCACGTCGCATTCAACCGTTGGCGGCGGACGAGGAGTAGAAGAAAGGGGGGCAAGAAAGAAAAAGCCAAAACTACCCTCGCAATTTTGGAAGCTCTTTGGCTCTTCTTTCCGTTTCTTCTCTTTGAGCTGAACAAGTTGTGAATGGTGGGACGGAGTGCCAGAAGCTGTTTGCTTCGAAGAGAGGCACACACACAGAGGTGCCGAGGCTCACCAGGTGACCGGCCAGACACGACCACCGAGACGGAAACAGACGTCGTCAACCATCATCGCGTCTTGAATTGAGCTGAGCAGACTGAGCCGAGTCTCATCGACACCTCCCGTCGCCAGATTGGACGGGCGCGCCCCGGGCGGCGAGCCTCGGACCAACTCACCCACATCCGGACCCCCCGAGGCGGAAGAAGGACAGGGAGAACAGAAAATGGCCTCGTCCGCGGCGCCAACTGCCCCCCCCGGCGCCAACGCCATGCTCGCAGGCCTCCTGTGCCGCGACAACGTCCACCTCGTCATCGGCGCCGGCTCCCTCGCCGCCACCCGCTGCACCCAGTCCCTGGCCGCCGGCGCGCGACCGGTGCTCATCGCGCCCGGCTGCGACGACGACTTGCACCACGCGCTGCGCGCCAGGATCGACGAGGGCGCCGTGCGGTGGGAGAACAAGGCCTTTACAGACGACGACCTGTTCACCCTCGGAAGGCCCGACGTCGACGGCGTCGTCGATGCCGTCTTCGTCACCAGGGGCCGCAACGGCCGCGGCCCTCACACGCAGGAAGCCGCCCGCATCGCCGCCCTGTGTCGCCGCCACCGCGTGCCCGTCAACGTCGTCGACGCCCCCGCGCTGTGCACCTTCACCCTGCTCTCGGTCCACGCCGACGGGCCGCTGCAGGTGGGCGTCTCCACGAGCGGCAACGGCTGCAAGCTTGCGTCGCGCATTCGCCGCGAGGTTGCCGCGTCGCTGCCGCGCGGCCTGGGCCTGGCGTGCGCGCGCCTGGGCGAGGTGCGCAGGCGCGTCTACGGCCTTGACGATGATGATGGCGGTGGTGGTGGTGGTGGTGGTGGTGATGGTGGTGGTGGCGGCCAGCTCGACGACTCGCTTGGCCAGTGCGCGCGCTTTAATAGGCTCGTCACGCCGGATGACGATGAAGACGTGCGCGGTAGGAGGATGCGCTGGCTAGGCCAGGTCTGCGAGTACTGGCCCCTCAAGAAACTTGCCACCATTGCCGACGACGACGTCGACCGCCTCCTCGCCACCTGTCCAGGCTTCACCGACGCCGACGACGACAACGACCCCACCAACCCCCCCAGAACCGGCAAACTCATCCTCGCCGGCAGCGGCCCCGGCCATCCGTCGCTGCTGACCCGCGCCACCCTCGCCGCCATGCAGCGCGCCGACGTCGTCCTGGCCGACAAGCTCGTCCCCTCGGCCGTGCTCGACCTGATCCCGCGCCGCGTCCCCGTCCACATCGCCCGCAAGTTCCCCGGCAACGCCGACCGCGCCCAGGACGAGCTGCTCGAGGCCGCCCTCGCCGGCGTGCGCGCCGGCCGCTGCGTCCTGCGCCTCAAGCAGGGCGACCCCTTTCTCTACGGCCGCGGCGGCGAGGAGCTGGCCTGGTTCCGCGAGAGGGGGCTCGCCCACCGCGTCGCCGTCCTGCCCGGCGTCACCAGCGCCCTGAGCGCGCCCTTGTTCGCCGGCATCCCCGTTACCCAGCGCGACGTGGCCGACCAGGTCCTCGTCTGCACCGGCACCGGCAAGAAGGGGAAGCCACCCGCTCCCCCTGCCTACGTCGCCACTCGCACCGTCGTCTTCCTCATGGCCCTGCACCGCATCACCGGCCTTGTCGCCGAGCTCACCACCCACCTTGACCCGGAAACCCCCGACCTCGTCGTTCCCCAGGACATCGCCGCCGACAAGGGGCGCGCCCTCTGGCCCCCGACCACCCCTTGCGCCGTCGTCGAGCGCGCCAGCTGTCCCGACCAGCGCGTCATCCGCACCACCCTCGCCCACGTCGCCCAGGCCGTCGACGCAGAGGGCAGCCGCCCGCCCGGCCTGCTCGTCGTCGGCGCCGCCTGCGAGGTGCTGTACTCGCCACCAGACCGCGACGCACAAGACCCACGGCCTCCCTGGATCGTTGAAGAAGGCTTCCGCGGGCTCGACGATGTGGACGACATGAACGCTAGCTTCGGCATCGACCTCGACGACAAGCATCACTCGCCTGTGCCCGAGGCAGCGGTGCGCGTCGGCGAAGCATGACCGAAACGCCACGTACACACACAGGCGCCCGTCCGCACGTGGGCGGGATACACCATGCTCCCTACAGTGAGTGAGGTGACTGAGAGTGTGTGTGTGTGTGTTTGTAGGAGAGTGCGTGCGGGTACGAAATCTAAATGGATTAGATTGATTGTACCTTGTTCAGCCTTGTTTCACGCCGGCCAGGGATCGCCGGCCAGGGATCACAATGACCAGAAAGCCACAGTGTTTTACCAGTCTTAGCGCCCTGCCATGGTCGCCTCTGTCGGCCATTGTCTTCTCGAAGCGAATTGTTCATGTTCTCAGCCGTCATCTAATTAGATAGCACTGTACATAGCCTTCAGCTGCATCGCCCTGTTTCAAGAACTCCATCATGACCCCGACACCCACAATGTGATGCACCTTTCGCGAAAAGTAAGGAAAAGGAACGCGCAACCATCTCAAGTAGATAGGCTCTGTAAAAATTCCAGTCATGCTTGTCTGATGCGACGCTATATCGTGACTCAATGTGCACTCGAGCATTTCTCTATACAACTCGCCTGGCATGACCCCCGCCAAAATGATAAAAGAGAGTAATAAGTTAGAACATGAAGCGAAAGAGTAGAATCCGGGGCAAGTGACGCTGTACTGTCGCTTGGTTCGGAATATATACAACCCAAGCAGAGAAACGAAGATGATAAAAATCCAAAGATGGCTCCAAAATCACCACGTAAAGCTCTCCTCGATAAAGTCCACCACGGTGTCGCCTTGTACTGCTCGTACTGCGCCTCGTACGTCGTCTGCCAGGCCACCTGGTCCGCACACGCTCACCGACATAGCTCCAATCTGGTCCTGCACCTCTTTGTTCAGCAGCAGGTGAATGTTTGGCCGTCCCGGGAACATCTTGACAGAGGTACTAGCGCTGACAATATCGCGCGGGTTTTGCGGACGCGTGACAAAGATGTGGATCCGGAGTAAATCCTTGCGGCTCGGTATCCGCAAAATCATGTCCATGTATGGACGCACCCACTCTAGAGATTCATATGTTCGGACGATCCAAACAAGAGTCACTCTCCTCGTTGCAACCATGCCTTCGCTGTGGCCTTCTAGCAGATGTCGAACGTGGGAGATTTGGTGGGTGATGCCCGTCGAGCCGGCAAAAAGGACGACGTGGCCGTACGAGTCGAGATTGTGATGTCCGGCATAGGGTCCTTCCATGGCCGCCCTCAGATGAATGCCCTTGAGCGACTGGCAAGCCCGGTCGTACAGCAAGCGAGTCGCTCCAGTCTGGGCGGCGATGAGGAAGGACACCGAGGTGGTTGCCGTCTTGCGGTCAAGTTTGTTGGTGAGCGGGTCCTTTTCCGAGGTAGGAAGAGCCTTGGCGGCTTCGTGGTCGACCCAGGCAATCGAAAACGGATGGCTTTCCCAAGGACGGATACCCCAAAAGCGCAGGTAGGCGTGTGTTCCTGCCTCGATGTCGACGTATCGCGGAACACGAAGCGTCACACGAGTCACCTCGCCAGGCAGAGCCTCACAATGCGCCTCGGTGAAGCCTCTGTTGGACCAGTTGGTAAAGGCGAGACGGAGGACTCGGGCCACACGATCGGCGGCCCAGAGCGCGGCGACGGCGATGGCCCACGACAGCGGAGGTACCTTGGCTGTCGCGCAGTGTATCCAGGTGCAGCCAATCGCGACGAGGGCGAACAGAATGTGGAGGTTGAGAAATGTTTCGTAGAAGGCGTGGCGGACAGGTGAGAGGGAGAGCAAGAGCAACAAGACCATAGAAATGGTGCCAATGGTGCCAGATCCGATGAAGAGGCTCTTGAAGAGCTTTGCCCACGTGGCTTCCCAGCCCTTGTGAGCGACGGCGGGGATCGCCCAGGCAACCGTATGAACGACCACCTCGACGACAATGATGCGGCCCATCCAGCGGTGTAGCAGATTGTAAGTGTCGAAGCTAATCTTTAGCAATGAGATCAGGGGGTTATTGCGGCCGGCCATGATGATGAGGGGTATCATGTTGACGACTGCGAGGGTGCCGGAGCGCCCGCGCAGCTCGGCACACGCGGCATACTTGTTCCCGACGGACCAGTCGATGATGAACATGTAGGCCGCATTGCTGCTCACAAAGAGGAAGAGCAGCAACGTGTGCAGCCGCGACGGCAAGGTGCCGACATTTACGGCCGACGAGAGACGAAACTCACGGTTGTGGCGCTTTCTCAGGAGCGGAGCGTAGGTTAGATGCTTCTTGAGCGAGGGCATCCAGCTCCATTGAGAAATCTTCCAGTAGCCTTGCTTGTCGCGCGGCTGCGACATGGCCGACACTTGACGCAGCTTTGCCCATAGGATCTCCAGGATCCGTATGCCAAGGACGATCAAGGCGACGATGCCCAAGCTCCACCACAGGATATCTTTGAAGAGCATGTTCATCGGCTGATTGACTCCATTTAGCGCCGTGTAATACGGGGCGATGGTTGAGCTGGGTTGTACCTCTTCCCGAGAGCTACCAGCCTCTCTGATCTGTAGTGACGGTGTTGGCTCCATGATGTCGGTGATGGCTGTGATGGCTGTGATGGCGATCCCGCGCCAGAACAGCGGAAAAGACCGGACGGAGGCTGTATTTCTCGACGGCGGCGAAGGAGGGAGGAAGCCCGAGGATCAACACAGAAGACGCCCAGGCAATGAACGAAGAGAGAATACGCGAGCAAACAATCGGGCAGGAGAGGCAATCCCTTGTCGCGCGGCTCCTTGGAGAGGCGTTGGTGTTCAGTGGTCGAGTCGCTATTGTTTGTCGAGTGCGGGTGGTGTTCAGTTATTGACCCGAACAGGCGTCGAGTACAAGCCCGGGAAGAAAGGAGAAGTACCTGTCCCGCTAAGTTTTTCCACAGGCCGTCATCATGTGTCTGTGACAAAAGAGGAACAGGGCATGACAGGAAAAAAGTCGGTGACGTCTCAAACGTGGTCTCCCAATGGGTGGCTGCCGAGGGCAGTACTGTAGATCGGCGCGGCGAGGGCTGGGTTGCTAGAGTATCCACACAAGATAAACCCAGATGTGTGGACCAGGTGCAGGCCCCGGCGAGGATGTATGCAGCGGCTGGTCCGTGACGATGGGAGCACCGACCAGCCTCCAGGAGCTGATTGGGGCAGATGACGACGCGTTGTGTCGCGATGGCTGGCCAGTGAAGAGTCGGCGGGTGCTGGAGATGGTGTGAGCCGGGATCAAACGAGCGTCGATGAAACGAAGCCGCGGTAAGGTCGACAAAGAGTGAGAGTGAGAGAGCGTCGAGGATTAAGAGCGGTATTTTGGTTGTGTTTTTTCCTTGTTTTTCTTTTCGAGGGCCACGGTTTCAAGTGCGTTGGCCCAGCCGCCGAGTCTGGATGACAGGTGTGGTGGCGTGTTTGGTTTGGCCGATGTTGAGTGAATCAGAATGAAACAGTCCGTCGGCGTTTGTTTACATTCGACGACGCCCGCCAGCCGCAAGGAGAAATGTCAAAGCGCCAACTGCCCAAGGCGTTCGGGGCACGAGAGAAAGGTTAAAGGAAAGGAATGCAGATGATGCGGTGCGCGGGACACGGAGAAGAAGAACGAAGGAAAGGGAGGGGGCGAGCAGGGAGAAAGGGGGGGGGTCAGTAAAAGGACAGCCCCTATGTACAGCAGTTGAACCAGCGTCCACTAGCAGCCAGACACTGAACGCCCCTTGGCGAGTAGGATGGGAGGGACGGGCACAAGGGACGACGGGCTACAGGCCGTCTACCAGATGACGAGATGACGCGGGCGCGGCCCCTTGGAAAGTGGTTGGATTCCGCCAAAGCTCGAGGGGACTTGGAGCACGGTCAACTGACCGAGGATCCGTACCTTGGCAACTGGGGCAAGGGCACAGGCTGGGGGCTTCCGCCCGCGCCGTCTTGCCAGCTGCCCACTTTGCTCGCCCTCACAGGCGGTCGCGTCTCCGCTGGGGAGTCGTCTGCCCCTGGCCCCTTGCAGGCCAAGACGGGATTATGCAGCGCCTGCCCGCTGATGAGCAGACGGCTCCTGGCCAATCAGGGCTCACACGTACCTTGACACTAAGGCAGGCGGCGACGATCCATGCACAGATCGCAGGCGGTCCTCGAGCCACCGGCCCACTGAAATGGGCCCATTGAAAAGGATACCTGGGACAGGCTGCCTACCCTTGTACCCTGCCGGATCGCTCTAGGTACGTACTTGCTCTTTCAGTCTAGGCAGGTAGGTATGGGCCGAGGCCGTTTCCAAGGAGCCACAGGGGAGTAGCGTCCAGGCTGTGCCCATGCGTAATAAGACATCTCTCCTCTGCACCTGGACATGAAGCGACCAAGGGGGTGTGTTTCTCCAAGCCAAAAGCCTCCATCCGTTGTCCACGAATCTCTGTGCTCCTTGCCCAGGCACCAGGGGGGGGTTTGCAAGGGACAGGCAGAGATTACCGGTACAAGACAAACAGGCAGGCGCGACAGGCACTGCTCGGTACAGAGTACTTGTCGAGGAGCGAGGTTCCCAGCGGCCACCATGCACTGTAACATACAACGGCTGTGTGGCGCCTACCCGCGGACGCCATCCTTGGCCGCCGTCGAACCGCGCGGTCCGCTTCGTACACATGCTCACTCGTGGGCTGTGACAAATGTCCGGACTAGGGTTACGAGGCAGCCCATCCTGCTGCTACAGGGTTGGCGGCCAAGGCACCAGTCCTGCGTCTTGGCAGTTGAGGGGGGTAATAAAGCTTGGTTGAGACAACCGCTAGCTCCTCCCAAAGAGCCGCGATGGCGAGCACAGGCGACGAAGAAGCAAAATGGAAGCAAAGCCGGCAGTGCGGCACTGCACCGCACTGTCTGTACCGAGCACCGTGCTTGCTTGCTTCTTCGACGGGAGGGAGCCTCACAGGTCGGCCTGCACCGCACGCGCCCCCTCCCCGCAGATACAAGGTGCATGCAGACATTCTCATGCAGGCACAACGAGGCGGCTTCGCAGCAGATGCCGGTGATGGCGACATTTGAGAGGCTGGTTGTCATCCCCTCCTGAAACCAGCCACGGGCTGGAGTCACTGATCGTAGGCGAGCAGTTTTGGCAGCGAGCAGGGGTCGATCGTATTGGAGGGAGGGGCAGGGCGGTCGCTCACTCTCGGGGCAAAAAAGAATCCATGGATGGTGAGTGAGGATTGACCCTGTTGGCGGCCGCTCGCCTGGGCATCGTTGGGGGGGTCTCGGCGCTAATCTAACGCACCGGCGGCACTCCAGCGTGTGCTCAAGTACCTCTCCGCATGTATTACCGCCGGAGATACCTCGTACCGCCCAAGCCTCCCTGGCCACTCGACGGCTTGCCAGCCCCGGCCGGCGGGGGCCGATAGGGACGTGATACTAATAATTAAGCAACTCGATCCACACGGCCGCCGCGGTTACTCGGCACCCAGCAACAGCGCAAAGGCGTTTGCTCAAAACGTAGGTGGCCCGAATACAAACTCTGTCATCCAGTCGACACTGTCGTCCAGTCACTCAGTCAAAGAAAAAGGGGTCCCCTCCTCGGCCGATCGCTCTGCACGCGCCTCCGTTACTTGTCCCGCGTTTTCCCGCCGCCTCGACTCTCGAGTTGACGTCTTTGTGAATTATCCCTCACCCGGCAACGTCACCCGGCTCTGCCCTGTCTGTCGGCTCTGCCCTGTCTGTCGGCCGGATTGACTGCTGCCGAGAATCACGCGGCCAACGTGCTCACCGTAGCCCCCCCCCCTTGGTTTGATCCGGGCAAAGGGACCAGGAGCATGCGTCCGTGGTCCCACTCGAGGCCGATTATCACATCACCGCGACACGCAAGCCTGTCCTCTGTTTCATCAGTATGCAAGTCATGGCCAGATGTCTGCACTGTTGGCAGCGCCTGCACCAGGGGAGCTTTCACCGGGGGAGCTTTCACCGGGGGAGTGCCTGAGCCCGAAGTTGAATCCCTGACCACCAACACCGCTCCGGCCCCGTACAATACCCCATCCATAGGCCATCGACTGCGCCAACACTCGATATACCAGTAGCACCGGATCCCTCATCGTTTCACAGTGAGTCCATCTTCCACAAATGACTTGCATGCACGTACTCTACAGTGTCTGCACTGTATGTGTATGTTCACCCTCCACGTCCAGGGGGGAGTGCTTCGTGATAGCCCGTCTTATCTCTTGACTCTCCTTTGGCTGTCTTGCGCGGGACAATAGCGTGCTGTCTCCCGTCTGATTCTGAACTTCCCGGGTCCCGACCCCTCTTGTCGCACCCCGTGACCCTGTTTGCTAACTCAACGGGCGATTCTTCTCGATGGGCTGCTGACTGGCATCGATAAGGGGCTAGACGGTCGCGCAGCCACACGTTCCCACTGGGGCGGGCCCAGCCACACGCAGGCCTGTGGATGATGTTGCGTTGCGGCCTCAGGCACCAACAATGATCTCTCCAGGGGCCTCTGCCCAGTGACGCAGCCGAACTCTAGCCGGCCTCCCGGAAAATTCAAGGCCGCCGACCGAGAGCTCAAGCTCATCACGAGCTCCGGAGTCCCAACGCCCCGACTCACTGCCATCGAGCCCGCCGCCATGGGTGCCAGCAACTCCAAGCAAGACGCTCGAGGCGGTTACGAGTGGAAGACGTACGTCCTGCTCCATTGGCCGGCAATCCAGAGTGCGCTAACGAGTTGCGACCGAAAAATTACAGCTCAGGCCCGCCCAACGTCTCCCTCGATGTCCTCGAGTCCCTGCAAACGAGCCCTGAGGTACTACACGCCCGCGTGCCCGGCCTCCCCCTCCCCCCCCTTCCTGACCTGCCCTTCCGCAGGCCACGTCCCAGGCGACCCGATCCCCCTCCCTTGGCAACCAATGGTGCTGGTACGGCGGCTAACGTTGTGCTGGCCCAGACCGACGCCTCGCGCGCCAAGCTGATGGAGCAGCACGTCCAAGCTCGTGTCGCCGAGGAACTGAAGAAGCTGCAGCGGCTCGAATCCGAGGCCCTCCGACTCGCCCACGAGAAGATTGCCTCGCAGGCCACAGGTGAGGACGCGACGGGCCCCAGCCGGCACACGGTTAGCAAGGAGGTCGAGGAGCTGCGGCACAAGCTCGAGGGGCGCAAACAGCTGCGCGCGCTGCCGGATGGCGTCGAGAGTGCCCGGAGCGAGGTGACCCGCTGTCTGCGCGAAAACGACCGGCGGCCGCTCGACTGCTGGCAGGAGGTGGAAAAGTTCAAGGCCGAGGTCAAGAAGCTGGAGAGGGGGTGGGTAGACAAGGTTATATCATAGAGCGTCGGCAGCATGGTCGGTTACGATGAACTTTGAGCGCTGCTGCTTTTGCTCCGTGCTGTTCACTGACGGCGAGCATTGATCGGCTACTCGCAGGGACGGGATGGCATTTTGTGTCTGCGGACCAGGCGAGCTATTGAAGAGAGAAATCTGTATAGTACAACGTCGACGCTGGCATCAGCTGCATGGAGCTACATTCCACAAGCCTGAGGTAAGGGTATTCTTCCACCTCGACTGTTCCTCTTTCTTCTCATGCGCACGTTCGCGGACGCCCAGATGCTTTGGGCACATTCGACATGATATGGTTACAGGGCGACACGCAGAGCAAGCAGCGACAGTGCTCGGCTATCTCGTGCGCCGCAAACAGGTAGCCCCTGCTGGACTCGTCTTGTCATGCTCACCTTCGGCCGCCGTCCAGCAGTGGCAAGTGGGTCATGTCGGATCTGGCATCGTTACAGACTCTACCGCCGGCCCATCACTTGGTGCACATTCGCCTGTCTTCTCAGCCGCCAAGGCCGCCTTTCTCCTCAAGCCCTCAGCACGCTTCCGCTCCCTCCTCGTCGCGGCGTCCTCCCACTCGCGGCCCGCCATCGACTCCGGCGCCCTGACGGCGTCGAGGAAGGCGGCGCGGAACCTCTCGATGCGCCTGGTGTTCTCGGAAAAGCGCTCGTCGGCGACGGCGCGCAGCGTCTCGAGGAGGTCGGCGGAGACGAGCCAGCAGCGTTGCCCGCCGGGCGTCTCGTAGCCGATGAGCGACTCGAAGCCCAGCCCGAGGGAGCGGATGGCGACCATGGGCGTGGCGGGCTGCGTGTCGTTGGGCGGCGTCAGGCTGACGGCTCCAGACTCGCGGAAGCCGGCTTGGAGGCCGGCGCGGAGGAGGGCTTGGGCGTGGGCCGTCGAGGCGGCGAGCACGTGAAGGATCTGGACGAGGGCAGACGTGTCAGTCAGGCCGATGCTCCCTGGCTCGTCGACCAGGGACCAGGGCTCAGTGGTGCTCACCATGGGTTCGAATTTAAAGTGTATCAATCTCCGTTCCGCGCCCACGTGGGAACCACCCTGTCCTACGGCAGACTCGCTGAATCCCAGCACGTCGAGCCAGCACGCGCGTCCGTCCTGGCCGCCACGAGGAACAGGCTCATGCGACACATACAGCCACGTCCCTCCGGCGCCCTTGCCGCCAACCCCAGCTCTCTGCTCCCGCTGCCGCTCATCGTCGTCCGGCGTCGTCTTCTTGGTCCTCCTCCCCTCGAGAAAGACGCTCACGCGCCCCGCGCAACTGCTGGTGGTGACGAAGCCCTCTGCGCAGTTGACCTCGTCGATGAGATGGCGGATGCCCGCGTCGACGGAGCCCTTGGGCGAGGCGTCCGAGTACTCGGCGTCTGGCAGGGCGAGCTGGTGCAGGATGCCGGCCTTTTTGTCGCAAAAGGCGGTCGTTGGCGCAGGGAGCCCGCGCTTCTGCTGCATCGCCGGCCCGAAGAGGGTTCTACCTACCCGTGCGCGGCAATGGGCGGGCCGATGCTGGTCCAAGTAGCGGCGGGATGAGAGACGGGTTCGCGGAGCATTGGGGTCTCGGCAAGTCGTTTGGTGCAACGATCGATCGAAGTTGGGTGCAGACGGCGGCCCCACAGCCGGAGGCTGGGTTGATTGGCTAGATCTGGTTTCTCAACATGAGTGCAAGGGACTAGGCGTCATTCCAATCTCTAGCAATAAACGGATGGTAGGGGTGCACACAGGTGGTAGGACATCATGCTGTGACACCGGCACCGAATATTCAAACACAGAAGGTTGAGCATCTCCCTCGTACGAAGCCAAAGAGTATGAGTTTCTTTGACATGCATCAAGCTGCTCGTCAATCTCTTCCTTGAAAATCCTGCCAGTTCCCGTGTTGCACTGATACGCAAGCTCAGGGATGCGGGCTGGTCACTTATAGTCGCACCATATTGAGCATAGACACCAGCATATCGCCGAGCCGAACTTGCATCGTCAGGCTGACCCCCTCCCGAGAGCTAGACAGACTTGTTGTTGTTCCGAGTCGAGTTCGCGGTATGCCTGAATCCGTCTCCAGGCCGAATGGTTTGACAGTCAAGCAGACCGCACATTTCTCGGTAAAACTTGAAGACATGCGTGGTTTAGGCAGGACTTGATGACAAGATGACTTCCCGGAAAACGCACCAAGTTGACTGCTGTCATGGCCAAACTACACAGGGACTGGACGCGCGGGTGAAGACATGAGGGGTCAGAGTTGTGTATCCTCATAGATGGATGCAGACGACTGCCAACAGGCCCTAACCGTGAGGTCGGTTTAGCATCTAGGGTAGCCGGCCGCACACCCGGCTCATTGCATACAGGCGGGGTTTCTGCGGCTCGGCGCATCTTGACGCTTGCACGAGACAACATCAGGCCTTGGCATGACCGGATACTCGACGCCTCACGAACCAAGACGCCTTCATCGTCCCAGACTGATTGATATCTGTTCTACCATGTACGGCACGCAGCGCCCACTGCCTTCTCTGCGCACCACGAGCCCGGCAGACAGACGCAGACGGCCTCGCAACTCCTTCCCTTGAATGAAAGCAAATGCTACCCGTGATACCAGCGGTGTCAAAAGCCTTGTCGGCTGCACATGGCGATCCGAACTCCCGTTGAAAATGCCCGACAAATCATTTGCGTCGTTAGCGGTCGCCCCCATCCTCTCGTTCCAGCAGCACGAGCGTGCGCGTGGGTCTTGTCCCGTCTCTCCTTCTTTTCCTCCTCAACACGCGTCCATCAGACGGGCGCCACCACTTGACCGCCCGACTCGTCCTTCTGGCCCGGCTCCCCGGCGAACTGGGCGTACCTCGACTTCCGGTTGTGGATGCCGCACTCCGTCTTGGACTGGCCCTTCCAGCGCCCGGCACGCTCATCCTCGCCCTCGCCGACGGGGCTCGTCGAGTGCCAGTCGCCGATGGACTTGTACCCCCGGTCCAGGAGCACGTTGTACGGCACCTTGTTCTGCTTGATGTACTCGTTGACCTGCGCAAAGGTCCAGGTGGCCATGGGGTTGATCTTGATGATGCCGCGCTCGTCGTCAAACTCGATGACGGGGATGGACCCGCGGGCGGCGCCTTGAGACCGACGACGGCCGTTGAGGACGGCGGCGACCTTGAGCTCGTCGTACGCCCGCTCTAGGGGCTCGACCTTGACGATCCAGTCGTACATATCCCCGGCGACCTTGTACAGCTCCTCGCCGTACGTATCCTCGAACTCCTTGGCCGTCTCGGCAGCGTGCGGCTTGAACACGTGGACGGTGACGTCGGGATGCCGCTCCTTGACGCGGTCGACTAGGTCGTGCGTCTCCCGGAAGTGGTACAGGGTGTCGAGAAAGATGAGGTCGACGGGCTTGGAGCCTGGGTTCTCGTGCTGAATCTTGGACAGCATGTCGAGAGTGGCGAGGCCGGTCAGACCAAAGGCCGTCGACTGGTACAGGTTGGGGAACATGACTTTGCAGAAGCGGAGGATGTCCATTGGATGCATGGGCTCCATCTGCTGGTTGAGGTACTGGACGTGCTCCTTGGTGAGGGAGACATTGGGGCGAGACCTCTTGGAGGGCGACGGCGAGTAGTCGGAGTGGCCCGAGACGTATCCCGACTCGATGTCGTTGTGGTCCATCTTGTCGTCGACGATTTTGGCAGACGACGGGGTGGTGGTTGGTTGGGCCATGGGAGGGAGAATGGTCGCAGGTATTGGTTCCGGAGCACTACGAGGAGTTGGACGGCAAGACGGAAAGCCAAGCTGAGTATCTTTGTCTCTGTATTTGATGTCGAATGGCCAAGTGATTATTCAGGGGTGACGAGAAAAATGCTGATGAATGGTTCGACAGACAGCCTGTTGCTCGACAGGATACGGCAAGAGGAAGAAGGGCCGTCAGAAGATATATGTGCGGGGAGAAGAGCAGAAACTTGATTTCAAAGACAAGAGGACAAGAGAGGCAGAGCGAGCTACGGGTTCGGGTTGGATGGAAGTTGGCCCGTTTTGAAAGGGAAGGGAGAGAACGGGGGGGGCCTGACTAATTACAGACGGCTCCATGCTGCTCCCGCATTGGAAAAGAAGAGGAGGGAAATTGGGCTGGCCCGGGGGCATTGCGCAAGCGCATCCTGGAGCATCTCGGGGCGTTTGGACTGCGTCTGGGAACGATCACGACATCGACGCCATTGCTTCCGCGATGGACGCAAGGGCGGCTGTGATTGGCCAAGGCCGATGTTTAGGGTTCGGAGCATCGGGGTACGTACCTTTGCTTTGCCTCTGGTCACTGTGGTCAAGACCACTCTTGCGGTGCCGGGCCGCACTTGGGCAAGGCGTTGAAGAAGGATTGTTGTTTTTCTTCTCCATCTCTATGCACATGCCGTGGGCTGCAGTCCTTGGTCGAGCAAAGACGTGGACGTTGCAATGGCAATGGCATGTTGGGCATGCCCCGTCCTGTGCGACCAAGCACCCGGACAGACGGGAGAGGAACGCTTACACATAACTCACAATTGGCTTTCCAGGCGATTTACCCGTCCGTTACCGTGGGTACTGGAGGCACGGAGTTCGGCCATGACGTGGTGGCGATGAGCTTGTTAATCCCTTAAACTCCGACTCACGCCGCACCGACCCGATGACAAAGAAACAGTTGCGGGGACGGCATTCAGGAGCCGGGAGCAAGGGGAAGAGGGAGAGAGGGCAGGGCAAGCACAGATGCTTGACTGAGCTGAGAGCAGAAACGCATCCGTGGAGCCATGGAGCACGTCATCTCGCCAAGGCTCCGATGTCAGCAACAACCGGGGACACCGCTTCCAGAGTTCCAGAGAGGCTGTATGTATGTAGATACTTTGTTCATGAATTAGCTCTGCCACGCTTTCGGCTCGTCGGCGCACACGCGGGAGTCGGGCACAGAGTACAAACGGCTTTGTCGGTCAGAGGAGGAGGAGGATGCAGCCTGTTCGAGTCGTCCTTGGTTGGCGAGCGGGGCCGACGTTGGACTCTCTCAACAAGTGTCGCTCGCCTAAATGCGGCCCGGAGACGGCGATTCTCGGTGTTTTGCAGACCAGCGGGATTGCTGTCCTCGCCGTGGTACAGGAGAACAATGCTGCCTGTCCTGCGGCTTGCCGACCAGCCACGCACGAGTCACGTCCCACGGCATTTCGCGAAGGCAGCGTCCCCGGGGGCTCCGTGTTGCGGGTAGGCGGTCCAAGCCTGTGCCCGGCCATCAGCCCTGGCCTCTGCGCGCCTCGTGGCAGCGTGTTGGGTCCATAACTGGGGGGCCCTCGTGGGGGAGAGGAGAGTCAATCAGTCAAATACCTACGACGGGGGGGGGGAACCAACCAGACATGACCTCATGTCTAATACGCGCGCTAACAAGCTGTCAGTGACCCACCATGTCTGTCAAGCCTGCATGCGTCGTATCTACAACAACGGCATCTTTCTCTGATACCTCCAGTAGGGAAAAAATTAGCTCGCCGCGGCCAGTCCCTGTGTGGACTCTCTGGCAGATAGTACTTAGGTATAAGGTAAGGTATTGATTCTTGTCGCCCAGGCGGGCGGGCTGGTGGAGTGAGGCCAGTCGAGCTTGGCTTAGCGGCAAGCCAGCCTCCAACGGCCGGCGGGGCACGGCGCTGGAAACACCCGTCAGACACCTTCGGGGGTCCCCTGAAGAAGAGGGGAAGAATTTCCACCTCGACGAGAGAATCTCTGCCAACAGCCAGCCAGTCAGTCAGTCCACTGCGGCGCCGACGTCGACGACGTTTGTTCTCCGCCACGGCTGGAAACCCTCCCGCCATCCATCCTCTCAACCAAGCCAAGTGAGCGATTTTGCGCCCTGCGCCATCCTTGACTGCCGCCTGCTTGCCTCTCGACTCTCTCCCCCAAGACTCTTCCACCCACACGCGCCCCATCATGGCCGACACGGCGAGGCACCCGGCTGCTGCTGTCCGTCCCCAGCTCACGGCCTCGATGCGCAGCAGCTCCTACCTGAGCGACCACCAGCAATACCGCCCCCCCCGGCAGCCCGAGTCGCACCACGGCATCGACACCGTCGTCGCCGATGTGCGCGCCGCCTCGGTCAGCCCCCAGCCCCCCAAGTCCGCCCTGCCCTTCAACGGCATCCCCTCCGAGGACAACCCCCCGACGATAGTCGAGAGCGGCGTCAGCCACAGCTTCTCCCATCCCAACTGCGCCCCGGCCTCGGGCCGCAAGACGGATCGCCTCGTCGCCACCCTCTTCTACAAGGCCCCCGCCCCGAATGCCTCGTCCCCCTTGCCGCTCCGGTCCCGCATGGCCGACAGCAGCGAGTCTCTCCCGGCCAACATGGCTCCGACCTCGAGCATGGATTCCTTCCCGCTTGAGCCCCCCACCCAGGAGTCGGAGCAGTTGGACCACCTGTACGGCTCGTACATCTCGCCTCTCTGTCTCACCTCCTTTCTGCACCTCATGTCCACCTTTCCCCAGCCCTCGGCCGCCGATCAGCCGCACTCATCGCACCGCTGCCTCGACAGCCAGGAGAACCCCCGCGTCGTCGAGCTGACTCTGGATCCGGCCCCGTCTCCCAAGTACCTGAGCCTTTCGGACCTGCGCAAGCATGAGATGATATACCGCTTCGAGAGGGAGTGGAACGTTGACGTCGCCCTGCAGCGTGACCTCGTCTGGAGACGACACCCCCGCCTCGTCGTCTTTGACATGGACAGCACTCTCATCACCCAGGAGGCCATCGAGCTCCTCGCCGACACCGTCACGGACCAGCCCGACCTGGCTGCGCGTGTCGCCAAAATCACAGACCGGGCCATGCACGGCGAGCTGGAATTCGAGGCCTCATTCCGCGAGCGCCTTGCCTTGCTCAAGGGCGTCAATGCCTCCGTCTTCCATCATCTCCGGTCAGTCATCGACGTGACCCCGGGCGCTGCCGCCCTCATCAAAGCCCTGAACCGCCTCGGCGTCAAGACGGCCGTCCTCTCTGGCGGCTTTCAGCCCCTGGCGGATTGGCTCGCCAACCACCTGGGCATCGACTATGCCTACGCCAACGAGGTCGTTGTTGCCGACGGCAAGCTCACGGGCGAGGCCAAGGGGACCATTGTGGGCAAGGAGCGCAAGCATGATCTCCTCGTCGAAATTGCTGCCAAGGAGAAGATTGACCTGGCGCAGGTCGTGGCCGTAGGCGACGGCGCCAACGACCTGCTCATGATGGACAAGGCGGGGCTCGGTGTGGCGTGGAGGGCCAAGCCGCGCGTGCAGATGGAGGCGGACGCGCGGCTCAACGGCGACAGCCTGTTGGACTTGCTGTTCCTCTTCGGCTTCACGAGTGAGGAAATTGGCATGCTCGTCGAGTGAGTGCGGATGCGGAGCGGAGAGACGATGATGTGCGATGACAGTTGGTTTTGAGGAGCGTTTCCCATTGAATGTAGGTGGTGTGAGTTTCCGAGGCTGTGGGAGAGGGGTTATGCGTTGTTTGCCCGATTCGATTGTTGTAGGCTGTTAGGATACCATGGCGTCAGCCAGTTCGCAGTATGAATCCTGCCGACTGGCATATTTGGAGACTCGGACCATATAAAACACGGGCCGAAGCAAGTCAGAGCATGCGAGTGCATAAAGGGACATTTTTGATATCGGGGCCAGGTTGATCCAATGTTTGGATCCCAACTGTACAGGTTCAAGTCTACACGCATGCGTCTCCTCGCGTATGCCTCCGCCCCTCCCTGTCCACCGTGGTATGGCCACGGCATGCAATCCCGTCTTCCGTATCGTGCTCGAGGCCGTCCGTGGCCCTCCTTACGGGTATCCGTCCTTGCCCCACTTGTTGTACTTGTCGTGCAGCTCCCGGGGGAGAGTGACGTCGGGGACAACGACGACGTTGAGCGCGCTGGGGGCGTCCCTGGGCTCCTTGCTGGGGTCGCCGCCCGGGTGGTACTTGTACTTGCCCTGGGCGTCGGCGTCGCCCTCCCAGGGCATGCCGCCTTTGGCGATGTGGACGGGGGACTCGGAGGTGGATCCCGTCGGGCTTTGGCCTGGTGTCAGAGAGTTAACGGCTTGCTATGCTCTTCACGCTCTAAGGGGGCCGGCATACCTAGGTAGTAACCAGCACCGCCGAGAGCAGCAACCATGACGCCGCCGAGGATCTATGTTGCTGTCAGCCGCTGATTCGATGCATGCACGTTCGGGACGCAAAATCTGTCGGGGTGCAAAAGCTGGCAACGACGCACCATAAGCTCGGGGTTGCGCTTGGTCTCGCGCTTGAGCTCCGCCTTGCTCTCGGCCTGGAACCGACGAGCGGTGGTGGAGAGGAGACGACGGGTGACGCTTGAGGCCATGGTGATGGGAAGGGACGACGGTGGTTTCGGCGAGAAGTCCACTGAGTGAGGTTGAAGAGGCGGAGAGGGCGTGGAATTGGCTGTGCCTTGCAGCAGGACTGACGTTATGAAGATTCTCGTATGATGATGCTCCGGGCTCGGCTGGGGCGGGTTTGGCAGCACGCCATTGGCTAATGGGATGGAGAGAGGTTATATCACGTGCGAGGTCACGCGTTGAATCCAGGCCGTGTGGGGAAGTGGGGGGTTGTGTCATGGGTACGGAGTACATGTTGGTCCAACAGAGACGCGAGAGCCAATGCCAATGCCGCGTGTAACTACGTATCTTCGGAGATGCCGAACGGTGCATCTAAAAGGTAGATGATGCTTCACCCACTTTACGTCTTTTACCCAAGAGAATATGTCGTCCAACAGCGGGCCTTTGATTGTACCGGTATCTGTATGCCACTGCGGATGGCCAAGGCACTGACAGCGGTGGACGGAGGCGTGACAGTAAACGCGACAAATGCTGTCGGATCCCTGTAGATCAGAGGGGGAGGAGCCGGCGGGCGGCTATCGGAGGAGTTGATGCCGCCGAGGCTGTGGATTGAATGTCCCAGAGTGCCGTGTCCATGAACTACATTTCAGCAGTGAAAAAGTGGTAATTAATGGTTAATGTCAACATGAAAAGAGAGAGGGGGAGAGAGAGGGACGGCGCTTTGTACAGTACCACCAGGCCCCGGCAGCAGCCAATTAGCCCCTTACATGGGCCCCAAGGCCATGTGGTATGTACATAGGTACCAAGGAATGTACGTAGGCTGATAGGTAATCCATGGAAAGTCTCCCTCCCACCCACTCTTTTTTCACCACTGGCCCGTCGCGCCGCGGCCGAAGCGCAAGTTCCAAACACCAAGGGGGGGACGAGAGCGAGAGACAGACGAGAGGAAAAAGAAAGGAAGAGAAAAAGACAAGCCTCTCACTTGTGCTGCGTTTCATTTTCCGCCACCGCCATTCGCTCCTTTTGTGGCTCCTGCCCTTGGCCGACTTCATTTGTCCTTCACCTCTCGTCTTGCTCCCCACGCCTTTCTTTTCTTCGGCCACTCTCCTTCTCGACGACGTCTCGCCATCTCCTCTTCTTCCTCTTCTCCGATTCTCCATTCTCCTGCGACCCTACAACCAGGCTCTCTGGCGCCTCGACGTCGATATACGCTGCACAACAAGCCATAGCGACGACCCGGCTGCGATACCCCGACGATTTGATCCATTCGCCGACTCTTACGATATCCTGCGTCCCGTCTGCGGCTCTCGTCCATCATCTCCGGCTCCCGCCCGCTTCCTTGTTGCCTTCAAGATCCTAGACTATGTCATAGCGCAACGGCCCACTGCTGGCTCCTCGCATCACCACCATGGAGATTCCAGATTCTGACGACCGTCCCACGCCCTCCGGCGGCTTCCCCTATCCTGGTCGGCTTCCTCGTCCTGATAGTGTTGTTTCGTCCCGCATGACGGACCTGGGGAGCGACGACGGCAGCGACGCGAGGCAGCAACGCCGGCCCGGCACGAGCCAGCCGAGGGGAACAGATGTGAGCTCGCGACCCGCCACGGCACGGACGGGCGCTTCCTCGAAAGCTCCTTGGCCAACCCAGTCCAGACGCCAGAGCAACACGCTTGGCTTGCCCAGCAAGAGGGGTAGCATCGCCAGCGTGAGCAACGCTTCCGCCGGGCGGGCACCGAGCTTGACCAACAAGACTCACGTCCCATCCATCACGTCGAATGCCTTTTACCGACCCATGAGCTCGCAGAAGCTGCAAGCCCAGCGAGGCGGCACACCGAGGCCACCAACTTCGACCCAGTCGTCGCAAGCGCAGCAACACATCAACGATCTCGATGACGCCGCAACGGACCTGGGCGGCAGCGTCATCGACGAGAATGCGGCCGCGCACAATACCACTCCACGGCGCCAGCGTCGCACGAGCGGCGACAACAACATGCGAGTGCCGTTTCGGGGTGTGGGCATGGCCGAGCAGGAGAACTTTGATCGCATCACGGCCAACACGAGCCCCTCCCACGGCCACAATGCCAACGGCAGTCAGTCGGATAGCGATCGGCCACTGCGGCAAACGTCAAATGCGCGCACTCGCCCGACCATCGATGTGGACAAGTCCTTCAAGGATCTTGGAAGCCTGCCGAGCCCCATCAAGTCGTCGCGCTCCTTCCGATCAAGCTTTCTCCTGCCCAGTAGGAGCGACCCAGGACGGGCTAGTCAGAATCGAAGCACAGAGGGCGCGGAAAAGCTGACGTCCAACAACTCGTCTCCTCGCCTGCGCCCCGTCGACTCTCCCTCTCAACCGAGACCGCGGCCTTTCCAGCCTCCGAGCCAGAGCAAGAGCCAGGGGCGCGTCTACCAGTACTTTGATGGAAACACAATCTTCTGTCTCGGCGGCCGGTGGCAAAACACAAAACACAGGCCAATCAACGTCGCCACAGGTCTCTTCGTCGTCATCCCATGTGTGCTCTTTTTCATCTTTGAAGCCCCATGGCTTTGGCGCAACATTTCGCCCGCGATTCCCATCACCTTTGCCTACCTCACGTATATATGCGTCTCATCCTTCATCCACGCCTCCGTCTCGGACCCCGGGGTAAGTAGTGCCGCTCAACGCCAGTCTCCGAGGTGTTCCCTTGTGCTAACCTGGACAGATCTTGCCTCGCAATCTCCACCGGTTCCCCCCCGTATACGACCATGATGACCCCTTGCGCGTCGGTCCTCCCACCAACGACTGGACGCTGATAAAATCGGCCGAGGGCAGCGCCGCAGCCATGGAAGTCCCCGTCAAGCACTGCCGGACTTGCAACATCTGGCGGCCGCCCCGCGCTCACCACTGCCGCCTCTGCGACAACTGCATCGAGACGCACGACCATCACTGCGTCTGGCTCAACAACTGTGTTGGGAAGCGCAACTACCGCTACTTCTTCACGTTTGTCACCTCTGCGACCTTTTTGGCCGCATATCTCGTCGCCACCAGTCTTGTCCAGGTGCTTGTCCACATGGGGCGGGAGCAAATCCCCTTTGCGGAAGCCATTGACCAATTCCGTGTTCCCTTTGCCCTCGCCATCATGGGCTTCATCGAGTTTCTGTATCCCGCCGCCTTGATGGGGTATCACCTGTTCTTGATGGCGCGGGGGGAGACGACGCGGGAGTACATGAACTCGCACAAGTTTGCCAAGAAGGAGCGGTACCGGGCGTTCAGCCAAGGGAGCATCGCGAGAAACCTCATGGCCGTGCTCTGTCGCCCGCGGCTGCCGACGTACTACCGCTTCAAGACCAAGTACCAGCAGGGCGACCAGCGACTCGGGGTTCGCCGGAGCCACCGCGCGCGGAAGAACTCGCAGGGGCTCGAGATGGACTCGGTCCAGCCCGGATCGTCACGGGGGTTCCAGGGGCCGGTGGCGCTGCGAGAGCAGACTCAGGGATGAGGAATGTGCGTGTCCTTGACGTGTGAGGTTGACTAACATTGTTTGCCCGACTTTCTACTGGTTCATCTTTCTATTCGGTGTTCTTTATTTCGGGGGAGGGCAACAAAATTTAGCTGCGGCTCGATGCCCTGGGATCATGAGGGGACCCATCTTTACCAGGTGTGGGCACATTTATAATGCGTTGCGTCTAGTATACCCTCTGCGACTGTATCGTTAGCTTCTTCTCTTCTTGGTCTTCCTCCTTGTTCTTTTTTCAGAAGGAAGTGTATGTATATGCTGTTGTGTGCTCGTGGCAACGGATGGTCAGGTCCAGCAGGGGCGGATCTAGACTTAATGGACCCCTGAATCTTGGTGCAGACCGAATCTTGTCTTGGCCGTCGTTGTAGAATTGGCATGACACGCGTGCGCGTGGAACTTCCAGGCCAGCGCACTCGCTTGGATATCATGCGAAAAGTAACGTATGCCGTTGGGGCTCTAGAACAAGCAGCTCGGCTGGGGTACAGTCTCGGATGAATCGCCGGACTGGTAGGCATACGGAAACAAGAGTGTCTTGAATGTTGATGCGAGTTGGTAGAGATTGTCGCGAACGTCGTGGTGATGTTACAGGGTAGGCTGGCGGGGTTAGCCGAGTACCCACTGAGATAGGAGGATAGGGGGTCTCAGCGCCTTCGATAAGCGGAAGAAAAAAAACTTCGAGGCGCCCGCCTAGTTCAAAGCCGGTTCCAGGAGGGTACATGGCATATGTCAGCAGCAATTAAGGGCGGTTGTCTGAGATCCGTCTCCCTCTCCGTCTCCCACTCTCCCTTTTCCTCTCTCTCCCAGACGTACAGAGGATAACCGAGCGGCACCACCCTGCGCTGCCACTGCTGCTGCTACCAGACTCGTCACCAGAGTCAGCAGACGACAGCGACACAGCGCAACTGGGCCGCGATGCCTCACCCCGTCTCGCCGCCGACCATGGTGTCCCAAGACGCCCCTCCCCCGCCATCCCACGAGGACGTGTCGGCCCTTATCAAGACCATCTTCACGGCCCAGACGTCGGCTGCCTCGGTCGACGCCAGCTATGGCCTCTGCAGCCTGCTGCTCAACTCGGTCGGCTTCGTCGGTCTGCAGCAGCACGGCGTCCTGGCCGAGATCAAAAAGGCCGCCTCGGACAAGAAGAACGGCCTCCGCCGGGAGAGCGCCCAGAACCTCCTCGGCGCCATCTTGGAGCGCTTCCCCCCGAAGCAACCCATCAGCGAGGTCGTCTTTCTGTGCCAGGAGGACGGCCTGCTGGCCTGTGCCCTCGACGCACTCGCCGACAAGGGCGCCGTCGTCCGCGAGGCTGCCCAGTATGGCCTTGATGCCCTCTTTGCCAACCTAAGCCCCGAGGCTCTCGTCACTGGTCTGCTGCCCGTCCTCTGCCAGTACCTCGCCAAGAGGACGGGCAAGTGGCAGGGCACCGTCGGCGCCTACAAGATGCTGCAGAAGATGGCCGACAAGGCGCAAATGTCCATGGGCACCACCAAGGAGGAGGCTGCCGACAAGGACGTGCTGCGCGAGGTCATGGGCGCCAAGCTGGCTGGCTTGATTCCCCTTGTCGAGGGCGGCATGCACGATCTCAAGGCCGAGGTGGAGAAGCAGGCCGTTCAGACCATGAACTCGCTCACGACACTGCTCTCCAACGACGACGTCGCCCCCAGGATACCTCTCCTCGTCGACACCATGCAGCACCCCTCGACCCAGACCCTGCAAAAGGCCATCCACGCCCTGTCTCAGACCACCTTTGTCGCCATCGTCACCTCGCCCGTCCTGGCTCTGCTGACGCCCTTTCTCGAGAGGTCCCTCAACTCGCCCAACACCGCCCAGGAGGTCCTGCGCCAGACCGTCGTCATCGTCGAGAACCTGACCAAGCTCGTCCACGACCCCATCGAGGCCAGGACCTTCTTGCCCAAGCTCACCCCGGGTGTCAAGGGCGTCTGTGATCGCGCCTCTCTCCCTGAGGTGCGCGAGCTGGCCAACCGAGCCCTGGCCACCATGGAAAAGGCCATGGGCAACGATCAGGACATCGTCGCGCGCACTACTCCTGATGATGTGGCCAAGGTTCTCGACGAGCACATCAAGAAGAACAATGGGCTCACGGGCGGCCTGGACATTTACAAGCTAGCGCGTCCCTATATCTGCGACATGGTGGCGACCGATGTCAACTATCGCTTCGTCACCCGCGTCTCGGACCGCATCGCCCCGTATCTGCAGCCCCTGATGTGCGAGGCTGGAGCCCACCAAAAGGTCGGCGATGCGGTGCAGCGCTACTACGTCGACGAGGACCACCGCCGATACGGCGTCCCCGAAAAGGAGGACGACGGCGAGGTGGAGATTGTCGACGCCGACTTTTCTCTGGCCTACGGAGGGATGTTGCTACTCTCGCACACGAATCTGCGCCTTCTCAAGGGCCACCGCTACGGCCTGTGCGGACGCAACGGCGCTGGAAAGTCTACGTTGATGAGGAGCATCGCCAACGGCAAGCTCGAGGGCTTCCCTTCCCAAGACGTCCTCCGCACCTGTTACGTGGAGCATAACCAGGGCGAGGACGCCGACATCAGCATCCTTGAGTTCGTCTCCAAGGACCCCACCATCGCCCCCCAGGGTACCAAGCGCATTTCCGAAGTCTTGACCGAGTTTGGTTTCACGCCCGGGCCCGAGGGCCGCCAGGCTCAAAAAGTCGGGTCCCTCTCGGGCGGGTGGAAGATGAAGCTCGCTCTGGCGCGTGCCATGCTGCAAAAGGCCGACGTTCTCCTGCTGGACGAACCGACGAACCATCTTGACGTGACCAACATTGCGTGGCTCGAAAATTACCTCAAGACGCACACCGAAATCACCAGCCTCATCGTCTCTCACGACTCTGGTTTCCTGGACAACGTGACGACTGACATTTACCACTACGAGCCCAACAAGAAGCTGGCGTGCTACAAGGGCAACTTGGCGAGCTTTGTCAAGATCCGGCCGGAAGCCAAGAGCTACTACACCCTCTCGGCGTCCAACGTGCAGTTCAAGTTCCCTCCTCCCGGTATCCTGACGGGCGTCAAGTCGCAGACGCGAGCCATCATCCGCATGACCAACGTCTCGTACACGTACCCCAAGGCGCCGAAGCCGTCGCTGTCAGACGTCTCCTGCCAGCTCACCCTGTCGTCTCGAGTTGCCATCATTGGACCAAACGGAGCGGGCAAATCGACGCTCATCAAGATTCTCACTGGCGAGGTCATCCCCTCCATAGGCAAGGTGGAGAAGCACCCCAACCTGCGCATCGGCTACATCAAGCAGCACGCGCTCGAGCACGTCGAGATGCACCTGGAGAAGACGCCGAATCAGTACCTCCAATGGCGTTATGCTCACGGCGACGATCGCGAGGTCCACATGAAGCAGACTCGCGTCTTGTCTGACAAGGACCGGGAGCAGATGGACAAGTGGGTCGACCTGAAGGATGGCAAGTCGGCGAAGCAAATCGAGGCCCTCGTCGGTCGCCAAAAGTACAAGAAGACGTTCCAATACGAAGTGTAAGGCACCAATATCCCCTCAACGCGTGTACGTCTGAAGCTAACTTGGCCCAGGAAATGGCGCAATCTCCTTCCCAAGCACAACACCAAGATTTCGCGCGAGACGCTCATCGAGCTCGGATTCGACAAGCTCGTGCAGGAGTTTGACGACCACGAAGCTTCGCGAGAAGGTCTGGGCTACCGCGAGCTCCAGCCGTCTGTCATCTCGAAGCACTTTGACGACCTCGGGCTCGACCCGGAGATCGCCAACCACAACGAGATTGGGTCGCTGTCGGGCGGGCAAAAGGTCAAGGTGGTGATTGCCGGCGCCATGTGGAATAACCCGCACTTGCTGGTGCTCGACGAGCCGACCAACTTTTTGGACCGCGACTCGCTCGGCGGGCTAGCCGTGGCCATCCGCGACTTCAAGGGCGGCGTCATCCTCATCTCGCACAACGAGGAGTTTGTCGGGGCGCTCTGCTCGGAGCAGTGGCACGTGGACGATGGGCGCGTGGCACTGCGCGGCACCGCGGCCATCAGCAGCGACCGGTTCGAGGACAGCAGCCGGCCGGCCAGCGCCGTGGCCAGCACGGCGGCCAGCTCTGTCGTCAGCTCCGCCGTCAACTCGGGCATCGAGGACAACAGCGAGATGAAGTTCAAGGCGCGCAAGAAGAAGAAGATGACCAAGAAGGAGGTCAAGGAGCGCGAGGTCAGGCGTCGTCTCAGGCACATTGAGTGGCTCAACAGCCCCAAGGGCACGCCGCACCCTCCCGACACGGACGACGAGGATAACTAAAGGCTCGCCGACGTCGGGGCCTTTCCTTCCCTTCCTTCACGGAAGGTGGGTGGTTGGTCCTTGGCTTTTTCTTTCTGTCACCATTCCGTCGTTTTGTTTTCCGTTGCTGCTCGGGGCAAGTTATCCCCACGTCGAAACTCGCGACTTGGATACTACCGCGGTGCGCTTATGGAGGCGTCGCCGCCGAGGAACGGCCTATCAGATTTGACCAGACCTTTTGTTCCCACGGCTCCGAGTCTTGGGTGCGCGGAGAGGCGAGGAGAGGAAAAAAAACGGGAGACGCTCGCTAGTCTTATTACCCGCGCCGGGAATTAAAAAAAGGGGGCGGGGGCAGGGAACTGGGCGCCGGATAGAGAGGGATGAATGGATGATGTGCCGCGGTCGATAGAGGCGTTTTTGTCTGGGATTTTCCAAATAGACTGGCTTGAAAAGAATTCTCTTCAACTACACGAGATGAGACTAGGAGGATAAAAACGGAGAGAGGGAACATACACGGTTGAACATGGTTTCCTCGTAGAATCTCGTACCCGTGATCGAGGCTTCGTCGTGGCGTCTCGATGCTCCATGTCCAAGTCGATGTCTTGACTGATACGACGTTATCCTAATTCATTCTCTCGCTCTGATGCGCACCTGCAACATTGATACCCACCTCTCTCAAGATATAAAGGCAGAGAATAAAGAAATCTAGACTCTTGGACTGTGCCTCTCCCGGTAGCTCGCACGTCTCTCGTACGCCTTCCTAACCCTCCGATCCGTTCCACGGCCAATCGACAATGCAAGTCAAAGTCCATCCCCGACAGTATATATCCCGATACTCCTGTATGCAAGCCTCGGCTTTCCTCCAAGGACCATGTGCTATCTTATTCGAGTGATTAAGAAATAAGAAATATGAGATGGGGAGTGAGTAAAGATAAGATAGAAGGACAAACGAGGTGTAGGCAACGGTGGAATGTGGCTCGAGTCCGGTCATCACGCGTCAAACCGGTTGAGCAAACCAGTAAAGAGATGCCAATTCCGGTGTGAAGCAGCAGTGTATGAAGGCCGAAAACCAATCAAAGAAAATTATGTCCAAGGAAGAAAGAAACAGCCTCATAAACTCCTGTTCCGTCTAGGGCAAAGCAGTGGCTGATATTTGCGAGCATGGTGAGTCGAGGCGAGGGAATGGCCGTTGGCCCTCTACCAAGAAAAGGTCATGAGGGCGGGATTCAAGGCAAGCGGCAGAAGAAAGTGGCTGGCCGCGACCGTGGCCATGGGGAGGATGGCGACAAAGTCGGTGATGCGCCAGTCATGCGGCACAAACGGCCCGACGGCGAGGATGATCATGCCGATGATGAAGATGAGGGCGAAGAGCATTGAGAATTTGAACTGAATGAGAGAACCTGGTTAGTCAAGCCAGCAGACGCGTTGGTGGACTGGAATCACAACTCACCTTCTTCAGCACCTTGGGCACTTCGATGAAGAAGTTTGAAAACTCGGCTTCTTTGCTCGTCGCCCCCCAAGTCATGTCAATCTCGAACATGTGCGCCAGCAAGGCCTGGCTGACGTGCAGTGACAGACCGCCAAGGAAGATGGCAAGCATAAAAGTCCACTTGAAGTTCTCAAAGATGGCGTACAGCAGGCTGCGCTCGCCGACGCGGTACCGCATGACGGCGAGGGCAACGTTGCCGAGGCCGTTGAAGACGATGATGATGGAGAACCAGACCTGCCACGAGTCGACGTAGTACTTATCGAGATAGCCGTTGAACCAGCCCATGAGGAAGTAGTTGGCGGCCGTCATGATCCACGCGGCGCCAATGGCGTAGTAGGTGCCGATGTACGAGATGACGGTGATCTTGGAGGTGAAGCGGATATTGGAGAAGAGGAAGCGGCGGAACAGGGGCGTGAAGGGCCCGCGCCAGAGCCAGGTTCGAATGGGGTGGAAGAGGAGCTCGTTGCAGCCGTACGCGTACTTTTCCCATCGGGCCAGCTCGTCGTACACGGTCAGCGACACCCCCTCCTTGAAGCCCTCGCCGGCCCAGGCCGCCAGACGGATGATGTAACCGTTGCACTGCAGGCGCAGCGACATGTCAAAGTCCTCTGACACGTGGCTCTCAGACCAAAACTTGTCGTAGCCGTCCTCGTCCTGGTACGACACCTGCTGGATGGCGGACCAGCGGAGGATGGCGTTGTGGCCGACAAAGGGGGCGACGTCGCCGTTGGAGACCGTGTATCGGATGGCCGAGTAGATGAGGTTGGTGAAGAAGGTGATGCCGTTTTCAAAGTAGGTATGGACAACCTGCATGACGCCCGAGGAGAACTGCATGATGCCAACGTCGGGCGACTGCTCCATCTCGGAAACGGCGTCGAGGAAGCAGTCGGCAGGGACGCGTGTGTCCGAGTCAATGAGGAGGATGTAGTCGCCCACGCGGATGTTGCCGTCGGCCCAGGCACGGCCGTCCTCCTCGAGCACCTCCTTGAGGGCCTGCTCGTAGGCTTGCGCCTCGTCGTGCTGGCTCCACTCGGGCGGGCGGTTGATGGCTTGGAGCTTCTCCTCGACCCTACACGAGACCATGAGGGCAAAGTTCATGTTGGACGCCTTCTTGAACTTGCCCTTGCGCTGGAAGCCGTTCTCGCCGTGCCTGGGGCGGGCGACCCAGCCGATGCTGTTGTCGGCGTAGAACTCGATGCGTGCGCGGCGGTCCTCCTCGGAGATGAGCTGCAGCCCGTCGTCGTTGATGAACATGTTGGCCGAGCCGCCCTGGAGCTCGTAGGTGGACATGGCCTGCTTGATGGACTTGACAGTGGGGATGATGACGCCCTGCAAGCCCTCCTTGTACACGGGGCACTGAATCGTGACGTGAGGCAGGACGGGGGTCTGCAGCCGCGGTGGAGGGCGAGCCGAGAAGAACTTGGAGTTGATGGTAAGCTGGCGGACAGGGCCGAAGATTTGAGCCAGGCAGCCGACAATGACCTGGGCGAAGAAGAGGGTGAAGAAGACTTGGACCGGGCAAAGCGCGATCAGGGCCAGGCGGATATAGCTGCCGTCGACAGACACTTCGATGGCCAATTGCCTCCAAGCGGCACCAAGCGACACGACAATGAGGACCATGGTCAACGAGACCAGAACCGTGTTTTGCAGATGGACGGGGCGCTTCTCCGGCTTGATCTCACCGCTCTCCTCATCAATCTCGGCTTCCGCAACGGCGCCGCCGCGCTTCTCGTCCTCGTCGTCGTCGCTATTGCCCGCCTTCCACACCAGCTCCATGAGCTCCGACTCAATTGCCTTGGCGCGCTGCACAAGGTTCAGGGGATCATCGTCCCAGACAATGAGCAGGCCCTCGGAGGCAACAAAGGCGGCAAACTGGTGCTTTCGCGCTCGCGGTAGGTCCTCCAGGGTGGGCAAGATCTGGACGCGCAGACCGTTCATCAGGGGCACGTCCACGGCATCGGGAGACCATTGCAGGAAAGTCTTGATGACCCGAGAGTTTACAGTCATGGCACACTACGGGCTCACACCTGTCAGTCTTTCTCACGCAGTCGAAGCAAAGAAGGCAGATGGCTCACCTGGAGGTTCATGGCGGCGCAGGCTATGGCGAACGGGGAGCTGCCGAGCTGGGAAGGGCATGCCATGTAGTGGCCACGCGCCTTGCGCAGGAGCACGCCTTCAGCCTCGCCGGATCCATCACCAACCCATAGCTGGGAGCATTGCTGCTGGTACAAGTAGTTGACCATGACCTCATGCTTGATGTCGTCGAGGAATATTGAGCTATGGCTTGACGGCGTCGACCGCCCAGAGCTCGACTGTGGCCGGGAATGAAATCGAGGAGTCGGAGGCAGGAGCTCCATGTCGTTGCCGTTCCGGGCCGAGTGAGGTTGCTTCTCCGACACGTCGGAGGGCCCATAATGCTGGACCTGCGAGGGTGCATCCTCGGCCGGTGGAGGGGGCTCAGACTTGCCGGCCTTGAAGTAGTCGCCAAAGCCCATTGTTGAACGAGAGTTGAGAAGTCGACAACACCTTGGAAGCTTGGGTAAGTGGGTGATGCCCTCTTAACTCGGGAGGAGGGCTCGCAAGCCCAGCGGACTTGGGGGCCTAAAGAGGCCGAGAAGAAAGCTTCCTCTTGAGCAAGAAAGTGCGGCCCACTGCTATGGTGTGCGCCCGTCAGATTAAAGCCTGTCTATGCGAGCTCATGGGACACGAGCCTGAGACATACAGTGAAGGCACGGGGTGGCCTGCGGTGCGAGCTGATGTTTATTTTGGCACGAACCTAGAACGGGGCGTTGGTTCGTCTCGGGCCTCTTGGGTAGCACAAAGAAGGTCGAGCAATAAGAGACTGTAAGCGGACGTGATGTCGACGGAAGGAAACCTTGGGGAGTGAAAGCGAATCCCGAGTAGGTGAGTGAAGCCGGGCGCAAGCCAAGAAGCGAAGACGAAGTGGGCTGAGGAAAGCAGCCAAGGTGATGCTTGAAGTCTACTTGACCGTCTCAGTGACGGAGTATGAGCGAAACTAAGGAAAGTAGGAGATAGACTTATGAGGACAGGCAAAACGAGGCGAGGCAGAGAGCAGATGTAAGGCGGAATAGTGGCGGGTTGGACTTACAGACGAGATGAGTGGCCACCACTCGGCCTCTCCCAAGGCCTTGAGGCCGAGAAGGAGCAGGGATGTGCAAAGTGTGTGAGGGCCGAGGACCAGCCCTGAGCCACGAATAGAGATTGCGGTTTGTCAAGGCCGAAGACGCCACGGAACCCTTCTGGACCCCACCACCCCCTGATTATTGCCAAGCTGGAACAAAGGACAACGGCGACGGATCCGAACAGAGGATTTCAAGTAGAGACCGAGGCCCAGAAGTTTGGGTGGGTGGGGAGGAGTGGAAAACCCGAAGATACCTGGCGGCCGGAAGGACGAGAGGCAGGAGGGGGAAGACGGACAAGGAATGTTATACGAACCGCAGCAGCAAGTCAGGCTCAGCCCAGCTTTCGACAGCCGAGGGGAGGCAAAACAAGACTGGAACCGGGAGCATGTCTGGCATCGACCATGCACTCTGGAGCCTTGCTGGAGCATGTCTGGGAAGGCCGAAGGGGTGCGAGGAGTGGTGATAGAGGCGGGACCCTGGTCTCGCCCACGTTTTTCGCTTGGGTAGCGCACACCCCGTGGATACCAGGGATCCCTGCTCCGAGACGCCCGGGCCGAGGTGGGGGAGGGGGGCATGTGGACTGTGTCGAGGATCGGGGCGGTGGTGTCGATATCTTCTCGTCTCGTTTCCCCGTGGAAGCGGGCCATAAGCTCGTGGACAGCCTTAACGCCACACATGGCAAGGCCCCGATCTTTGACCGCCCAGTCGGAGAGATAAGAGAGAGGGGGGATGGGGTCCAAAGTGTGATTCGTAGCTGGACCTACTGGACAGTACATGCCCGTCACTTCGGCCGTCCCAAAAGCTCAGAGCGGGAGAGCGAGCGAGAGAGCACGGCGCCAAGAGAGCGAGATTAGCTGATGGCGCCTGCGGGGAGGCTTGTTCGCGCCCGAGGACAAACGGCGGCATGAGTCCAGGGCGGGTCCAGATCGCAGGTGTGGCAGACGGGCAGGCAGACGGGCAGGCAGACGGTGGCAGCGAGGCGGCCCACGGTCATCCATGCATCGTCACTCGTGAGTTCCACGAGATGACACGCTTCGGAGGCAGCTCGTGAGCGCGAGCGAGGTGGTGGTATTGGCGGGGCCGTCATGCCGTACCGCAGCTCTGCCTCGACGCTGAAACAGGCCTCCTCCTCCTCCTCCGATGACAATGGGCGGTTCGCTGCTTGGATGAGGAGAGGAGGAGGAGGAGGAGGAGGAGGAGTTCTGGTACCTAGTGGATAACAATGTTCAACCTTCCGGATTAGGAAAGCGGCAGAGCCCACGAACCTGTCGTCCGGGGTCCGAAGGGGGGTGTGCTTAGTACCTAGGTATCTAGGTACCTAGGACTGGCTAACCCCAGCCACGGCCTGCATATATATCTGGACGGTACGTACGGAGCAGGTACTCTCGGAGCGGGTATACATGCTGGGTACAAGGATATTTGTTTCGACCCGTACAAGAGCAGAGACTGCTAATAAAGGCATTCATCACAGCAGGTATTACGCAGGCGAAGCTCCAAGCGCTGGAGGGAGTGGCCCATGTCTTGGCAGCTTCACCCCACTCCCATGTCTGCAGCGGGGCCGTGGTGCTCGAGGTGCGGTTTTCAGGGCCCTTCAGAGCCTAATTGCAGTGATGCCCGCCAACCGCGGCCCGCACGGCTGGATACTCGGCCCGGTGCCGAGTGCGGTCCGGCCGGCAGCCGGCAGCTGCGGAGCTACGAGTCCGGGCTGGACAATTCGGTATAGTAGACTCGGCCGAACAGTCAAAGTGTCTAATGAATGATGCGGATACCATACTGTGCAGGATACCCAGACAGATCTCGCAGGCGGCTCGGTGACTACCCAGAGCGTGACGATGCACGGCATCTTCCCGGAGAGGACATCCATCAACAGTCTTCCCCCTGTCCAGCTGTCAAGCCTCAACAGAAGCTGGACTCGTCAATATTCGCCCCCTTTTTCACTCCTCGTGAGGCACTTTGTAAGCGTCAAGTGGTCGCTGGTAGCATCGTGAAGCAGTTTTGGGGTGGATAAGCGCAGTTCTCGGGTGGCGTGGCTCTCGGCTCTCATCTATCCGCCCTCTTTGATTGGGCGACATGCCACCATACGCACACGGGTTGACGGGCCATGCATGTAGCTGGTCGGAGGGCAGCAGCTGGATGGCGTCGCCGGCTGTGTGATGAGATGATGCACTGCGAGTCGATTCATGGCCCGCGTACCGCACGGGTACAGTGGTGGCCGTCGGCGGTACCTGCAACCTCTGGCCTACAATAGGCGCGGCTCAAAGGACAATCGTCCAAGTATTATATGTGGAGGTTGTGTCTTGGACGTGAACAAGTCGATTTGTTTGGCGGGACCATCTGGAACAAGCTTAAAAACCGATTGGCAGCCTTACTGTATTAATTAATTACTCACACATTATTGCTAGAACCCGTCTCTTCCCGTCTTTAGCGCGTCGACAGTCTGGAGGCAAAAAAGCCCCGCGGAAAGGGCCGAGAAGAAGGGAAAAAACGCCCAGAAACAGGGAAAAGACTGGACAAGAGGAAACGTGTGATGCGGCGACTCCAAAGGAGCATCGAATGATAAACCGCGGTTCCTTCTAAAAAGAAACAACGATCAAATGAAACAGCAGTCTGGCGGGGCAAAGGAAAAAAAGCACTCGGTACGGATGTTTTGACGAGATATTCACACGAGGGGAATTCTCGCCAGCAGTCTTCGGATACGCCGTACACGGTAGCCCGACAAGGCAACAAGAGGGCCTGCCGAGCTGCTCGCCAAGATGCTCGAGCTCGGGTTTCCCATGCACCCATTACCTGCATACTCGACGCTCGTTCATCAGTTGCCCCTGTACCACCACACAAGGTCTCTTCATAGCCCTCGGGGACATGCACGAGTGTATCTGCATGCGCCCTCATGCACGGTTACGGTGGCCACCACCCTCTCCAGGGGGCTATTTTTGGGCCTCTGCCCCCTTCTCTCGTATTCCTGCACCTGGTGAATGGAAGCCATGGAATTCATACAGTACACAGACACACAGACACACACACACACACACACATATGTACACACACACACACATACACACACACACATACACACACACACACACACACACACACACACACACACACACACCTGCCCGTCTGACCCAAGCCGCGGTATCACGGTGGCGGCAGTCCATAGGGCAGGTTGAGGTGAGGTGATGGCTGACATACATGGGCTTGGATATAAGATGGGTGGTGAGCACGCAGATTGGATTGGCGATAGACACTCTTGTCAACAGCGTGACCCGGCAAAATGGAAGTTAAAGAAAAAAAACTGGATATTAGTGCGAAGAACAAAGAAAAATAAACAAGAGAGCCCCCGGGACCCTGGCGCCCCGGGGCGTCCGTGCACCCTTCCGTGTCTCTCTCGGGCTGCTGCTCCCGGATCGCCAGACCCGAGCATTTATTTGGATTTGTGTGCGATCCTCCATTGGCGCCACGGCAGCAAAGCAAGCGCCCTCCCCAAGACACTGCTCACTGCTGCCCGCGTCTGTCGGCGCTCGGCCCTTTCTGTCGTTTTGCTCTTTTCCTTTCATCACGTGGCAGTTCATCATTACTCTCACTTACAGCAGCAGCCAACAGTCGGCATGGACGTCTTCTTCTCATGCAGAGAGAGACATCCCGACTCCTCGATTTGCTTCTTCTTCATGTCCGAGACAGACAAGCGAGCAGACGACCGCCCTGTCTCTGCGCCTCGAGTGTCCGGAGCCAAGAGACCAGACCAGCGATGGAGGGCCTTGCTCGGAATCCGGGTGCCTTGCCGTTCCTCGGCTGTGCAGCACATCAGCGCGCTTCGGCGAGACGAGCGAGGTGATGCATCACGTTGCACCCGCCAGGCACCGGCTGGAGATGACGGTGGCACGAGCCACAACCTCTCTCTTGGCTTGGCGATTAATTATTATCCCAACATATCTTTTCTATCATCACTGCAAGCCCGCCGCAATCTCCGAATCCAAGGGTGCCCGAGGCTCCATACCGGTAGGGAGTTGGCTCAGCGCAGCACCTCACTGTAGGTAACTGTCTGCAGTGCCCGGCCTCCCCTAACCGCCCCCGCGCCGGGGATTTACCTCTCTGACCCGCCGCCCATCGAGCTGATAATACGATGGATGCTCACTGAAGAAATCAACCAACGGCCGCTAGCCGTAGCTCTCCCGTCGCCAGCCCTCCTCCAGTGCATCTATCCCCACACCACCCCCCGCCTCCGCTTTCATGAAGTAATTAATTAGACCATCATCCAAGTTAGCCGAGTGGTTCACGACGAGGTTTGGAAAAAATAAAACAAAAATAAAACCCCCTCAGTCTTGTACGACGTCTTTAACCGCAAAGGGGAGCGCGATGACGTTTTGGTGCTGGCAGAGCCTCCCACCTCGACGGCCACCTCGACGGCCACCTCGACGGCCACCTCGACGGCCACCTCGACGGCCACCTCGACAGCCACTCCGACGGCCAAAGGATCCCTCTCGTCTTCACCGTCCCATCTCGCCCACCCGCCGCCATCTCCTCTTCGTCGCGGAAACAAACATGTTTGGTTCCCGACATCTGGCCTGGAGCCGCCCACGCCCACTTCGTACATGTCCGCTCCGCGTCCCTTCACGCCCGCCCCAGGCTCGACACCGCAAGCTGCCGCGTGAGCCTGACTGCTGAGACACGCCGACATGGCTACGTTACATTGCACAAGTGTGCATCTTTATCCAACGCCCTCACCCACCCCGCTCTTCGCCACCCATGCCTTTGTCACGCAATTCACCGCATCTTTGCGTCTATCTGACGGGCGAGCAAGGAGAATCCAATAAACAAATCTTACTATCAATCTAGTCTCTCCAAATACGACGGCAGCTGAAAACAAGACATGAACGCAAAAGAACCATAACGCCTGCCTTCCAAGGGCAAAATCTCGTCAGCCAGGCCCAGGACCCATAGAGTAGCAGTCGTCTGAGCGCACCCATCCTGCCTCGACTGCAGCATCTAGTCTGTCATCCGAGCCGGAAACCCTCCAATCCGCGTCTATATCAGCCAACATTATACAGAGATACGAGATGCAAACATGATCCCGCTAGTGGATGAATCAAAAAAAGACAAGATGAGAGAAAATGAGAGAAAATGAGAAACAAGGGGGAAAAAACCCCTGCAAAAGTCCTACAGCTCCTCATTGCCGTCACACTGCTGCATCATAACGACGCGGCTCACCTCGAGCTGAGGCTGAGTCCAGGTCGGGTACCACGCGTCGCGCGCCTTCCAAAAGTCCTTCTTGGCGCTGTTCGAGCGGTCCAGCCACGGCTTGCCCGACTTGCTGTCCTCGAACCATCCGTTGGTGCCGCCGACGGCCAGGTTGATGACGAGGTAGAAGTCGTGGTCAAAGGGTGTGTTGTCGCGGCTTGTCTGGCTCCAAACGTCGGCCAGCCGCGTGCCGTTGGAGTTGGACTCGGGGAATCCGCCGCGCTTCCACATGGGCTTGTCAAAGTTGGTGTAGAGCACCTGCAGCAGCCGGCTGTTGACGTAGGTGAAGAGGTACTTTTGCGACCATTCGAGGCCAAACGTGTTGAAGCTTTTGCTGTACGTCGTGTGCAGAGCCCGGTGCTTGTTGTTGGTCTTCCACCACGCGTCGTTGGCCGAGTCTGGCCCCCAGTGCAGGGCCGATGACACGATGTCGTTGCCGCCCTGGGCGTAGCTCCAGTTGTTGCCCCGCGACTCCATGATGTCGATCTCGCCCGACGACGGCCAGCTGCCGTACGTGTCCTTGACTGGCATCATCCAGATGGCGGGCCACAGCCAGTCGCCCTCGGGCAGCTTGGCCGTCACCTCGACCCGTCCGTACCGAATCTTGGCTCCCTTCTTGGTGTTGATGCGGCCCGACTTGGTGGGCGGCACAACGCTCGAGTTGCCGGCCGTCGTGTTGGTCGCCGCCACGCAGCTGTACCAGTCCTTGGACGTGCAGGATCCGTCCTTGAGCAGGTTGATGACATTGTCCTTTTCCACCTTTTCGGCATCCTGGAGCGTTGCCTTGATGACGAGCTTACCGTCACGTACAAAGACGTTTTCGTCATTGCTCGTTGTCTGCTCAAACTCGCCGTTTCTGTGCCGGGTTAGCCTCGAGCAACAGTGGATGTGGAAATCAGAGAGAGAAGACGTGAGGAAAGCCGTACCCAAAGCCACCGACGGCCACCTCCTTGGTCCAGATGTTGGTGTTGAAGCCAGCGTCAAAGCTGTCGTCCATGACGGGACAGTACTTGTGCCGGACGACGCTGCGGATGCCGTCCCAAACAAGGAATCCCGAGACGGCGAGGCCGATCAGGATGCCGACAATGGGCAAGATGGTGACCCACTTCTCCTTGGGATCCCTCTTGTCGAGCCACGGCTTCTCGGCGTCGCCCTTTTTGACTCTCCGCGAGTGGAAATAGCGCTGGGAGCGTTCCTCGAGGCGCTGGCCCAGTGCGCTCGAGGATCCGTAGCTCGAGGGTGGCCGGGAGGCATCCGGGCTGCCAAAGGTATTGGTGCTTGCGCCAGGACGATGCGACGAGGCCGTGTCGTTGTCGCCAAAGGGATTCCGGCTGCCGTCCGTGTTGGGCGTGCCGGGGCGCAGGGGCGTGACATTGGCCGAGGTGGCAGCTGAGGGGACGACGGGTCGGCCAAAGTAGCCGTTGGGGTATGGTTCAGGGTCCATGGCGGCACAGGAGATGTGGATGGTCGCGGGAAGGGGAGAGGAGAAGAAGAGGCGTGGCTTCAGGAGGCGGGCGGGCGACCTAGAAGGCGGTCTTGGAGTTGATAATGGACGGCGAGCCCACAATTCGGATTTGCGACTGGGGCGGACGATGGTATCGTGGAACCCGAGGCCAGAGCTGGGGGACGGGGTCGAGAGACGGCAAAGGAATGAAAAGGGAGAGTATATATTATGAGAGAGTGACTGTGCCGAATAAGAGGAGAAGTCGAGATATTGGAAAAAGCAGAGGATACAAGGCGAGAATACCAAAGTCAATAAGGAATCACAGCAAAGTCTAAGACGGCTGAAGAGAAGCGGCTGGGCGTTTGATAGGCACGAGGCAGACTAGGATGAGGGTGCGTGGGCCAGAGAAGCAGCAGCATCTCGTGCCTCTGGATGGGGAGACGGGGACGGAGAGGCCGGGTGGAGGAAGGGTTGGACCTCTGGCGTCCATTAGGCGCCGTATGCATCATCCTTTGGTGCTCGATATGGCAGGCGCACAGTGGTGGAGCGGCCACAGATCCTGGCAGGGCTGTGCTGAACCGCTTGCCGCGAGGGACCGAGACCGAGAACAGGGGGGGAGGCGAACGAACGCCAGGTGGCGCTTCGCTTGCTGTCGTGTCAGTGCAAAGACGAATTTTGTGGGAGCACAGCAGCATGTTTCCCTGCATGTATTTGTACGGCGGACGGGCGGGTGAGCCGCTGCAACTTTGGACGACGACGTTATTCGGATGGGGTGTGTGTGTGTGGTAGGAGGTAATTAACACAGGAGAAAAAGGGGGGGGGGGAGAAGAAAAGTGGCGGCCGTTGTGGCTGAGCTGTGGCTCACGAGTGCTAATTAGTGGGCCGCTTTGCCCAATTACGGAGTCGCTCCGGGCCCACTTTCGGGGATCTAGGAGCGATAAGCCGGGGGGGGAAGAGGGGAGGGGGGGAAGGCACCCTTGCAGCTAGAGAGACGCCCCTTCCTTGTGCATGTGCAAGTGTCAATATCTGCAGCGAGCATGCAAGAGAAGCACTCAAGCAGAGGTATTCGCGCTTGGTACTGCGATGTACAGGCGACATTGGGGGTCTGTGTTGTCGACGAGACAAAAAGGTCGAGAGAAAAAAACAATCATGGTGGCAATGACGACTGTTGTAGAACGTCGTCTACTGGTACATGGCGGTATCGAGCTTTCTCAGGTTCTCACTCTCCTTGCAAGTGTCTCATTAGGTAGTTTTTTCATAGGCAGTACTGGACCTAGATAGTAGGTAGGTAGGTAATTATAAAAAATCCGTCTTGGACGGAGCACAGGTTGTACCCTCAAGGAGCACAGGTTGTATCTCGAGGGTACGGATACCTACAATCGACAACCAAAACCCACCCCTATATGCCTCTGCGGTTCCCATTGAGTTTCGGAGCAGGCAGAGGAGGAGTAGCAAGGATGGATGGAGCACACACCCACGGGCCCGGCGCGGCTGCGAAGAGCGAGCAAGACAACAATGCAACGTCTCTCGAGCGACCCTCGAGCGTCTGTTTGATGCAATCCTGACGTTTGGCGCTCAGCCGTCTGCCAGCCCACAATTGTCCAGTCGTGCTCAAGCTCAAAGGACAGGAGGGCAAAGAAAAAGAGGCCAGTCGGGCGCCTTTGCGATCCCATGGCTGCCCATCCCGGCCCAATGACGTGGCTGCCGTCGTCGGTATCGTGTCTGCAGACGCAGAGCCCGTGACCGTCCGAAGATTGATTGTGTCCTGCTGTTGAGGCGAGAAGAGCAACGCAGAAACGACAATAGATTGCCAGCCGTGCCACCAGGCGTGTTACCTACTTTGCGTATGTGCTTGCAGGAGAGAGGGAGAGCGGCCATGTCAGAGAAAGCGGCGCAGCCGGCCGCCTTGGTAACAGCTCGGACTTGGCAAATAGAAACCTCATCTATACCGTCCATCGCCAAGCCGACGTCTCTCTCTACAGCGCCGACACGACGCCATCACCACCTGCATCTGCATGGGCCCCGTCTCCCCTTCTCTCCTCTCCAGGGACATGCCGGTGTCTCAAGCCGGGGGGGCCTCGGCAGATGACAGCGAGGCCGCAGGTCCGCGTCACGGAGAATGGGCTCGGTAAGCTCCGTTTTCGTCGTACACGCGGTGAAGCTTGCACTCGAGGTGGACCAAGCTTCTTGGCCGTGCCGAGCATTTGGTAGCACAAGCCTGCGTCCCAAAAACTGTATGTGTATGTGCCCGTCGACGTTGATGGAGCAGACATGATGGGATGCCATGTGGCATGTGGGCGTACGTACATGCACCTACAGACTGTACAGCAAAACGCCTGTCTCGGTCTTCCGTGATAGTGCCTCGTTGACTTCCTGTTTGTTGCTGCCAATCTACCCGAGGCGTCGCGGACATGCATCGCGATGCAACTCGACGCCCGGCCCAGGCCCCCCCTCGCCGAACGGCCAACGCGCCGCCCGCCATCGACGACCCCCGAGTTCGCAGACGACGGCCTCATTCCCTCTTACATGACTTTGTTCCTGGGAAAGCCAATCCACCGACCCATGCGGTAAGAGTCGCCGGCCCAAGGATCCCGTCTCCCGCCCATGCTGCCGTTCAAGATGTTGCCGCCCAAGATGCTGCCGCCCAAGATGCTCTCCGGCCTCGCCGCCGGCCTTTTCCTCTTGCTTCCGTTTGTTGCTGCGGCGGGCGAGCAGCAGGACCTGGGCTCCGTGCTTGAGGCAAGCCAGGATCTTTCCAAGTTCTATGACCTGCTCAAGGTGCGCCGAGAGTGCCCCTTTCTTGCTGATCAAGGAAGACGAGGCTGCTCCTGTAGCCTCGGACAGTGTTGAATGAGACGATACAGCAGTCACCATTCATGTTTGCAACCTGCTGATGCTTGCTGGTCCAGAAATACCCCGAAATCTTGCTCCAGCTCCCGAGCTACACGGGCGTCACGGTGAGCCAGAGAGAAACCCGTGTCTATTGTTTACCCCCTTTTCCCAGACATCTCACCCACCCACTCCCCGTGTCTTTCCCTCTCACCCTCACTCTCACCCTCACCCTCACCCTCACCCTCACCCTCACCCTCACCCTCACCCTCACCCTCACCCTGCATTCATCCGTTTCTCCGCACTGACCATGGCCAGATCATCGCCCCCACCAACGAAGCCTTCGACCGCATCCCCTACACCTCCCTCAACGCCGCCTGGGACCCGGCCGACAAGGCCAAGACGGTGCCCCTGTTGCAGTACCACATGATCCGCGGCACCCTCGCCACCGACGACGACGCCGCCCTCAGCCCGGGCCCCACACGCGCCCGCGCAACCCTCCTCGTCGACCGGGCCTACGCCAACGTCTCCGCCGGCCAGACCGTCCTCGCCGCCAAGCAGCCCGCCGGCGCCGTCGTCTTCACCTCGGGTCTCGGCTCGCGCTGCTCCGTCGTCGAGTCTGATCTTCGGTTCCAGGGCGGCGTCGTCCACGCCGTCGATAACCTCTTGGTCCCGCCCGCGCGTCTTGCCCAGACGGCGCGCGCCTTTGGTCTGACTTCTTTTCTGGGCGCGCTTTATGCTGCCGGGCTCATGCCCGCTGTTGCTGATCGGAGCAATGTGACTGTCTTTGCGCCCCAGGATGCTGCCTTTGCCCTGGTCGGCGGCGGGCTCGAGAAGATGAAGACGGCCGAGCTCGCCCGCGTCATGAGCTACCACATCGTCCGCGGCCAGGTCCTCGTCTCGTCCGCCCTGGCCAACGGCTCCAAGCTCGAGACGCTGGCCGCACCCTCCGAGGCCGGCACACCGCGCCCCGTCACCATCCGCCAAGCCGGAAACAACAAATACGTCGACTCGGCCCAAATCATCCAGCCCGACATCCTCATCGCCAATGGTGTCCTCCATGTTGTTTCATCTGTGCTCAGCCCGGATGCCGGGACGGCGGCTGTCCCCAATCCAGACTCGGCCATTCAGCCTCCCGTTTTCCCCGTCAGCCGCGCTCGTCACCCCTTCACCTCGGCCCTGCCCTGCACCACGAATTGCCCCGTCGCCTCATCCGACGTCTTGGAAGCCGCCTCCACACCTTCCACCACTTTCTTCCTCGCCAGCTCCAGCAAAGGGGTCGGGGCGCCTGGCGCCGCCTGTACAGCCCATGTGGCCGGGGCCGCCGCCATTGGTCTTTTGGGGGTCGGTGCTGGGTTGGCGCCTTGGCTATGATCTCTTGTATATAGAACTGGGCTTGGCTCTTTCGACGAATACTATACTGCAGCTTTGATGGCGATTTGAGAAAAGGCTAAGAGTTAGACAGAGGAAGGTTAATGAATGGTGAACTGGTTCTTACGGCAAAGGAGACGATAATGAGCATAATGGGTACCCCAATCCACAGGTGCCTTGACCGTGTTTGCCGTAAGACAAGCCATATTTGGGTCCTCAAGCACACTTTAGCATCCCCGACATATCGTCCCTGGTGCCAACGCCGTAAGACTGTACCGTGCGAGGTAAATTCAGATATGCAGAGGTGACTACGAATTTGCTGACTTGGGCGAGCGTCCGAGGAAAACATCAGTCTTGGTCCTCCTTTCAAACCGAAAACACGGTTGGTTAGACAGTTATGCAGACTTGACGAAGCGGGCAACAAGTGCTTTGTTCCAACGGCGGAGGCAGAGGCAAAACGCGTCACTAGGCACGATTTGTACTCTCACCAGGGATCGTCTCTCCATTTCCTGCAATGGTGCTAAAGCTAATGGGATGGCAATGCACGTTGTCACGATGTCATTCCTCTCTTGGCTTGCTAAACAGCCCCGTCGTCCACAGTGCAAATCCTGTTCACGCGTCAACATGTGCAAGAGTCAAAGAGAGCAGGTCCATTTTCACATACTCATTATCGAGCATCGTCGCCCTTGCGTTCATGTCATGATACATCCCCTTCCGATCTATGAGGGGCCTTGGTTCGCGTTTTGACCTCGAGTCTCCCAAGCGGCAAGTAGCCAACAATCAACGGTAGGCCCGTCGAGGACTATTGGATCGGTTGCGGTCGGCGTAGCTGTCGTAGCTGGGGCTGCGTCGACGAGGGCCATCGCCGAGCCGACTGCCGCCGGCGCCTCGTCGCGGAGGGGGCGACTTGGACCTCGAACGAGACGAGTAAGAATCGTACGACGTGCTGCGCTGCCTGAATCCACCACCGCGACCCCGGGGCCCACGAGGGGGCGACCTGAAGGGGGAACGAGAGCGAGAGCGTTCAGGGGCTTGGTACGCAGAAGGTCGCGGGCCGTATCGGCTGGGCGACGGAGGACGGCGACGACCGGGACCGCCCGCAGCATGATATACGCCAGGCCCGGGGAAGCCGCGTGGGCCACGTCCTCCACGAGAAGGGCCAAGCGGGACTCGAGGATCGATGTTGGCGCCTCGTCGGGCAAGGGGTGGATCGGGAGAGAAGATGCGACGCGGTAGCACAATGGAGACGTGGATGACGGCACCGTCAATCTGGCCCTCGTGCATGTGGGCGATGGCTTCCTCCGCGTCCTCGCGGTGTTGGTAGAGAATGTAGGCGGTGCCGCGGTTTGTGCCAACTTGATTGGGACACGCTTTAGCAGGCGTTTCAGGGTAAGCAGGCTGGAAGCGAGCTCACAAGTCCTGTTCATGGGAAGGTCGAGGTCTTGAATGGGGCCATAGCGGCCAAAGATCTCGCGGAGGTGGGCCTCTCGAATGTTCTTGGAGAGGCGTTCGACGACAACCTAGGGCAGAGAGCCGGTTATGAGCCATGGAAACGCGACGGAGTAAACAATAGGAACAGAAAAGAACCTTTGTGCCCAAGGGCGGCGGGAGCTCGCTTGGCTCGCGACTATCTCTGCCCCGAGCGCTGCGGCTGCCGCTTCGGTAGCGACCGTTGCGACGCGGCGGAGGCGTGGGCGAGCGCGACGGGGAACGCGAGTCATAGCGACGGCGGCGGCCATCAGCAGACCGGGGGGCCACAGAGTGAGTCCGGGACTGGTAGCGGCCACGCGAAGGCGATCGCGAAGCCATGCTTGGCAGCCGAGAGCAGCTCGGGCGGAGGTGAAGGGAGCTGAGGAAGCAAGTTGAGGCGGTGTTTGGGGGAGAAGCTCGTTGGTTGATTGAACGCGTTTTGCCGAGCTACCAAAGCATCTGCCCCAGATCACGTGCTCAACTTCCACCTCCGAGTACCGTAATTACTAATCTTTCAATCTGGGCGAGACATTGTCTTCTCCCACTTCAAACACTTGCATCGATGATTCAGTTTGGGTTCCCGCCGACTCGTACCTTGAGACCCTGGCATCCAAGATACATGCACAAGCCCCCTTCCAACAGAGGAACCACCCAATGAACTCGCCCACCCATGGCCACGCACTGCAGAGCACTCTCGGCGGCTAATCCTGCTTCTCCGCTGCATCCGAGGCCGGTGTCAGGCTCACCCAGCATCCATTGGACAGACTCATGGTGGAGCTCGTCTTTTGCAGCATCGGACGGCCATCCCGGGCCTCAATTCTCTCAAAGGCCTGAAAGAAACGTGCCATGAGGTACGACATCATGGTGAGGGCAAACTGCTGACCTATGCAGATGCGAGGCCCTCCGCTGAACGGGATGTATTCCCATCTGTGGGTGGCCCCTGGTCAGTCTTTCTGTTACGTGGACTGAAAACAAGAGCAACTTACGATGTCCGGAGCGTGTCCCACCGCTCGGGGCGAAACTCGTTTGCCTCCTCGCCGTAAATGTCCTCGCACCGCTGCAGGCTGTAGGTGCTGAAGCGGCACTCGGTGCCCTTGGGGACAAGCAGAGGCGACTCGCCATCCGGACCGCCACCCTTGGGGAGGACCGTGTCTCTCTTGGCGACTCGCGCGTTCGAGGAGACAGGGGGCCAGAGCCTCAGCGCTGCATCCTCGCCCCTCGCATGGTCAGCAGATGCATGACAGGTGGAAAAGAAGCATGGGCGCATCTACGAACCTTCTTTGAGCACATTATTCAGATACTTGAGCGCCTTGAGGTCCTCCCACGACGGCCGCCGCCCCTCGAGGCCGGCCAGCTCGCGGCGGAGGCAGCACACGACGTCGGGCCGGCGGGCGAGCACCCAGAACAGGCTGCTCATGGTACTGGCGCTCGTGTCGCGGCCGCCGAGGATCATGGCAAGCAGCTGGCCCGTCATCTGCTCGTGCGAGGCGCCCGAGTCGACGAGCTCGTTCATGAAGACGTAGGGGCGCTCCTTGGCCTTGTCCTGCGCCAGCGCCGCCGCCACGTGCTGATCGATAAAGGCCTGGCACCGGGTGACGGACTCGTCGAAGCGCTTGTCCGGTAGCAGCATCCACAGCCAGCCGGTGCGGGCGCGGCTGGTGGCGGACAGGAGGGCGTAGTCAAAGGCCTTTGTGAACTCGACGGCTTCCTCGGTTGGATTGACGAGCATGTCGGTCGAGTGGCCGAACCTGGTCACCGTCAGCAAGGGCCAGTCAGAAACGAGAGCAGGTCGGCTCACATAAAGTCGGTCGAGGTATCCATGGTAAACATATAAAAGAGGGCCTGCAAGTCCACCTTGTCGCCATGGGGCGGCGACAACAGCCTGGCCAGCAGGTTCTCGACGTGGCGGTCGGTACACTCGAGGTCGGCAATCTGGTTGCGCATAAAGCTCGGCCGGATCAGGGCCCGCGCGCGCGCCCACTCGCCGGCGTTGGTGGAGAAGATGGCGTGTGGACCGAGGACAAGGGAGACGGTTCGCTGCCGGACACCACCGACAGGCCAAGTCTCGAACTGGCCGGCGAGAACAGCCTTGATATTATCCGGGTCGCACGTCATGAGGACCCAGCTTCCGATGGTATTGACCCAAAAGGTCCTGGCGACAGACTTGGTGAAGAGGTCATGCCACGTCTCGAGCAGCGTGTCGGAGCGCAGGGCCGCCTTCATCAGGCGTACCCAGTCGAGGCCCAGGACGGGGTCGCGGTGCGGAAAGACGGCGGCGGGCTGCGTCTTGAGGATGCGCATCTTGCGCAGCTGGCGGTGCCGCTCGCGCGCGACGAGCACGACGGCGGCGAGCATGACGGCGAGCCATGGCGGCGAGCAGTAGGCGGCGTAGGGCGTGAGGGCATGGCCGGCGATACGCAGCGACAGGGTTTGGGCGAGGGACCAGGCCAGGCATGTGCCGCTGGCGAGCCAGAGGACGAGATAAAGACTCTCTCGGGCCATGTCGACTTTGCTTGTGATGACTGTGTCTCTCCCTACCAGAGGGGATACATGCATGGATATCGTCGTCCAAAGGGTCGAGAAACCGCCTCCTCCACCCTGCTCAAGCACCTCGTCATTAGCTCTCTCTCCCCGCGTGACACTGCCTGACCGCAGCAGTCGCTGGAGCCCGGTGTCTTGGATACCTTAAGCTATGCTCGCACAGCCACGGCGCTACAATGCGACCTTGACAGTGTCCAGCTTGGTCGAGGCCCCCGCCGGAGCCGAGGCAGAGCGGACCGAGGTGTTTCCCAAGTTGGCAATCTAATAAGCCCCTCGTCATGGGATTTCGGGGGAAATCTGTTAGTAGAGCAGATGCGACCCGAGTGACAACCCCCCCCCACCCCCCCCCTTACCCCCATCAGGCTGCAAAGTGGAGAGCGACTCTGTGATACATATCTATTGTCGACACTCACACCGTCCGCGATTTCAAGAGCCTCCTGGGCGCAGAGTCGACCGACACAAGTATCGTTTGCTGTTTCATCCAAGCTACTCTGTAATAGAGGTGAGAGAGCCCAAGCTCTGGACCTCGGGCTGACACGACGTCCAGCTTCTGCTTCACATACACAAGGAGACAGCCCAAGACGTGGCGTTTGCAGACCATCTTTGTTGATGCTTGCAGAGGCAGGCCAGGCAAAGGGGTAGGCCGAGACTGCTGAGCACTTCCAGCAGGTTCGCGGCGTCCCAGCTCCATCCCAGATCCCCCCTGTCTGTTTCAAATGTTGCGCATCCTCACCGATGGCTCAACAACCTTGCCGAGAGCAGAGAGTGCGAGCCCGCCTCCTCGTACAGCTCGTCGCCATTCCCCTTCTGATCGGCAACCGCAACCCATCCAGGCAGGTCAATTGAATCGGTGCGGCTCCTCTTGTCCATCGTGGTTGCGCCGCAACGACCGCCCAGAGCAGCCTGCCGTTTCATCCCGCCTATTGTCTCCTGGCCTCAATCAACCACTTCACCGCCAAAGTGAAGTTCATCCTATTGTTGACCGTGACTTGGCATACTTTCCACGTATCCTGTATGGCGTTCGGGTGCGTCCACGTGTACACCAGCCTCGCCGATGACGGGCTTTCCCAAGAGTATAAATTCGGACATAGCCCCCTTTGAAGCCTTTGAGTTCTTCATATCACCATCTTGCGACTTCAAGTCTTATTATGTCTGTCATCAGTGCCCAACACGGTTCACCAGAGACCACGGCCATGCCGACCCACAAGCTTGGCTTGGCCGACATGCCTCTCGACGTTAACCTCCAGATCCTCGAGGAACTGCCCGATGTCTCGTCGCTCAAAAACGCAGTCCTGGCCGTCGACTCTCTTCATCGGGCCTTGACTGCCCGCCCCAAGTCCATCTCAACCCAAGTTTTGAGGAACGAGCTGCCCGAAAACATCTGGGAGCATGCCATTGTCAGCCAGATGCTTTCCAACGGCAGGGTGGAGACCCCTGATCTCGACGGCATTGAAGTGGCCGACATTGCTTCTTACGTCGACGCCGTGCGGGTGCTCCGCGACACCGCTCCGCAGACCAGGGTTTCTCCCCCAGATGCCCTCGCCATTTCCCGGTTTTACTGCAAAGTTTCGGAGCTCAGGGCCCTGTTCATCGAAGACTGCGCCTACTCTCAGAAGCAGCAGTTTGATCCCCTCTGGAAGTCGATTCACCATCGCCCCCCGATGCTTTCGGAGCTCAACAGGATCGAGCAAGCGCTCTATCTCTTCCAGATCCTGACTCGCCTGTGCAAGAAGATGACCTTCAGCGAGACGGTCGAGAGTGGGTATGCTGCAAGATGCCGCGAAAAGGTGGCTGAGCTGCAGCGCTGCCTTGTGATGCGCCTCATGGCCCCCTGGGAACTCTACCAGGTGATTGCCATTGAGTGTTATTTCTGGCGCGCTACCCATGGGCTCGGTAAATCACCCCGTCGATTGCTGCCCAGAAACGCATCGCTGACGAGCCGTGTTTGTACAGAAGGCCCGGCGGACATTGCCGACCGCTTCATGCCGGACATCTTGGCCTCGGGCCTTGACCTCATGCACGAAGCCCTCTGTCTTGTCGGCGGCCCCAATGTGGCCGAGTTCATCGCCCCCTTTGAGGAGCGGGCTCTCAGTCGGCCATTTCACGCCTTCAGCGCCATCGTTTCGCGAGGCTTCAGCAAAGCCTGGACCCGAATGAAGCCGCGACGCTTTTCCACGTACACTTCTTTTGCAGCGGACAAGGACAAGCTCGGATACCGCTCCTGGGTGAGGGTCGAGAAGGAGCAGCTCAAGCTCGTCGGAAACCACCAGATCTGGACAGACCTCTTGTGGGATCGCCTCGAGGCTCTAGAGGAGCGACTGGACCTCTGGGCTGCGGCGCTCTGGGACGCGTGTCGCTGGCCGGAGATTCTCGTCACTGTGCAGCGGCCCGAGCCCCGGCTGTGGCAGGGAATGAAGCATCGGTGGAGCTCGATCCGGATGGTGTTTATCTTCGTTGCCGATCCTTGGACTATCAAGGAAGCCTTTGATGATGCCGAAAAGGAGAAGCTGGATGCCCAGCTTGGACGGAGCAGGCGGATTTGAAGCGCTGGGGACGTGCGTGCGAGTTGGTGGTAGCGGATATTCCTTGAATTTCTTATGGGTTACATGCTATCCGAGTGCCTGCCGTGAACGCCGGACAGACAGCTGCAGAATAAAGAGCATTCCTGAAGCTCTCGTCACTCGAAGCGCTGGCCCTTGAAAGGCTGAAAAGGCATCATCTGATGTGTGGCGCATGCTCAAGCACCCCGCCCCGCCCAAGCCACGAGCGCCACACTCCCACGGGCCATTATTGGCCGGCCCCCGCGAGGCTGTGCGCAAGCTCTCCTCTACAGTCCCTCGCATTTTGTGCTTGGCCTGGAATCGCGCTTTGAAGCCGTTGCTCTGCACTGCTGGCGCCCAGCGCGCACGCCTCGTCCCTCCCTCCCACATGAAGCTGCTGGCGCGCATCGCAGTCGACCCCCGGCGCGATCTACCACCATGGCCTCCAACGACGACGGCCCGCCCCTGTCGCTGAGGCCCTTCCCTGTCGCCGGCAAAGAGCCCAAGAATCTGGCCGACTTTATCGCCCGCGTCAATGCGCAGCCCGGCGGCTTTCGAGGCGTGACGGAGACAAAGCTGCGAGAGGAGATCAAGGCGGGCGAGGACTCCAATAGCGCCACCGTCGAGCTGGAAGATGTCGACATGGTTGATGCGGCAGACGACGACGACGCTGCTGCCAAGGACCCGGCTGCCGCCCGCATCGAGGTTCTCAAGAATGTCGAGTGCGTGTGTCCCTTTCCGCTCACCCATGGCCGTTTTGATAGTGCAGTACACCGAGGCTGACTGCTTGCTCTTCGCAGCATCGCGGGCAACACGGCCATGCTCACCCTCGACTCCCTCTCCCTCCTCCTCTCCAAGCAGAATCCCACCACGGCCGGCCTGACCCTGTCGCAGCAGCTCCGCGACATGGTCGGCATCGGCACCCTTGGCGCCGACAAGCTGGACGAGCCTAACACGAACGAGGCCAAGACCAAGGCTCTTGGCGAGGTCGCCATCGGCTGGACCCTCCTCGAGATCAACAGGACGCGAGACGCCGCTGAGGATGCCAGCTCGCTGCTGGAAAGGGAGGTCGGGATTGAGAGCAGATACTGGGAGGACGTCATGGCCGTCAAGAAGGCTGGTTGGTCTACATGCAGGGTGCCTCACGAAAGACATACCCTGGGCGTGAGGTTTGGCTTCTCCGAAGGTCTGTTCACTCGTACCCGCTCCCCACGCCGCATCGTTCGCCTCTGACAAGGAAACAGCTTCAGCAGAGTTCAAGAACAACGGGCTGGCGCCCATGAGGAGAGGCGAGGACGGCTCGGTCGAGCTTGACCTGGGCCGGCTGGGCGGCATCTCCGAGGGCCTCGTCGTGACGTACCAGAGGCACGGCCAAGTCGTCGGCCGCTCGGTGCCCCGGCGGCGCTCCGGCGGTGACCCATCGCTGGAATCGCGCGTCCTCGAGGCGCGCAACACCATCTTCTCGCAGGAGCTCTGGCACGAGCTGACGCGCGAGGCACGCACGCTCGCCGCCTATGACGTCCGCCTCGAAGGCTCGCGCCTGACGTGCAAGGTCGACCCGGCGTCCACAATCACCGTCGAGCTGCTGCCCCTCGCCTCGTGCCCCTCGGCCGACGACGACGCGCTTCCCGAAAACAGCACGGCCGAGGCCATCTCGGCAAGCCTGCACATCCTGCTGAGCTACGCGCACCGCTACAACGAGCTCATGAGGACGAGACCGATACCGCCCCACGTGCCGCGCTCCCGCGGCCAGCAGACGTACGCGCTGCTCCGCCCCATCATCGCGCGCATGACGTCCCTGCTCAGCATCCGCGCCTGCACGCGGCACATCGGCAGCCTTGTCCAGGCGCTCCGGGCCGCCGGCTTCGCGTCCGCGTTTACCCTGCGCACGCCGCAGGTGCTGTTCGCGCCGGAGCCCGGCGCCGCCGCTGCGGGGGCGCCCAACCAGCCGTCCGCCGCGCAGACGCTGGTCCGCAACATGCTGCAGCCCCTCGAGTTCACCGTTGACTTCGACATGCTCCCCGGCGCGTCACTCACTATCCGCGGCCGCACCATCCTCTTCCCCGTGACGGCCACCTTTTACCACGTCGCCCTCCCGCCGGCGCCGTCGCTGCTCCAGGGCCTGAGCGCCCCGTACCCGGACGGCTACCCGGACCTCAGGGGCTTGTCCGACTACCTCAACACCACGGTCGCGCGCACCCTGACGAGGCACTTCCTCGCCGACCTCGCCGGCGGCAAGGCGCCCGGCAGCGAGCGCTGGACCCAGAGCGTCGTCGGCACCTCGATCCGCGACGCCGACTCGGAAACGCTCGACATACACTTTTCCGTCCAGCAGCAGGGCCCCAAGACCGCCCTCGTGCTCACCAGCACCGTCGCCGTCGACCGCGCGCCCCACCAGCGCAGGTGGCAGTGGGCCTCGTCAGGAGGCGACGACGACATCAATGACAGCAGCAGCAGCGAGCGCAGGCCCATCGCCGACATCGTCACCGAGGTCGTCGCCAAGTCGTCTTCGTAGCGCGACGACCTCTTGGTCTTTGGCCGCCGCGATCGCGCCGCCACGGCCGTCGAGCTGCTCTGCATGTGCAGGTGGCTCGAGGCCGGGCGCTCGTTGGACGACTACTTTCGCAAGCACGGCCGCCATGCCCCGTGACGGGTGAGTCGTCTTGGTAGGGAAGCAGAATCTGCCCGCGAGGTTTAGAGATGTACATGTATATATATATACCCATGCACTTGACCATGTACATAACAATCATTCGCGCCGGCTTGATCGTATCTTGGCCCATATGTGCGACTTGTCTCCGCACTCGAGATACCGACGTGCCAGTCACGACACCACTCCCCATCCCCCCAACTGGGCAAGCTGGTCACGCGGATATCGAAAGGACATGCATGCGGCGATGGATTGATGCTGTGCACATCTAGCTCTATAGACGTCTAGTCTCTAGAAACCCAAGCCTCTCTTCGTTGTGCTGCTCGCGACGCGTACATACGTTCGTCTAAAGCCACATTCTCATCAGACCCATGGACGTCCACTCGGCTCCCTGCCATATGCCATGTATACTGGGGGAAAATCGCCCTCCGCCGCTTTCTCGTGCCTTCGTCGTGGGACATATGCATGATCCCCAAGCCCGATAGCAAAGACAGAGCAAGGAGAAGAGACCTTCGCAGCAACTGGGGTAACTAAGGCGCCGTGCGTTTCCACGCTAGTCCCTCGTGTTGAAAAGGAACTTGAGTTCGTTGACATTCAGGCGACCAATCTTCATGCTCTCGGTCTCGTCCAGTGCCGCCTCAACAATCGCCTTTTTGCGCTCCTGCAGCGCGATGATGCGGTCCTCGACCGTCTCCTCGGTGAGGATGCGGTAGACTTTCACCTCCAGTTTCTGGCCGATACGGTACGCACGGTCCACAGCCTGCATCTCGATGTATGGATTCCAAAAAGGGTCCATGATGATGACATTGTTGGCAGACGTGAGGTTCAAGCCCGCATTCCCGGCTCGGAGAGACACCAGCATGACCTTGACGTTGTCCCTGTCCCGGAAGTCTCTGGCAGCCCGGGCACGATCCTCGCCCGACATGCTGCCGTCGTACCGCTCCGGCTTGTCCTTGAACTTGTCATGCCACATGGCCACCTGTAGTAAATCCAGAAGTAGGGTCCACTGAGAAAAGACAATGGTCTTCTCTCCTGTTTCTTGAATCTTCTTGAGAAGGTTCATGCACTCGGTGACTTTGGCCGCTGGCATCCACGTCTTTCGCAGGTAGCGCATATATCGCTTGTACGCCTCCCGATTCTTGATTGCCTCCAGCCGCAAGCTCTTCAGCATGGATGGCTTGACGTCGGCCGGCTTTTTCTTGCCCTTTTTGTTCTTCTTGGGAGTCTTTTCAGCTTTGTTGGCTTGCGACATGGCGTGGTCCACGTGGTCCGAGTCGTCATCCTCCACGACGAAACCTCGCAAGTTCCCCTTGGCGTTAACCTCCTCCGTGTCAACCTCAGACTCCGACTCGGAATCGTCGTCGCTGGATGAGTCCTCGACGCCAGGCTCTGATTGCTTGACCACAGTTTCGGGCATGTGAACGCTCCGAAACGCTTCGTACGTGAAGCACTTCTTGCCATCAAAAGTGCCACGACACACAGGGCACTTAGCCTTGTCGCTTTCATCTCCAGCCTGCAGGTTGGCGGCCGCAGCGTTGTCGACTAAGCGCGTGACACAATCCTTGCAGCTGTCGTGGCCACATGGGATAAAGAACGATGGAGACTGGACAGCGTCGAAACATATCGGGCATTCAAAAGCCTCAATCGCCTTGATCCTTTCCACAGTGGCCTTGCTGAGCCCCTTGATCAGTTGCACCATTTTCTCGTCCACTTTCTCTTTGCCAAACTGGGTGGCATCGTCCACGTCCAGGTTGAGGTGCGGATGACAGCAAGCCTGCCGCATGCGGAGGAGGAGAACGAGAATGTTGGAATAATTCTTGCCGATAGAGCCTTCGCGTAGGTACTTGCTGAATAGAACCTGGGACTTCTGCTCAAGCTGCTTGTAGAAACCCCTCTCGTCGGGAGAAAGCTTAGCGTACACTATGCTTTCGTCTTTCGAAGGAAGATTGAGAATGGGTTTCCCATTTAGCTGCGAGTCTTTCTTTCTTCGCAGCATGATAGCCTTGAGAAGAGCTCGAAGCCTGCTCATGGCGACGCTCTTTGCATCGCCCTTGAGACCGCAAAGGATGCCAAACGCCTGCGGGCCGTTAGTATGTTATTCAATCAAGCATATACCAAGTCGTCCTGGACTTACCTGTCGAAAATTCTCCCACACGCAGTAAGGCTTGATGTGGAGGAACTGAACAAGAGAGAAGAGTTCGAGGACCCCATTCATCATCGGGGTACCAGTGAGGCACCACCGATATGTGGATTTGAGCGCGTGGCAGGCTTTCGCCGTCTTGGTCTTCCTGTTCTTAATGCACTGTGCCTCGTCGAGCACGACTCTGTGAAAGACAGCTTTGGTCGGGTGCAGCAAGGGAAATTTGAGGGCGTTGGCCCTGTCGTTGAAGTCAATGTTCCGATCGGCGTTGTCCTCCATGAACTTCTCCAGCCGCTTTAGTTCTTGAGCGATTGTGCCGTACGTCGTTAGGACAACGTCGTATCTGAGCAAGTCATCCGTCGTCGCCTTGGTGTTGTGATATACGAAGACGGACATGCGATGCGAGAGCTTAGTCTTCTTCGAAATCTCTTCTTCCCACTGGCGTACTAGCGAGAGCGGCCCGATAATCAAGTTTGTCTACTTGGTGTCAGCGGAACCAAGCTCGTTCACGGTGCCCCCCCGACATCCCCGACTTACCTTGGGTCGCCCTACGGCAGGTCTTGCCAACATGAGAGCCAGGGTGGATATCGTCTTGCCGAGACCCATGTCGTCGGCCAAGATGCCGCCTTTGTTGCTACCCTCCTCCATTTTCTTCATCCAAGACAAGGCGAGTTCCTGGTGGTGGTAGAGTGACTGCTTAAGTCCTGCCGGCGTCCCGTCCCGATGCTTATCCGGGATGTCCATGTCCGGGCGAATGTTTTGCAGCAGCTCGTCCAACTCCTTTTCGCTCACATTGGGATCATGGTACGCGTGGTCAAGAAAGCTGGACAACCTGTCGGCAAAGGGATTTCCTTCAGCGTCGAGCTGGTTGGCATAGTCGAGCATGCTGGTTTTGTCGATGGCATCAAGCAGGCTCACGCTGCCGGAGCTCGGTAAGGCTGGAGTCCTGGGGGGGGCATACATGCTCGAAGCCGGTGCGAAACCGACTGCTAGCGGCCGTCCTGCTTGATAGGGATGCGCAAAGGGGCTCCCGTACGAAAAAGGAAGCCCGTTGACACCAGGTGACTGATTCAGAGCACCTGGGCTGAAGCTTGTACTGGACGGCAGTGGCTTGTGAGGAAATGCCTGTGGAGTCGTCGTAAAAGGGCTCTGACCCGGGCCACTAAACGCCGTCGACGGCATAGAGTTGTACAAGTTGGGCCCGTAAGGCTCATCCCAGCGGGCATCATATGCGCCAGGCATGGGTAGTGCCTGTGGCGGGCGAGAAGCTGGGCCTTCGCGCTTAACGAATTGCCCATGCGAGTTGGGCATTTGCGAAGCCATTATCTTTGAAAAGGCGTCTGAGTGGCCCGAACCTGGAGCCGGAGTAGACGAGACGACTGGAGCAGGATCTCCTTGGCTCCAAAGCTGCTGAGCCAGACTCCTGTCTCTCATCTCCTGCTCGTGTCTCTTCTCTTCTTTGATATGTTGAGCGATGCATGTCGCATCGTAATCGACGTCATCCCTGGCCACTGGTTAGTGCTTGACATTGCTTACGAGGGGGGATGGAGTTGGCGTGCCCAGTAAGGTCGATAATGTCTATGACACTGCTGGAGCTGTCTTGCGGTGTGGCGAATCCATTACTTTGAGGCGTCGGGGTGATACGTCGAGCCTTGGCCGTTCCTCTAGCGATGCTCAGGAGCGGCGATTCACACTCACGCTTGCGACTCGGCAGAGAGCGGGCACCTGGGCTTCTCCAGATGTCATTGTCCATCCTGGGCGTGCGAGGAGTCGAAAATGCCGCCGAGCTATGGCGCGAACTGGCTGGTTCCACGCTGGCGGATAGTCGCGCTGGAGGGGCAGCTGTCAGCAAGGCGGGATGAAACAAGGCGCAAGGGCGGAATCGAGAGGAAATCAAGGAGCCCAAAATGTCATGCCAAGGAATGGGTTGTGCGGTGTTTGAGTGCGGCAAAGCTTTGCTAAAGTGAAATGCGCCACAATGACGAGTGAGGTGTTCTTTGACCTGGCAGGCGCCAATATGGCGGCAAAGGGGTTGAAAGATGCACACAGACTAAGCAGGTGGTCGTCAGAGCTTAGATGCTGAATAGCAACTAGGATGATTCCACTGGGTAGATGATGCGGTTGGAGTTCAGAAAGGGGAAAGAGGAGGGGTAAAGAACAGAATGCAGCGAAAGGGAAAACGAAGTGGCGATGGACGGGGAAGCACAGACAGGCGAGGTTGGGCGAGGGAAAAGCAGAGCTTACCTGTTGGGGTTGTCGAGGTGGGCAGAGAATGGCGGCTCTGGGCTTGGGCATCGTCACGGCCGTCTATCCTCACCGAGTCAGCGCCGAATTCCGGAGGCTGAACAGAGGAGAGCGAGGGAGGATACTGACCTCCATCGCAGCTCGAGTCCCTGTTGGGGGTTTGAGCAGGTCCCGGCGGCTGGCTGAGAAGGGCCCTCAACCTGGCAATCTCGCGCCTCGCCTCCTGGCGCTCCTGTTCGGCCCCATCGAAGTGTTCGCCCTGGAGGGAGTCGAGAATGACTTCCTGGACGACCAACTCGTCGGCCAGCGCATCATGGTCCAGGGGTTCTGCCATCAGCCGCGATCGAGCTTCAGCCTGGCGACAGGCGGCCAGGGCGCGCGCATTCGTCCCCGACCCTGTCTATTCCGACTGTTTGGCTGAGGTCAACAAGGTTCGTTGAGATGGTGAGGCAACGGCGAAGCTCGTAGGGGAAACGGGCGCTTGGGCTTTCGTCTGACGTCGGCCTGTTGTCTGAGCGAGCGAACGAGGCGGAAAAGATGGGCCCTTGGGCGAGCAAGCAAAAGCAAAAGAGAGGGGATGATTGACGGTTGCCTTGTGCGACAGGCAGTCGTCGTTAGTTGGGGCCGACTGGCTAAAGTCGAATCCAACTCGCGACGCGTCAAAAATGACCCAAAGTATCCCAAAGTATTAGAACTAGGTACGTGCCTAAAATACAGTACGGAATAAGAGTTTAGGCGACCCCAGCGCTAGGACAGTGAGGTGGCCGGTGGACAGCCGCCAAACCCTGCGACCGAAGCGAAAAAGGTACCTTTGCGGCCTGGGGTCGGCGTAGAGGTACACGTGTCGGTGACCAAGACAAGTATCTCGCTTACCTCATCAGCCTCACCGAGCACGCAGCTGCCGAACTTGGGGTCTTCATGCAGTCTTGCATGCATATTTCGTCACCCTGCGCCGTCACTGGACGGCTGCCTGCTGGGCTGACCGTGCCACCATTTCCGAGCCACATTGAACACCGACAGCCTTATTCTTTCACCCTTTCACCCTTTCACCCACACAAATACAAACATGTTCAAGACATATCCAGAGTGGGTGGTGACGACACGGCGGAGAAAAGGCACATGAGCTTGTCTCGGCCAGCAAAAGCTAAGGCTGCCCGAATTTTCCGACCTCTTGCGGTATATCAACACAACGTACAAATAGATAGACGCCATACAAGTCGACCCTAATCCGCCTCTTGAGAAACCCCGGAATCCAAAACGCCGCCAACAAGAAAAGCCCCAAGATTCATCTACCATGGCAATCATCGCGCCTTCAAACATGCACTCGCTCATTCCCGCGCAGCGTTGCCACCTCGAATCTTGTCCCAGATGCGACTCACGCTTTCTGCCACCCAATCCAGCGCCCCTTGCGCCTGGTCTTTGAGTGACCCGGAGTCCCCGCTGTCCTTTTCTTCCTCGGCGTTGCTTGTGCCGTTTCCCTTACTGTCTGACGCCATGTTGGACTCGGCACTTTGGGACGGACGCGGTGGCAGGGTAGGCCGATCGGGCTCCTCCGGACCCTCGTTTAGGACTGGGCGTTGCGGCTGATCCGACGGCTGGGGCGTTGGCGACGGCGGGGGATCGGCAGGCTCTGTCGGCCTGTCCTCGGGCCTGTGCGTGCCGGCGGGCTTCAACGGTAGACGGAGCGTCCCGTTATTGGGTTTGGGTTCCATCCCAACCGAATCAGCCAAGATATTATAGACCTCGATATTTTCTACCGCGGATTAGCCATGAACTGTGACCGAGAGTTGATGGATTGACTCACGAAAGGGATCAACTCGGCTGTTGGCTGGGTGGGGGAATGCTGGACCGCGAGCGACAAAGATGGCCCGCATCAAGGGATGCTCGTGGTCATACCCGTGCAGCCCCCGTGGATGGTATACGAGACCCTTCTTCTTGCCTTGCTCCACGTCAAACTCATCCAGCTTGACAATGGCCCAGCCCGTCTTTGGAACGATCCATAGCGGTGCGATGCGGTCGTTGTTGGAGAAGTGGTATCTCTCAGGCATATCCACGTCACGCAGGTACACGTCAAAGTTTGGGTTCGACCTGGATTTTTCCTTAACTTCCTTGTACATCTCTTGCAGGTCCCGGTCATGCTTGGGACGGAGACCATACAGCGGCCAGCCATCCGTGTGTTCAATCTTGGACGTGTTGACCAGGTCCTCGAGCTGGATCAACCGCGAGGTATCAGTCGTCGCCATCCCGTGGTCAGACACGATGATGATGTTGACAATGTCGGTCAAATTGCGCTGATCCAGTCCCTGGCAGAGCTGGTCCAACATGTCGTCCACTTCTTGAATGGTGGACCGAATCTCGGTCGTGTTGGGCCCAAACTTGTGCCCATCGGCGTCGACGTTGGGGACATAGGCCGCAATCAACTGCGGGCGCGTCAGCTCGAGGTCCACCAGCCCATCCTCTTTTCCCGGCATGTCGAGAAGCTCCAGGATCCGGGCAGCCTTGTTCGGAAGCTTCTCCTTGCCGTTGTACTTGTCCACAAAGCTCGGCTCAACGCGAAGAATATGAGCCTCGCTGCCGGGCCACATGTGGACGGCCGTTCGGATGCCCTGTCGCTCTGCCGTCACCCAAAAGGGCTCGCCGCCCCACCATTTGGGGCCCAGGCTGCGCTTAGGGTCCGTATAGTAGAACTCGGCTTGCAGCTGCGGGTCCCAGAACGTGTTCCCGACGACGCCGTGGCTCTCGGGGTACAGGCCCGTCGCCAAGGTGTAGTGGTTCGGGAACGTGACGGAGGGAAAAGACGGAAGCATGTACTTAGGCGATATGCCTTGCTTGATGAGGGCGTTGAGCGTCGGCGTGAGGCCTCGCTGCAGAAAGTCGGCTCGGAAGCCGTCGAGGCTGATGATGATGGTCGTTGGCGCAAAGAGGGCGGTTCCATTGCTGACCAGGCGTTGCGCATGACTGGTACCCTTTTGGTTCTTGGAGAGTTTCCAGGCGAAGAGGACGAGTATGGAGAAACCGGTGGCGATGAGTAGATGGATAAAGATGGACCGCCGACCGCCGCGTCCGCGCTGCGCCTTTGCACTGGCCACCAGGCCAAGGCGGCGGCGGTCGACCTCGTCGCTGTCCTCGCGAGGGGTAGTGTCGCCCGTTGAGCTGCCGTCCTTCATGCCGCCCTCTTCCATCTCGTACATGAGCTCTCCATCCTCGCCGTGACGAGCATCGCGCGTCAACCGATGCCTTTTCTGCTTGCGCCTCGCACGGCGGGCTTTCCGCTTTTCAACGGCGAGATCCTCGGTTGAGCTGCCGGCAGCCGATAGGTTGGTCAGACTGTTGTTGCGGCCAAACATCTTGAAGGGATTGGGAACCGCCAGGCCCGAGCCGCGGCGGTGCTCCCGCCTCGAGCTCGTCACCAGCCTGTCCATCTCCTCTTCTTGCATGAGCACGATGCGGTCGTGGGCGCGTAGCTCGCGGCTGTTGCGCGCCCTCTGCTGCAGCTGGTCATCCTCACTGTCTGTGTCTTGGTCGCTTCGGCTGTGGAGGGACGAGGCGTCGTCGTCGTAGGTGATGGGCGAGAGCAGCGACCGGTTGTCGCGGTCGGGCGCGCTGGAATCGAGTATGTTGGGAGACATGCTGCCACGGGGCCTCGATTGAGGCTCTATGGGCCGTTGGGGCTTGCTTGCGTCGATTGATGGGACGTTTCTGCTTGTGCCTGGCAGCAGGCGTGATGCATGACTGGCGATGGCCAGGCGTGTTTGATATTGGAGATTGAGATTCTCAGGGAAGGGGACGTGTAAGTTAGGGGTTACAGTACTTTGGCAGGGGGTCGGTCAGAAAGTCGCCCCAAGGACCCACCGCTGCACCACCAAGGCCAGGTACTGCTGAGACATCTGCCGGGCTAATATCATTTCGCTAACGAAAAGCCGTGTCCAGGCGTGGATAGCGAGTATCAATTAATATCAGTCTACGGATAAAAATACATTATTGGCACATTCATGAGCAGAGAACAAGGTCATCTCTTCTTCCTGTCTTTGCCAAAACGACTTGCTCCAGAGCCTGAAATGGCAACTTCTGTTGCATGCATCGCCAAGCTTGGCGCCCTCTCCGGCTGACTCGCTCCAGGAACAGAATCTTGGAATGCGACAACACCTCTTCGGGACACCATGTCAGAGCCGCGACATCGGACACGCACTCACCAGTGTGAATGTTAATCCCGCACCCTCAACGGCCCGGACGCCAGTGCGCTCGGCCTACGCGCGCGCGCGCCCATGTCCCTGTCAGAGAGGCGCATCGCATCCTCTGGCAGAGCAGGAAGGCCTGCGCGCGCGCGCCAAAATGTCCACAAATGAAATCGTCATCGGTGCCGGTGAGGCCACGAGCTCGCACACCCGGGCGTCGACGGCTCGCAGGACGACGCTCGCAGGACGACGGGCGCATTGCCCCTGTTCTTGGCCATGTAAAGCGCGCAGGCGTCTGGGTCAGTCGGCGAGGCGAGACCGTTCGCCAGCGAGTCACCTACCTTGCATGGACCGCGGCGCGCCCGTCACTGTGGACAAGAGAACGGCACCAGGGCGTTTGCGTGTCTGTGACCATGGCGACAGGTGCCCTGCAAATCTCGTCCATGGCAAACTGCAGCCTCTCTGCCACGACCTTCCTTCTTCGACCGTCACAAACTCCTCGGCCGACGGGCCGACCAGCGCCAAAGGTTGATGAACTACTTCCGAGTCCGCAGACACGTTGTAGCGGCGGGGTTGCCGCGTTTCCTTACTCGCCTCGCGCTGCCTGTGGGGGCGCCCCTGTGCCGCTCGAGTTTTAGCAGTCACGCACTTCACCAATATCGTCTTCAAACAGGGCGTCTTCAGTCGCGGCGCCGTAGCACCGAGTCCCGCACGGCTTCACGGCCCCACAAACTCCCGGCTAGTCCACCAGAGACATCCGCACTCCGACACGGCATTCCCTGATTTCGCAGAATTCGCTTGCCTGTTCCCATTCTCCCTACGATGCCCATACCTTTTCATCCACTGTTTGTCTCGGCATCAACAACTCTACCCCTTCGAGCCCGCCTGCCTCCTCGGCATAGGTTGCACCATCAGTTTCGACTTCGTCTACAGAGCCGCCGCCGCCGGGGCAACTGCGTCACTCCCTGGCTTCTCCCCACTCTGTAAACTCGCGCGAACGCGACAACGTGGGGCAAGGAAAGGGGCGAGAGGTGAAAAGAAGGAAAGGCGAGATGTTGATTCATGTGTACATATTCATCCTCCATGACGAGGCGCACCTGTACACCAACAGCGCATCGCGACGCCAAGCCGCAGAGCTATCCTGCGTACCCATCCAACAAACAATGACCCGGAATCCGCCCGTGTCCGCCATGGCCAAGCCGCTTAAGATGAGCAGTAACACAAGGCCCCCCGTTGCGCCAATCCCATCCCCAACGCCGGTCATCACCATACCGAGAAGAATACCCCTCCGTCGCGATGCTTTATAGCTTGCGCCCCCGGTATAAACAAAACTTTCAAGCATTTATGAGAAGGATGGAGATATCTACTCCTCCGTCATTGCTCCCGTATCGACACCGATGATGCTGAAGCAGTCGATTGCACCGCCTCGCTACCCGAGAGCCTCGCTCCGTCCCCATCCCGTGGAGCCACCGCTTGACTCCGGCTGGACTCGATGCCGGAACCGGGACGAAGCGACGGGTTATGCGGCCAGCCGATGGGCATGCTCGACAGGCGGCGATTCGAGTGCTGGCCACTGGTCCGGTTGCGGACGTGGCCAAGCTTGACTGGCGCCTCCTCGGTTGCCTGGTTAAAGTCCGGGTTCGAGCGAAGCCCTCGCTCGCTCACGGAGCTCACCACGGCTTTATTCTTCTCGTTGTAGACCTGGCTGCCGCCCTTGCCCCGGTGCAAGACGGCGACGGCTCCGCCAGCAGTGGCCAGGGCGGCAGCAGAGTCGGCCGCCCAGCCGTAGAAGCCCTTGCACTGATCCAGAGGTCCCTTGTCGGATGACTCGTCGAGGAAGATCCATAACATGCCCGCAAACACGCCGGCAATGGCGAGAATGGTGATGATGACGGCACCGACCCTGTCGCCGGCGGTGAGGGGCTTGTAGACGGGGCCCGGGGGATGTTGACGTCCGATGTCGTCGCCGCCAGCGCCGGGGCTGCCCTTGCTCGTGCCGCCCGTTTTCCCTGTCAGCGGGGGGGCCCGCTGCTTGACCATGCAGGATAGCGCCACCTCCATGGCGGCCATCTGCTGCCCGACGCCCGTCGAGCCGTCGTATTTGTCCTGGTTCCACTTGAGGCCGCACATGCGGCCGTTGGGGCCTCCGACGCACTGCTTGGCGGCGGCCACGGCCGAGGCGCGGAGGTAGGGCATGATGACGTCGTAGGTATGTGGTGCCCACTGGGTGACGGCGGCGAGCCAGCGGCTGAGGTACGCCTTGAAGGACTGTTGATCCAGGTTGCAGCGGTCGACGGGCTCGCAGGCGACTTCGGTCATTATGTTCTTTTCGGGGCCGGTGAAGAAGACCTTGCTGCCTCCCAGCAGCTTGTCAAGGCGGTTCTTCCACTTGACGTCTTCGGTAAAATTGTACATGGCCGCGGCGCCGAGCAGGAAGCCGCCGGCGTTGTAGGAGAATTGGAAGGGGACGATTCTGGTGCAGTTATTTCCAATGTGCGCTCCGTCAAAGACGCGCCAGTACTCGTCGATGAACTTGACGTTGACCATCCAGTCCCACGTCCTGTCGGCCCATTCGGCGTATGAGTGGTTGCCCGTGTAGAGGGCGAGCCGGGCACCCAGGGCGAAGAAGCAGGCCTGGGAGATTGAGTTTTTGTAGTCGAAGCCCTTGTTCCAGTGGAAGATTTGCCACCGCAGGCCGCCGCCGCAGTCGGCCTCGTCCCATCGCGCGGCCTGGGTGTTGAAGACAGCCTGGGCCAAACCGAGCCATTGCGGCTTGTCGGCGGGCGGGTCGGGGAACTTGTTCTCGGCGGCGGACATGACGGCGAGGCCCCAGAAGCCCTGGTCATCGTTGCCTTCGGTGAGGGTCTGGTTTCTGGGCATGTAGTCGGCGTTTTCTCCGACCTGGAATAGAAGGCCGTCGGTGATGAGCTCATTGTAAGAGTCGTCGTTGGTATAATACCAGTAGTCGATGAGAGCGCCCAGCATGGCGCCGGCCTCCCACCCTAGATGGCCTGGTCAGACGGGGAGGTAGGCATGAGTGTAGACGTGGCACGTACAGTAGTAAGGCTGAGGCAAGAGGCCCGGCGTGCCGCCCGGCTTGTCGCCATCATAAAAGGTGAGCAGGTCTTCGGCCATGTTCTTGGCAATGGATTTTATGGAATCTGTGACTCTGGTCGGCGGACAAGCTCACGTGGGAGTGGAATCGGCGGAGCGTACCAGTCGAGTTGGGATTTAGGTCATAGGCCGAGCCGCTGGTCAGTAGCAGGGCCGCCGCCGCCAGCCGGCCAAGGGCTCGAGGGGTCCAAAGCATAGCGAGGGGAGTGCGAGCGCTCAGAAACCAGGAGCAAATCGGAGACCCATGAGCAGCAGGGGGGGGATTCTGCGATGAGATATGGCGGGCAGAGAGAGGCCAGACAGAGGACAGACAGAAGATGGAAGTAAATGGGAATGAGGCTCAAAGACGAAGAGGCGAGCGCGAGTAGACAGTGATAAGGTGGGAGTGCAGAGGCAATACCGGGGTGAACAGCTTGCACGCGTATAGGTGGGGACGTGAGAGCTGAAGCTATACTGTACACGTATGTACGGCCCAGGACGATCAAGTTGTGCTGGATCTTGATAAACTTTGGGCCATGGCCGGACTTTTGGATGGCGGCGGCCAGGAAAGAGAGAGAGCAAGCGCATCCGGAAGGTTGGACACGGGTCGCGGCATGCATGACTGCACCTACTTTGTAGGCTTGTACGAAGTACAAAGTAGGCAAGGAAGGTATGGACATGGAAACTCTTTCCCCGTCTCGATGCATCGTCATGGCCTTGTCACGGGAAGCCGAAAACGAGCAAGGCAGGCTACGAACACAACAATAACGCTGCACCGCCGGGTGAGGGCGAGAATGTGTACATATACTGCATAACACGTTTGAGTGTATTTCAGGGCCCATTTAACGAAATCAAAAGTATAAAAACGTCTTGTTTGCCTGGCACGCGCTGGTGGGCAGGTGGTCCAAGTACTTTACCAGACACTTACGAGCAGTCGCCGTCTCCGCCGAGGAGGCCTTGTCAGTGCAGATAGTTGATGAGCCCGGAGAATAACTAGCGGGAACCTGGAGGCTTATTGTTAGCGCGTCGGCACGTTACCATATGTGCCATGTTCGAGAATTATTTTTCCATTAGCACTGCCGAAATACAAGGCTGTACCCAGACAAACTGGCTCTGGCCTCCAAGACGCCTCTCATTGTTCTGCTCGTCGGTACTACCTACCTAGGTTGGTATGCTGGAGGCTGCGCGGCCCAGTTGCAATCGCGGCAGCCAGAAGCAACCGCACCGCATGCCCACCTGCAGAATGGGTCCAGGTACGATGACGTGGTGTGCCGCTGCGCCTTTTCCTCTTTGGGAGAGAATACGAGCCCACATTGGTAGGCATACGAAGTAGAGTAATAAAGTGAGTCGGCGGCAGCTTGGGCTAGCACGTCTGTAGTGCCTCTTTTAGACTGCACAGCAGACGCGAGCAGATGGAACAAAGAGGCAGACAAGTCGTGGCCCCTGTAGATAGTAGTTCGCATATGTGCACACCCGGTTCACAGTCTATATCCGAACCAACGATGCTATTTTCAAGAGACATCAATTCGCTGTACGTATAGTCCTTGCGACCATCCAAGCATTCTATCTACAGTACTTCACATCATCAGCAGCGGGGGCCGATGCTGGACATGGATCAGCGCTGATCGTGGAGAACCCCTCGTTCGCTCATCCAGGCCTTGGCTGACGACACCCAGATGCACGATGCTGTCTTTGGATGCCAGGCACAGTGTGCGTACACGAGTTCGGTACAGTGTGCGTTTTCGCTTGTCCTTTATTAGGCCTTGCTGCTTGCGACGGGCAAAGGGCCTAGACAATTTGCAGCCAATACATAAGCGCACGCGGCGGCCCGGGGTGCTGGCACAAAGCACAAAAAACGGGCCCTCTTCCTTTCGTTTGTGAGCAAGTTGATCAAAGACTCGAATTTTGCCATCTTCCTTGCATCACAAGTCGCCGCGACCTAAAATAGCTCGGAGGCCGCGAGTTTACATGGTACCGACAATTTCCAAGGACCCCTGCCCGTCGCCAACCAGCCATCACTGACTGAACATCGCCGGTGCCATGACTCGACGTCGACGTCTGCTGGCGGCCTTTGTCTGAAACCATCCTGCAACGAGCCGTTCGCTACGGAGTATCGAAGGCCAAGCGCGTTTCGCGGCCATCAGATGCCAGACGTCAGTCCCAAGCATCTTTACTTCTTAGTTCCTGGACAAGTGGCATTCTCCGTTGAATAAGCTCTCAGAGCACAGGCTACCCATATTCTCTTCCGTTGTGCATATCATTTCAGAGCAACCAGCCACGTATTCGCATAGCCACTTCAAGCTCGCTATTAGCGTGGCGTACCCGCACGTGACCGGCCTGTTGTCGCCAAAACGCCTCGGTCGTGTCTCTGGCTTGGCGGTCGAGACAAAGGGGGAGTTGCTTTCTCCCTCGCCTCGATCGAAGGGAGAGGAAAAGAGACAGCAATGAAAGGGACGGAAATTAACTCATTCACGAAGACGCAAATGATTGACCATCCTTTGCGCCATTAGCCTAGAGTCCCGGCACCGCGCATGCCCATAGAGTAAGGTACCTAGGTACCTACGGAGCAGGTAGGTACAAGACGGGCGGGCGCATGGAGCCCGGAGGTTTCAGTTCCGTGGCCTCCGCTGATGCTGCTGCGTCAGCTGCCAGCCTTCGCCTCGCCAACCACCAGGGGGGGGGGTTGGTTGCTGGGTCCCGTCTGGTCCCGTACCTGTGCTTGCGCCCTGTAGTTGTCTCGCCTCCTCCAACAACGCAAAACTCTCTCCCATCCTCAACATCGCCTCGCCATCTACTCCAACTCCCTCTTGCTGCCTCTATCTTCACTCCCAAACCGTTCTGCGTAACCCGACCGCATCGCTTGAATTCTCACGACCATCACTCACCGCTGCGCCCAACCAACTCACCCACCCAACGAGTTCGCTCCAGATCACCCGTCGCGATGCCTGAGCAAGACGCCCCCTATGACCCGTACATCCCCAACGGCCAGTCGGCATCTCAACAAGGTGCTGGCGGCACTGCCAGGACGCATGCCCTGCAAGAGGTAGGCTGATAGCGACTCTGCCATTTTTTTCTTTGATACCCGCGATGTTTCTGAGCAACGGTTGCGTGTCGACCTGGCGGCCCGTTGCCAACACCCTGCGGCGCTCCTAAAGACGACCGCGCACCACCTGCACCCTGTCCTTCGCGGCGGAAACATCTAGCAATGCGACAGAATGAACGCGTTCATCAGCGCCCGAGCGTGGATTGACGGCTGATGCACGACGGCTCTCTGATGCTCCATTCTCTCCACGCCGCAGCGACAGCCAGTCGGGAGGATTCAGCCCCATGAGATGATCGGCTTCCATCGTCTCGGCGCCTTGCAATCTTTACGCGTTCCATGGCTGCGCAACAGCCAAGCCGAAATCGGAAAACGATGCTGACGTGGTCTCTGTAGCAAATCAACGACACAGTCGGTGTGATGCGCGACAACATCAGCAAGGTGTCCCAGCGCGGCGAACGGCTCGATGCTCTGCAGGACAAGACGGACAACCTGGCTGTTTCGGCCCAGGGTTTCCGTCGTGGAGCCAACAGGGTCCGCAAGCAGATGTGGTGGAAGGACGTCAAGATGCGCATGTGCCTGATTGCCGGCATCATCATTCTGCTGCTCATCATCATCATTCCCGCAGGTAAGGAAGCCTGAGTTCGAGCCTGTGCCACGCCGCCATCGCTAACCCTTGATGTTCCTAGTCGTTGCTACTCGTAAATGATCACCACGCGCTGCTTTGAGTACACGGTCCGTCAGGGGGCCCAAATCTAGACATGACGTCGGTCGAACCTCGCGTGCCTGCGAGATTCGGGACATGGGGGTGGATAAAGCGGTAGCGAATTGTCACGATGGATTACTTGTTTTGAGCACGCTGGACTTTGAGCAAGCTGGCTGTCGAGTACTGAGGCTTGTTGGGCCACTCAGTACGAGGACAAAGGCCGGAGAGAAGCGACCGCGGTGTGGCTCCTCGGCGACGGCAGATTGGACTTGATGTGTATGATTGAAGGCCCGGCGTTTCTCCCGCATAATTGACATGATTTCAACTCACTCTCTTCTCTTGATACGCGTCTACCGTGAAGCGTATAGGATACGTAATGCTGTTGTGGGTTTGCCGGGGCCGGAATGGTCCCGGCAGACGCTCTCGAAGCCCGCGACAACGGCGCCAGCGGGAGAAGGGAGAGGAGGTGACGGGGGCCCTTGGCCAGTCTGCAGCTGACTTGCATACATTATGGACACGTCGCTTTGCCATGTTCGCCATACCCTGCTCGCCTGGTGCTTGAGAGCTTGCAGTATATTGGAGGAGCAGTCTGGAATGCGCTGCGCTCTTTTGCTCGTCCGAGAGCGGCCCACGCTTCCCACGCAGCGTTTAGTGAAGCGATGCCTCACGCAGAGGAAGGGAAGCATTTTTGGAGGTGGGCTAAGGGGAGCGAGCCTTGGCGATGGAATGAGGGGGTTTATGAGGCCATGCAGGCACATGTTGAGGTACTGCCGGATGATGAGTGGACACTGATGGCGTTGCTGCATCCACGGCAGCATGTGTGTCTTACGACGTCTGGCGCCCGCTCCGTCCAGCCAGCTGCCCCCTCCCTCTTGCGCGTCAGGCAAGCATCTTCGACAGCGGCCTGTTCGGAGGAGCTGCGAGGCATTTGTTGCAAGAAAAGAAAGATAATTTAGATTAGGGAGGCCGTCTTACTGAGCTCTAGCTAGGTGTGTATCCGTACTAGTGGTTAGTGGCTGACTGGCACCCTCAGTCGGTTCAGCGCCCCCTCGCTTGTCTGCCGGAATAAGATTTCTGTCAATAATTACTTTATACTCATCATTCACGTCCGTCCACACGGTCATTCATCTCGTCTCCCAAAGAGCTTGTAGGCGGCGTTTTCTGGCATCCAGAATTGGACTAAGCCACCTGGGCATCCTTCCTTCCTTCAGCGCCATGGACCCTGGGCCTGGCGGGTGGCCGGCAGTGGGGGGGACGGCTCACCGCCCGCTGCGGCTTCGGGGGTCAGCGCCTTTTTTTTCTGCCCCTCCCCCACAGAACCTCCGAACCTCCACTCGTCTCTGCAGGCGCTCCTGAAGAAGAGGAGTCACCGTCAGCCCACCGCTGAGCGTACATATATTTGCAGCTCGTGCCCTGGTTGACGAACAGCTCAGCCATTGACTCTGCCATCGAGTCGAGCCAACAGCGTCCGTCCAAGATGCTGTCCGCCGCCGCGTCCGCCGCCGTGCGGGCTGGCTCTCGCCGCGCTGTACACTGTCGGGCTGGGGCTGTTACTGCTCCGAGACAGGCGCGGTGCCCCAACGTCGCTCTCTGCCGCGCTTTCTCCACGACGAGGGCTCCGGCTTCCCCCCCCGCGAGGGACCGCACGCGCGAGATCGTGCGTCAGACCGTCAGCAGCATCGGCAGCAAGCGCGAAGGCCAGCAGTACCTGAAGCTCTTCACTTCCGTCTCGTCCCAGAAATTCGCCGTCATTAAGGTCGGCGGCGCAATCCTGACCGACCATCTCGACGAGCTATGCCGCAGCTTGCTGTTTCTCTACGAGCTCGGCCTCTATCCCATCATCGTTCATGGAGCCGGGCCCCAGCTTAACCGTCTCCTCGAGGAGGCCGGCATCGAGCCCCAGTTCGAGGAGGGCATTCGTGTAACCGACGCCCAGACGCTCGGCGTCGCCCGCAAGCTGTTCCTTGAGGAGAACCTCAAGCTGGTCGACCGGCTGGACGAGCTGGGCGTCCAGACCCGGACCCTCAGCGGCGTCTTCGTGGCCGATTACCTCGACAAGGAGAAGTGGCAGTACGTCGGCAAGATTACAAAGGTGAACAAGGCCGCCATTGAAAAGTCCATCGAAGCCGGCTACGTCCCCGTGCTCACGTCCATGGCCGAGACCGAGGATGGCCGGCTGCTCAACGTCAACGCCGATGTGGCCGCCGCCGAGCTCGCCCGCGCTCTGGAGCCGTTAAAGGTTGTCTACCTATCCGAAAAGGGCGGCCTGTTCGACGGCGAGAAACAAAAAATATCCCACATCAACCTTGACGAGGAGTTCAGTCAGCTCATGTCCCAGCCCTGGTGCCAGTATGGCACACGCCTCAAGATCAAGGAGATCAAGGAGCTGCTCGATACCCTGCCCCGCACCTCGAGCGTCGCCATCATCCACCCCAACGACCTGCAAAAGGAACTGTTTACCGATTCTGGTGCCGGCACTATGATCCGCCGCGGCGACAAGATCCAAAAGGTTACGTCCGTGACTGACTTTGGAGACGTCAGCAGGCTCAAGGCCACCCTGATTCGAGACCGAGAGGGCCCCGACGCCGAGGCTACCGTGGATCGATGGATTGATTTCCTCGCCGAGAACCCCTTTTCCGCCTACTACGATGAGGCCATGCAGTGCCTGGCCATCGTCATGCCGCCCGCCAACGGCCGTGCAATGGCCACCCTTGCCACCCTGACCATCACCAAGTCGGGCTGGCTGACAAACATAGCCGAGAATGTGTTTGCCGCCGTCAAGAAGGACTACCCCAGCCTGGTATGGACGGTTAACGAGGCCGACGAGAACCTGACGTGGTTCTTTGAAAAGGCCGACGGCAGCTTCAACAATAATGGGAGCGTCCTCTTCTACTACGGCTGTGACCTGCGGTCCGACGCCCTGGCCCCCGTCGTAGATGAGTTCAACGCCCACGGACGGGCCATACTGGGCGATTCGAACCTCGAGTCTCGCCTCGGCCGGGCTGCACAGGCCGCCAGCCAGACCCTCAGCCGCCCGCAGGTCGCTCAGCAGGCTCGAGGCTTCTCCACCCTGGGATGCGGACCGCAACGGCGGGGCTTTGCCACCACGACGAACCCCAACCCGCCGCTGGGCAAGAAGAATGCCTCCAACACGGTTCCCACCCGCGTCGGCTTGATCGGCGCCCGCGGGTATACCGGCCAGGCCCTGATCGACTTGCTCAACGCCCACCCTTCCATGGACCTCAGGCACGTGTCCTCCCGAGAGCTGGCGGGTCAAGAGCTGAAGGGCTACACGAAGCGCAAAATCATCTACGAGAATCTGGGGCCCGAGGATGTTGGCAAGCTCGAGAAGAACGGGGATATTGACTGCTGGGTCATGGCGCTACCTAACGGCGTTTGCAAGCCGTACATTGAGGCCATTGACGAGGCTGGCAAGGGCCGCGACAAGCGGAGCGTCGTTGTCGATCTCTCGGCTGACTACCGCTTCGACAACACATGGACGTATGGTCTGCCGGAACTCACCAAGCGCTCCGCGATATTCCAAGCTACCCGGATCTCGAACCCCGGCTGCTACGCCACGGCTGCGCAGCTCGGCATCGCCCCTATTCTGGAACATCTCGGCGGCCAGCCGACGGTGTTTGGTGTTTCCGGATACTCCGGAGCCGGGACCAAGCCGTCGCCCAAGAACGACATCAATCAGCTGCGGGACAACCTCATGCCCTACAGCTTGACGGACCACATTCACGAACGCGAGATCGGCAGCCAACTGGGAGCGCCGGTGGCCTTTATCCCGCACGTGGCCTCGTGGTTCCGGGGCATTCACCACACCATCAACATCCCGCTCAACAAGACGATGACGTCGCGCGACATTCGTCAGATCTACCAGGACCGGTACGCGGGCGAGAAGTTGGTCAAGGTGGTTGGAGAGGCGCCGCTCGTGAAGAGCATCATGGACAAGCACGGCGTGGAGATTGGAGGATTCGCCGTGCACAGCAGCGGCAAGAGGGTGGTTGTGTGCGCAAGCATCGACAACCTGCTCAAGGGCGCCGCCACCCAGTGCCTCCGTGAGTATTCCCAGTACCCACATTCCCGGTGTCCTGTAAGGATTTGCCGCTGACTTTGTATCGCAGAAAACATGAATCTTGCATTGGGATATGCGGAGTTTGAGAGCATTCCTACCATGTAAAACCCCGGCCATGTGTAAAAAGGAGCATCAGCCTGGTTTTCTTTCGAGTATTACTATTTGGCCAATAGCACGTGCACCGCCTTACCTTTTCCCGGCGCTGCCTTGCATGCGCCGTGGAACCGCAACCATGTATTGCGAGTAATTACATTGGCAGAACTGCGAGCTATTTGCTCGACTGCCCGCTCAAGTGCCTGCTTGAATGAACAGTCGACCGACCAGTCGACTGTGGTCTTTCTTTTTCTCGTGCCGGCGGAGGTTGACTAGACCTTGGTTGGGCTTTCTTTGTTTAACGCCATCTGATGTTGATTGCACACTGTACCTTCCGGGTCCTTGCGCCCATGTCGGAGCTCATGGTGCACGGGGTGCTTTGCGGGGGGGCATCTGGATGATAAAGCTGTAACTACCTGGAGAGCGTCGAGATTGCTGTAGTTGTGTTGCGGGAGCGAAGTGTTTTTGGGTTTCAGATGTCGGGTTTCATGTCCAGGCTCATTGCTGACGAGAGAAAGCCTTGGGCCAAGCAACGCAGCCACGACTGAATGCTGCACATGCTGCATGGCAAGTGATGGTCCGCACAATCAGTCGTCGAGCACTGTGGCACAAGCACAGCCATGGAAAAAGCCAACGTGGAGGATAAGCGCTTCTGCCGTGTAACGGGCTTTGTTGCCGGGTGTGGGTGGGAGCGACACTATCGACGGGCCAGTGAGACGTCGGGGCTGGATGAGGAGTGAGACGACAGTACCAATACACACGGCAATGTATCTGGATCCTTTGCTGACGTGAAGGTTTGGCGGACGAGCAGGGATGATGATGCACGGTCCAAGACGGCAGAGAGCCTTGCTGGGAGGAGATGGAAGGCTGGTACAGTAGGTAGTAGGTACTGTAGGAAGGACTGCAGTGGGTGAGGGAGGGATAACTAACTACGGCGAGGGACGGTTCAGGGAAGCGTGTAAATAACTACTGTAGGTAATGTACTGTAGGTACACTAATCTGTAGGTACTGTAGAATGGGGGTGTTGCGATGACAGGACGCAGTGGGCCGGTGCTGTACTGTACATGCTGTATGTGCATGCTGTAAGCCAAGGACTTGAAGAAGAAAAGGCCATGTTCAATGCTCCGCTTCCTTCAACCGCACCAACGACCCTGTGGCTACAGGGATGTCGGCACCGAGGCAGGTTCGGCTGCCTGCCATGCGCCTTTTCTCTTTGCAGCAAGTCTCGTCCGTCACGTGAAAAGATGTCTGCACGGGGTATCTGTACGGAGTATCTATACGGAGTATCCGTATGCCGCCTCAGCAATTCACGCTCGAGAGTTTTGGCTGCGTTGCATTGCACTTTATTACATCGCTTGGCCTTGCTCACCTTCATTCTTAGTCCTCTTCACTCCCCGTCCCCGACGATGCCGTCGCTCCGCCTGCGGCCCCGCAGCCCGTGGATCGATTGACTCGTCCCATGTTCCTTGCCGAAGGCATCGCATCGTCGCATAGCTTTCGTCCGGCAGGCAGCAGTGCTGGCAAAAGACCCGCCAGCACCACCACACAAGGCCACGCCACGCCAAGCTCGCCCGTCGCCATGGACCAGCCCTTTGCCATCAGCGCCGGCGCCGGCTCCGCGGGTGAGGCCGGCTCTCCCGCAACGGCTGCCGGGATCAAGCGCAGAGCTCCCATTGCCTGTCGAAGGTCGCCCGCCCCTCCCATCCCCACCATTGTCCTGACCACGGGCTTTGACGCGTGCTAACCCGGCCGCCCAGGTGTCGTCGCATGAGAAGCAAATGCATCCACGAAAAGGCCAATCCCCCCTGCAAGTCCTGTCTGGAAGCCGGCCTGGGCCCAGACGATTGGTACGTCTTCCACGAGACAAACAGAGAGACAAACAGAGAACTCACCCGGCTCCAAGCGTCTTCCCCGTCAGAGGCCAGCCGGACCAAGACCGCGAATACCGCCATCCGCGCGCAAGGACCGAAAAGTCTACCAGGCACGCCGTCGCAAAGGTTCGCCGTAGCATCCTTGATGGGCCCGTTGCCTCCAACCATACGGCAGACGACTGGCACAGCCTGCCGCCGCTCGCAGACCTCGTCGACGGCGTCAACCGCTTCACGAGGTACTACTTTCAGCTCGGCTTCATCCCCAAGCAACAGTACCCGGCCCGCCTGCAAAATGACCACCGCTCCGTCAACCTGTTCCTGCTCCTCAGCATCCTCAGCATCTCGGCCCGCCTGAGCCCCTCGCTCAAGGTCCGATACGGCACCGGCGTCAGGGCCGCAGAGTTCTTCATGGAGCGCGCTTCCGATATCGCCATTGGCGAGGTCTACCAGGAGCCCACCCTCGAGAGGTGTCAGGCCTTTTACCTCTTGAGCATCGCCCAGCAGGGCAGCGGCCTGCGCAACAAGAGCTACGTGGGTTCCACCAAGTACGGCTTTCTACTTGCCGCACAAGGGAAGCTGATCAGAAGCGGATCAAGATTAACATGGGCATTGCCGTGCGCATGGCTGCCTTGATGCAACTGCACCGAGAGGAGACGTACCAGGTGCAAAATCCAACACCCGACCTCATCATGCGCGCCGAGTCGGCTCGGCGGACTTTGGTAAGTCGTGGCCGCACCGCTTCTGGCCGCCGTCTCTGACGCTCTGGGGTGATAGTGGATGTTGCATAGCCAGGACAGTCTCCATTCGGGTCCGATGTCTCCCGTGTCTCTCGCCGCAGCCGACATCACGGCTCTCTTGCCCTGCAACGAAGAGGACTTTGCCCATGGACGCGAACCGCGATCCCGCGCCGCCTTGGAGGGCACACCTCCTGCCGTCGACGATCCGTCCCTGATCCGAGACCCGAACCGTTCTCTATTCGCAACCTTGATGCAGATCCACAACTTCTGGGGTATCGTGGGCCGTCGCGCCGTAAGCTACAGTAAAAGCTCGCGGCCCTGGGAGCCGACCAGCGAATTTTCTCAGATGGCGAGGAGATTGGGAGAATGGGAGCAAGGCCTTCCGCACGAGCACATGTGGAGTAACTTTCTCCTCAAGGGCTACAAGGCCGAGGGCCAGGATCTGGTAGGTTGCCGGCCAGGGCTAGATGATATGCCTGCTCCGTCCAAGGCTGGGGAGCGAACCTCAACTGACACTGTCTCAGGCGTACCTGTGCGTGACCATGATGACGAGAATCTGTAATATTGTCTTGCGAAGACCGTATTTAATCGAGTAGGCTTCATGTCCTCTTGGTCTCTTGTGACTGCCAAGCTGACGAGGCCTGCAGTGTCATCAAGCCCGACACAAAGAATAGGGAGAAGCAAGCTTTCTTCTCTGATCTATCCAAAGATTTGTTCCGCGACGTACGCCAACTGTATGAGCAGGTCGACGCTCAGTTCACGGACCGAACGCCCGACGAGAGCGTGGGCGCGCAAATCGCCGCCTTTTGTGTATACAGCTGTGGTCTATTTTCGACGTACATCTGCAAATACCCGCACAGTAAGTCTCGGACACGCGCCAGCTTGTCAGCACACTTCGGCGGTTGTTGACATGTCGTTGGCGCAGTCTGCCAAGACACTGCTCTGGCCCAGGATGGCCCAGCGATGCTCCAGCGCATCATCACCATCCTCCGAGAGTGCAAGGAAGTGTGGCCGTTGGCGGCGCGGTGGGTCGAGGCCCTCGAGAGGTTTTCCATGGACCCTCAGTCCGAAGCGCTGGCGGCCGAGGGAAGCATGGACGACGGCAAGGATCCGGTTCCCCACGCCATCCGTCCCTTTCCAGTCACTGCCCCCACGCCGCCGCAGGTCTCGCACACGCCGTCACTGCCGGACAATGCCGTGCTGCCCAGGCCCGAGCCCCAGCCCTCTTCGACCCTGCACTCTGCTCCTCGCGGCGGCATGGCGCCTTCGATCCCCAGCAACACCAACGGACAGACCCTGACCCCTCCGAGCCAACAGGCGCAAACTCCGTTCCAACCGCCGCCTCAGTCGCTGCCGCATGCCCTGTCCCAGCAGCCAAGGTTGCCTCATCAGCAGCAGCAACACCGACAAGGGGAGCCGCGACCACAGCGGCAATCTGCTCCGCACCACATGTACATGTCGCCACAGGCGCCTCCGCCGCCTCTCGGCCGCCAACCTGTCGACGGACTCGGCATGCTCATTGAGGCCTTCGACACACACCAGCCGGCAGGCGCGCCGTACGGGATCGGCGGGACGCCCGGCACGGGGCCGTACTATCCCCAGCTCGGGCCGGGCAACGATGGGTTCGAGGGCGAGCTACAGTTCTATATTGACGGCGCCTCGTCCACGTGGATGAACACGGGCGCGTGGCTGGACACGATGCAATGATGAAACGAATGTCAAGGAGAAGTCGAGTGTTGTATACCATGGCCGGCAGGGGCCGGTGTGAAGCTTTCTTGCATATAGCGCGGGGAGCGAATGGCCGGACGCGCCTAGGCGGCGCTGGCATACTAGCCGGGTTTCCTTGTTATTCTGTCTTTTTCTGTGCTTTGTACGCGGGCCTTGAACACTTCGGCCAGGCTGGCGCTGGACATGTTTGTATTGTACAGCCAGCTGGAGATGTTGGACCGTGTCATGTGGTCGTGGCGCCGGCTTCAGGCAAAAGCGCCGTCGGCATGGAGGTCATTTGCGCTGCCGAGCGAGCAATCCAAGCACAGCCGTTTGCTGCTTCTCCCGACGAGCCCGAGTGCTATTTTACTTTATTTACTTGAAGATGGATGCAAAAGGACTGGGGAGCCGAATGCAAGCTGTGTCCTTGTTCTCTCCCCTTATTCTGCTGGGGCTTACCCACCTACCCGGGACCAAGTGCCTTTCCCCCTTGTTCCCCAGCTGCATGCTGATGCCCTTTGACGATGTCACCAAGACATCCAAAAAAAGACAGTTCGCAGGCGAGCCACTCTGTACAGCCAGATGCAATCACGTATGCCCTGGAGCATCGTCAACAGGGGCAGCAAGTTCACTCATGTTTCTACAACATCTCCCTGCCGACTCAGTCTCCCGCCGTCTCCTCACTCTCTCTGCTCTTCGACACTCTCCTTTCCGAACCCTTTTCTGATCCGCCTCAATAATCTCGGCACAAGTCGCAAAAGCCGCGCACGCCCGTCTTGAACAAATGATCCCATTCACTTGAAGGGCATCCAAGAAACGCAACGCGGGCGAGATGAAAACTTGGGTGTGAAACTCGGAGAAATGCCTGTACTCCCAACCCTCTCTACATGACTTTTGTGTCGCCACCGCCTCTTTCCTTGGAATCCGTGCGGGGCATTACATGACTCCTCTATTCCGTCGTCGCGTAAACTCGAGTGAGATGATGAAATAACCGACGTGCAATGGGTGCAGAACTTGTCGACGCCAGAAGGAACCGGGTCAAAGGGATTTCCGATGCGACTGGGATATGATGGGGTATTGCGATTACTGTAGTGCCTTTAGGGTCTATGTGCACGTGCAAGCGTCATGGGAATTCGTTTGGGGGATGGGATGTTGTGTCGTGAAAGGGGGGGAAGGGGGAGGGGGGGGGGTTGGGGGTTGGTAGTCCTTCTGAGCCGGGCGGGACGCGGACTTGGCACTGGACGAGTGCATCGACCGCCAGCGCGTGGAATGGTGCGAAGCATGTTCCTCGGTGTGCCAATTCGTCTGGCCCTCCACGAAATCGTGCCTCAGCTTCAGGTCTGGGCCATGACAGTCTGAGCGCCGCCCAGTTGGCGCTTAACCTGCTCGCGAGCCCAGCGAGCTGTCTCGATGGTCCGAGGCTGGAATTCGCGGTTGGTCTTTGTCTCCTTGATCATCGTGGTGAGCCAGTCCTGTCGGAAGAAGCTGTCCACCAGCTCGCCATTGGGATAGGCATCGGCCAGGTCACTGGATAAAACGTCAGCTCGCGTCCCACGTCGACTTGATTCTCGCCGCGACTTACCCAACGACACCCATGGACGCGCGCATCAGGGACTCGCTGCGGTTCATGTCGCCGGCAATTTGACCGAGAAGGTTGAAGATGGCGGGCACGAATTGCTGGAGGGTTTGAGCTGCATAACATGTCAGTGAGGACGAGGAAGAGCAACGTCGGAGGAACACACTCTTGCCGCTGGCCTTCATGGCACCAATAATGCCACCCCAAGCATCCATGATGCCTTCCCGGAGCGAAACGACGTAGTCGAACATCTCGTAGGGCCCATCGGGCGTTGCCGTGACCGTCGACGCCTGCTCCAAGACTTGGGCCACAACCGACAAGTACGCCTCAAAATGCCCACCGATGGCGCCGGCAATGTCGCCAAAGCACTGCAAGATGGCAGGCTTGAACTGGTTCGCGAGCGTGGTGCTCTGAGACTGCGAGTTAGCTTTCGCTTCAAGCTGGAGTGGGGTCAGCGGTATTCGAGGTTGGGAAAGACGAACCCTTAAGTTGTTGAGCAGGTAGTTCATGAAGTCATCACAATAAGGCTGGCTGCGCTCGCCCATCGACCTCGTGAGATCGCTGACGAGGCCAATGCCCATCGAGCACAGGCTGGGCTCCTCTTGATTGCCGAGGGCATTATAGAGAAAGGGTGCAAACGCGTCCATGTACTTGATGAAGTCCTCCTCAATCGAGGTGGACAGGGCGCTGATGGTGGCGAAGACGGCCTCGGGAACGCTCGACTTGCCGCCCACGATGCTGAGGAGCTGGAGCAATACCTGCATGATGTGGTCTCCCTGGGGGGCAATCTCCTTGTCAAGGCGCAGGATAATGGCCTGCAGGACGGTGCACAGACTATTCTGCATCTCCTCTAGAGTTATCTTGTCCTCGACGCTGACGACCTGCGACTGCAGGGGAACAGTCTCCTCAAGTCGCTTGAGAATGACCTCAGAGAGCGACGCGATCGCTTGCAAGCTGTCGGTGGCCGCGTTCTGGACGAAGACATTGAGGACCTCGTACGCGGCGGTCCGGACCGAGGTGTCGGCATCCTGGCGAGCCGTCACGTCGAGCAGCGAGCTGACAGCCTGGTTGAAGTGAGGGGTGATGGGGTTCGAGGCAGAGCCAGCGTCGCTGGCGAAGCGCTCGGCGAGGTTCATGAGGGCCCAGCAACACGAGGGGACCATCTTGGCATTGCTGAGCAGGCCCTTGAACAGGGATTCGATCAGCGTGGGCAGGTGTTGAGCGGGATCAATGGCCTCTGAACACGCCTCCGTAACGCGGCCCAGGGCGTATGCCGTCGAGTCTCTGACCTGGAGGGACTGGTCGTCCATCATGGTAATGAGAATAGGAAGAGCCTGCTTGACAATGGGATCCAGGACCTTCTCATCGGGACCTTCCATAATGGCGCCGAAAGCCGAGACGGCCGCGTCGCGCTCATGCCAGTCTTCTCCACGCAGGTTCGTCTCAACAAACTGCAGCACTGGGGCGATGATGCTAGCACCAACGGCCTGCGAGTAGAGCTGCAGACACTGGTAGGCGGCGCGGGACAGGTTGTACTCGTCGTCGGCGGCGTCCTCGTCCTGCTTGGTCAGAAGCGTCAACAGCACCGGCACCACCTCATTCGCGGCGACCCGAGCGAAGTTGAAAAAGGGACGCATCTGGTCGGCGCTCTCCACCTGGGCGTTGTCGTCCTCGATGGACAGCTCCTCCTCGCAGACGGTGCACCAGAACTCGACGGCGAGCTTGGCGACGTCCTCGTCGTCAGACTTCATGCCCAGGATGGTCAGGCCAAAGAGGGCTTTCTCCATGTAGTAGCGCATGTTGTCGTAGTAGAGGGCCATGATGCGGTTGAGACAGCCAAAGGCGCCCTGCTGGATGCGAGAGTCGTCGGCCTGCGTCGCCTCGCAGACAACCTGCATAATGTAGTTTCGCTCGCCCTCGTGCTTGAAATTGTTGCCCACAAACTCGAGAGAGTCGCCTAGGGCCGTGATGGCGGCGAGCCGGACCTCAATGTTGGCCTCTTCCTTGCGGGCGCCCTGCACCACGGCCGTCAGGATGGCGTTGGAGTGGGACACGAGAGCTAAGCGCAGCTCCGAGTCTTGGGTCTCGCAAATGTAGCCGATGGTGGTGAGGGAGGCTTGCTTTTGGTGATCTGCGCCCTCGCTGACATTTTTCACCAGGAACGGCATCAGGTCGGTCCACTGCTGACGAGGGAGCTCGATGGCGGCGATGGAGGAGATGACCTGGGCGGCGGCGTTACCCGCCTGTGCGCTAGACGACGACAAGGTCTGCAGCGTCAGCTCCTTGACGCGGTTCTTTGTTTCGTCGTCCGTCTGTTGCAGCCATTTAGCCTGCAGCTCTTGATGACGACCAAAGTGCCTAGTCGTGAAGGCATTTTTCAGGGCCAGGCCGGCGGCGGCTCGGATGGAGCTATCTGCTTGATCGTTGGCAAGTTCTTGGACAAGCGTTGCGAGGTAGAGCGGCTGCAAAGGGGCCAAGGAGAAGCGGGGAAGGCGAGGTTAGCAAACGATCAAGGCCGCGAGTAGGCACTGGACGGGGTGCACCCACAAAGTTGCTCTCGGCCGCTTGGCTAAGCTGCTGTTCGGCGGCATTTCGCAAGTTCGCGTCTATCGAGGTCACCCCAAGGTTAGCACCAAGCTGCCCGGGCGAGGATGATTCTGCTGGGGCACGTCGCACGCCACCGCCGGGTCTCGCGAGTTATCGGCAGCAGCGGGGAAGAGGAGACTCACCCGGAGACAGCGAGTTGGCGAGCACCTGATTTATCTCTGAGCTCGACATGATGATGTGTAGCGGAGCGTCTCGTCATGCGGATATGAGGGCCTTTGGCAGGTTTGCCGGTCGGAAGTGCACGTGCGAGCAGCCCGAGGCGGAGTCGAAACGCGCAGTGGGGGCTCAAACGCTGCGAGTCGAAAAAATAGACTTGCTGCCGGACGGGTAAGAGGAGCCTCGCAAAGGGAGGAGAGAAGAGGAGGAGGAGAAAATAAGGGAGGAACCCAGGACTGGGCGTGCGTCGAGGCTTTGTGCTCTTGCGGGAAGAGAGTAGAAGTAGAGAAAGTAAGAGCCTGGCTCTTCCGGGGGCAAGAGGAAAAAAAAGACTGGACGAGGCAGGATGGGAGAAGGAGGACGGATGGGAGGTCGCAGACAGGGCGCGTTCGCAAAGGGGTGCGGATGAGCTGGGAGGGGGAGGGCAGGGATAGTGATGGGGGGGTGGGCGGCGCAGTTGTTCCGGGGACTTGCCTGCGGAGAGGAAACGCGCCTGGACGTCCGCGGCGCCGGGTATAGGGTACCTGCTCGGCACGCACGAGAAAGGTTAGGGCAAGAAAGAGTTGGCGACGAGTCGACGAATCGAGGGAGTGGTGTGGGAGAAGAGCGGTGGAAAACGATGGGGGCGAGGAGGAGACAGAGAGAGAGAGGAAGGCCGGAAGAGGAGGAGTTTGCTGGAACGAAGTAAACGCCTGGTGAAAAGCAAGTTGCCCGTCAATCAACATGTCCCAGGCCGACGACGAGGGTGCCGTGGCTTGGCTGCTGGCGACCGCTGTAGGCCCTGTAGCAGCCTTCTGTCGCCACTGGCGGGCCGGATCAGGCAGCGGGCGTGTGCCAAGCGAGCCAGGAGATGGTACCCGGACTTATCTAGCAGACGAGTATACTCACGCTTTCTCACTGCGCAAGAAGTACATCTACGTGGCTTTCTGCTCGTACCGTCAAGGCAGGCCGCAACCAAAACAATAAGGCCAACTTCTGGAAGTCTCGGGGCACCACAGCCGTCCGTTGACCGACAATTTGCACCCTCTGGCAGAGTGCCCTCCTTTTATGCGCATCTGCGGCAAGGCACAAAGTGTAGCCTCCCACGAGCAGCAGCAGCAGCAGCCGCCTTCACTCGTTAGCTGCCGCGCCCTCGCCTAGCCCTGTCTCACAGTGCCCCGAGTCAAGCGGGCCGGAGCCATGGATGCAGGCTTTTCCCCCCTCTCGGGCTCTCTCTCTTTCCCCCGCACCGGACACCTCGTGGCTGGCCCCATTCGCACTGTATCTTGCCTCTCTGGCCCAAAGTATCTGGGAGAGTGCGAGGTTAGTCATTCATTACTAGGTACTCGACATGATTCGCTTGCGTTTCCTTTGGCCGGTTTTCCTCCTCCTCTTTGTTACGCGACACCATTGCTGCGAGCCTATTCGAGCCTCACCGTGACGCGGCACTCAATAATATCCACCCCGTCCGTTTGTTTTTGTTTGTTTTCTCCCCTCGCCCGCCTCCGTAATCAACTGCCCCCACACCTTCCATGGCAACCTCCCCGCTGTCCAGGTACCGGTACGTGTACCGATCGCACTGTGGATAATCATTGTTGGAAGCTTTGCTCCCCTCCAGAACCAACCAGGGGAAAACATGTTCCCGAGCGGGCGGGTTCCTACAGTTTGAGTTTGGAGCTGTTCCTTGTTGAAGGAGAGCCGAGCTGAGTACAGAGGGGTAAGGGTGTTACCGTAGAACGTAAGGCGGGGGACAATTTACTCAAGTATAGTACTTGGGTTTCCAGAACCCCTTTTACCATTCCCCCATCAAGCAAATGGCTTCAAGAAACGCGCTCCCCTGTTATTCCCCGCCAATGTACGACGCATCATGTCATGGCCCTCTCAACCTCCTCCTCGGCTTACGCTCCACTCACCTTTGCCTCCAAGGCGCTTACGATGCTCGGCCCGTTGGCGCCGCCGTTCAGGTCCAGCTCCTTCACCTCGCCCCGCGAAACCGGCCTGGGGATAAAAGGACTGCCGGAACGGCTGGCGACAAACTGATGGCACACGAGTCAGTCGTCGTACACGGAGCAAGAAAGGGCATAACTTACGTTGCTAGCGGCGCTGAGGAGGGCCGTCAGTGAACTCTGCACCACGTCGTGGTGGATGCCAACGCCCCACACGTTGGTATTGCTGCCGACCGCCGTGCATTCAATGTACGTCGCGGCCTTGACGTCGCGACCCCTGCCAATGGCATGCTCCTTGTAGTCGTGGACGTCGAGGTTGATGCCAACGCCCTTGAGCGCGTTGGCCAGACTCGAGATGGGTCCGTTGCCGCGGCCACGTAGCTTGAACTCCTTGCCGTCACAGGACATGACGCCCTCAAAGACTCGGTTCAAGTCTTTGGTATCTTGCGTCTTGCCCGGTGCCGGGGGGGCCGGTGAGGAGCTGCGGTCCGGCAAGATGCTGTAGTCGACAATGCTGAACTGCCGGTTCTCCTTGACGAAGTACGTCTTTTCGAACAAGTCGGTGATTTCCTGCGACCGCAGCTCCCGGCCCAGGTCGTCAGCCTTTCTCTGGACGACCTTGGAGAAGGCGACCTGCAGGCCCCTGGGAAGATCCAGCTGCAGCTGGCGCAGGATGATCCAGGCGGCCCCGCCCTTGCCACTCTGCGAATTGACGCGAATGACGGCCTCGTACGTGCGGCCAATGTCTTGCGGATCCAGGGGCAGATAGGGAATTTGCCACGGGGCGTCGTAGGGCAGGTTCTCGCGCTCGCGGAGCTGGAAGCCCTTTTTGATGGCGTCCTGGTGCGAGCCGCTAAAGGCGCACACGACCAGGGAGCCACCGTAAGGGGCACGCTCGTGTACGGGGATCTTGTTGCACGTCTCGACCGTCTCAATGATGCTGTTGAGGTCGGAAAAATCAATCTTGGGGTGAATGCCTTGGGTGTATAGATTCAAGCCCAGTGTCACCAGGTCGACATTGCCGGTGCGCTCGCCGTTGCCAAACAGGCATCCCTCGACCCGGTCGGCGCCGGCCATCTGGGCCAGCTCGGCGGCGGCGACGGCACAGCCTCTGTCGTTGTGCGGGTGCAGGGAGACGCAGATCTTGTCGCGCTCCGTCACGTTGCGGCAGAAATATTCGATCTGGTCGGCGTAGACGTTGGGCGTCGACATTTCGACGGTGGCGGGCAGGTTGAAGATGATGGGGTTCTCGACCGAGGGCCCCCAGGCGGCCTTGACGGCCTCGCAGACGTCGATGACGAACTCGGGCTCGGAGTCGGAAAAGGTCTCGGGGCTGAATTCAAAGGCCCATTCGGTACCCTGCTGGGCGGGATCGTCCTTGGTCAGGGACCGGACGAGCTTGGTGCACCGGACGGCCGTCTCGAGGGTCTCCTCCTTTGTAAAGTTGAAGACGATGCGCCGGAAGCACTCGCTCGTGGCGAGGTAGATGTGAATGAGACCCTTCTTGGCCCCCTTGAGCGACTCGACCGTCCTCCGGATGAGGTCCTCGCGGCAGGGGGAGAGGACCTGCAGCCAGACGTCGTCGGGCACGGCGCCGGGCGTCTCGATCAGGCGGCGGGTGAAGGCGAAGTCGGTGTCGGAGGCGGACGGAAACGACACCTCAATTTCCTTGTAGCCGAGGTCGACGAGCATCTTGAAGTAGCGCCATTTCTCGTCGCCGTTCTGCCGCTCAAGGTTAGCAAAGGCTCGAGTTGCCGAGGGCGGAGCTTGCCATTGGGTCGACCAGGCTTTGGTTGCCATCGCGAAGGTCGGTGGCCAGCCAGCGAGGGGCCTTGTCGAGGGTCTTGTTTGGCCATTGGCGGTCGGGCAGCTTCAGCGGCGGGAACCGTTTATATTTTCTCCATGGATCCTGGAGCCTGAGAGTCGGGGAATATCAGTCTGCAACACCGCACGGCATGGGGGTTTCTGTTCATCTCACATTGGCATCTTGACCGGGGGAAAATGGCGGGGCAGTAACTGCGCGTCACAGGCACACAGGAGGGGCAGCAAACTGCCACGGCAGAGAGGTACAAGAAATATGACGACCAAGAGGAATCGCAAAATGATTGTGACGGCAGAAGGTGTTGGAAATTTTGGAGCTGATGCGACGGTTTGCTCAGCAGGATGGCCGTTTTTCCCCCATTGGGCCGCGAGATCGGAGTCGAGCACGGAGTACTTGGTAGCAAGTACAGTACACGCTCACGGAGTCCCAGGGTCCCACTACGCTAGCACTGTGTGAGTCACGGGCTAGAGAATTGCTTCACTAAAAGGTACAGGTAGGTAACTAAGGTAGGTGTAATGCAGCGCATGTAATTCGCCGCCTTCCACTGCAGCTTGCTGATTGCCTCGATCCTATTCGCGCCCAGCCTTTCTGTTCGTTCAGCTGTGTTGTCAACCGCACTACCTGGAATCACTGTGCCAATACGCTGCTTTTGTCACTGTGCCTTGAGGTCACCCAACTTTTCTTTCGTCGTCCTTTGGTGAGCAGGACCCCTCTTCTGGCAGCCCGCCCGCACTAGAGTTACTTCGTAAACGGCACCTTTTCATTTCCTGCGGGATGCGAGGGGCTGCTGCTCTTTGTCGTCTCTCCAAGGCGGGGCCAGGCGACCGAGGCCCGGCCATCGTTGGCGTGCCTCAGTGAGCCTTTGTTCGTTACTCCCACGCGCTTTCGAACATGTCATTAGCGTCTTTCCGTCATGAGATTGCTTGCTGCCCTTCAGGCTGTTTGTAGGTGTGTAGGGCAGAGGCATCAAGCGACGTTATCCCTGTGTCGGTCAGCTGTGGCGCCCAGTCATGTGCTGCCCCTCGGCACGAGGGTTTTCCCCTCTCATCATCGGGGCTGCGCACGGCGAACCTGGTGTCAGCCAGGAGCCCTCTTCACCAGCCTGTCTTGCAGACACGTCTCCCGCCGAGACAGCCAAACATCAGCACACATCTTCGGCCCACCCTTTCTGCCCGTAGTCAAAGCGTTGAAAGCTCCAGACAGGAAAAAGAGTCAACAAGAAACCATGCTATATGCAATGGCAATGACATGAGAAGCTCCATAGATGTCCTAACATTCAACAATTTCACCGTCGCCGTACCCTTCGTCCACCCACGCATCCTTACTTCATAAGTCGTTATTTCCATGAAATATTCCCGTAGCTCGTTTTCACGCCCACATTACGTCTCTTAACGCCCCTGGGACTTGCCCATCGTCAAAGCCAGCCGGGCCAGACCGTACCTTTCGTCCCTTGGACTGGAGTTATCCTGCCACTCCATGCACAGGACGGCAAGTCAGGCCCGGGACTTCTGAGGTGCAGCGAGTCGGCTTGCCAGAATCAAGAGGGCGCCGGTCATCCGTCAACGGAAGTATCCACGGGCTGGTCTGCGGCTGTCGTAGACCACCTCTCGTTCCCTCACCCGCTCGTCGTCCCATTCCTCCCGCGACGATCTCCAGCGATCATGGAGGTCCGGATGGTGGCGTCGGAACGGTCTTTCCCACTCGTCCCGCCACTCCCTCTCCCGCTGAATCTCCCGGACGCGCTCTTTTCGTTGGCGGCGCATGTTTTCCGACAAGTCGGTCAAGCGGATAACGTCATCCTGCAATAACATGTTAGCCACGGGTTTCTTATTGTGATTGCGGGAAGGGGGCGGATTCTGCTCACATATTTGAGATAGTCCATGACGTAAAAAAACTCCTTTGTCTCCTCGTACTCGTAGCCCAGCTCCTCGATGGCTTCTCGTAAAACGAGATCCTTGGTAATCTCCGTCCACATCTCCTTTGGCGGCGGCGGCGGCGGCGGCACCGGAGTGCGCGTGATTCGACGATCAATGTCGACATCGATCTCCCTCTCGCGGTCGTAAACACCCACGCTGGTGCGATCTCGGGAGGGGGCGGGCGATGGCTCTCTGGGCACGACGGCGCCGTCTCTCTCGGGGATGAACTGCGTTCTCCTCACTCCGCTGTACTTTGTCCAGGTGGTATCGGTGCTGCCGCCGCCTACGCCGTCCATGCGGACTCTTTCGGTGCCCGGCGGCACGTCGACAATGGTCCAGTCCTTTGTGGCGCCGCCCCAGGCCTCGCCCATGCGTCCGCGGGAATCCACCTTGGAGGAGAGGTAGTCGCCCTCCTCATCCATGGGAGAGCAGAGCGGGGCGGCCGACTGTGCCCGTCGACGCGAGCCCGAGTACTCGTCTACCCGAAGGCGGTCGCCGTCACGGCGGACAACGACGTCCTCCTCATGGTAATGCGATCGGCGTTCGCGGCTCTTGGAGCGCGGCCTGTTGCTAGACTGGTGAATGTCGACCTCGGTGCGGTTCTTGGACAGGGATATGTCAATGTCCGTCTCCCGCTCCCTCGGGCGCGAACGAGGCGCGGGAGGGGGACTGGGGGGCTTCGCCCGCACCACTCCTGGGCTTTGTCAGTGCTGCGCTCGTCATGGCAATCGGGCCCCCTTTGTCTTTTGTGGGGGCCGGAAACTCACCGTGATCGACGTCAGTCCAGTGGGTAATGACCTCTCGCTCGATGGTCGGGCCGCGAATGACCGAGGGAGGCGGCGGCGGCGAAGGCGAGGGAGACGGGGAAGGGACACGCTCCCTGTCCTTTTCGACGATGCGAGTGCGAATATGCTCATTATAGACGGGAGAGGGAGAGCGTCGGCGGCGCTGTACGAAGCGAACGGGCAGAGGAGAAGGGGAGCGGCGGCGGACGACGGAGGGGCTCCGCACACGCTCCCTCTCCACGACCCTGGCGCGCGTGTGCTCGTGCTCGCTGCCGCGCATAGCTGGCGGAGAGGCACTCTTGGGGCGGCGGACAACCTCTCGGATCCGTACAGGAGGGCTGGGGCTTCTAGCGTGGCGGTCAAAGGTCTCGACGTCGCGCTGGCGCAGCACCATGGGTCCAGCCTCGGTGCGTCGGCCGTCGTCCCTTAAGAAGGCAGGCGTGCGCTCCGTCTCCCTGTCGCGGACGCGAATGTCGACGTCGTCTTGCTCGCGAGTGGCGACACGGGACCGGGGCGCCGGGGGTGTCCGCGTGACCTGGCGAGGGCGATAGTCGAGGTCATCAAAGTCAGGGGCTGAGCGACGAGGCGGATAGTAGTCGCGCTCCTCAAATTCGGTCATCCTGGAGCCACGGTGCGCCATGCTGGGCGACCTTTGTGTGTTTCTGTCAAGTCAGGTTTGCGGCGGATGAATGGATGGCTGGGCGCTTTTATCGCTCGAGGAGGGGATGCTGACGCGGGGCCTCAAGCTGCACCGTGACCACCACCAGTCAAAGGGACGACCGGAAACAACGACGAGACAGAAACAGACGGCAGAAGGGGTAAAAAAAGAAGCCCACGAGGTTGGCAAGGACCAAGGCTAAGTCGGGCCGGGCGATCAGAGGAGCGGGAGCGGCACCGAACGGTCCAGTACGTGTACTGTAGAGGAGGAGGGAGGAACTGGAAAGACGGACGAATGGGCTGAAATAACCGACTGGGACCGTTGGGCAAGTGCACTTTGCCTTGCAGCAGCCTGGACTGTAGTGGCCTTGGGTACGTCAAGCGTCGTCATTCCCTCCTGGTGGGCATTTGGGATTGGATGGGCATCAAAAAGCAAGTACGTATTCGTACCTTGAGGATATCTGCCCGTGTCGACGTCGACGATAACAAGACTGCGTATTCCATGTACCCGACCGATACTTGCACTTGTGCGCTATACGAAGTACCTATCGTCCTCGCTAGATAGTAGGTACCTACCTAGACGACAAGTACCTAGGTAGGTAGGTACATACTTAAGTACAAACCAATTGCCTTGTCGGGCATCGGATGATCTAAATAGCGTCGGGACGTTCCGCGCTCGTGACCTACTCAGCCTGAACGACCCCGGCTTGTGACAACCCAGCAGAGGCTGGACAACACGACAGACGCACCCCTCTCTAACATCTAACACGCCCCAGAACATACCCACAAGAGAAGCCCCCATCACCATGGACCAGTTGACTGACGGAAAAATAGATGCATGAATACTGTCACGAAAAAATGATACCGAAACCCCCATGTGCAAAAGCCTGCGCCTCCTGCTGGTTGTTGCCCCGCTGTCCACCTCCACCATTCTGGTTCCCGCCGAAACCGCACGCATTTTGCACAATCCGTCGTCACGATGCCCAGGTAGGCCAGGCGCCGTTGATGAAGAGGCCCGACCCGTTGTTGGGGTGCGTGTCAAAAGTGAGTCACGTTGATGTTGGTCGCTCCCACCGACAGGGCTTTGAAGTCTGTATACGTCTCATCAGGAACCATGGCTCCGTCTTGCGCCGGGGCCGTCTTGGTGTTGTCCTGGGCCAGCACGGAAACCTGGTTCAGCTGGCTCGAGGTCAATCCTTCCACGTGGTCCTGGTGCTTGTGGCTCAGCACAATCTCGTTGCCGTTGGCGCCCCTTTCCTGCATCATGCCGATGCAGGTCGAAGCGAGCTCTGCCACGGGCTGCCTTTCGTACATGACGGCTTGGTTGCCGTCCTCGATAAAGTAGACGGTGACACCCAGGTCGAGGTTGGAGTCTCCTTGTTGCAGTCCATTGTCTTCTTCTGCTCCGCTTTCTGAGGCTGTGTTCCTCTCGTCTTGGCCGGCACGTTATTGCTGGGGCCAAAGAATACATCGACCGTCTGTGGCCCCTGCTTCCGCTTCACCACACTTGCTGCCATGTTGGTTATTCTGCTCTAGGACTGTCATTGCATCAGGGGTACTCACGGTACAAACCGTGAGGACAGCTCAAGACTCGAGCTCGACCTGCGAGTGTCTAGACTGGCATGGTGCATGCACGCGGCCGCAGAGCTGACGAGGGCTAAGAGGGCTGATGATGTTTCCCGATTATCATGAATTGTGTCTGTTCCCTTCGATTCCAGCCCAAGTTGGAAGACGGTCGGGTCTGATGTTGAATGACGACGTAGAAAGTACAAGGACCAGGGAACCGCGTAAAAAGACGTTACAGATGCACACGCTGAAGAGCGGTATATTCAGGTACAATAACACTTTGTTCGCTTTCACATTAGACGAATGTCACAGAGGCTCTTTGCGGCCAGTGTGACAATCTTGAAACAGCCTGTGACACCGCCCACCCATCTCTTTTACTATTCTTGATAACGGATTGTACGCGAGAATGGAGGACAAGTCAAGCCGAGACTAGACGCTAACCCGTTGCTTTCGCCTTTGCGGCTCAATGACTTCCTCAATGTGAACGGCCGACTTAGCTAGATACGACGCCTCGACTTCTCTACCTTCCTCCCGTTGATGTAACGCCCACCGAAGGATTCGCCCCCTTTTCACCTGGGGTACCAAGGCGCTGCGATTCACAGGGTCAGCCCGCGCACCAGAGCACGTTCGGCTTCGGCGCAGACGAGCTGAGAGATATGCTGGCTTTGCGGCCACGACAGCACGACGAGCCACCCGTCCTTTGTTTCCCCTTGATGTCAGGTCTCCAAAGGTAATGCCAGAAAACTAGACGGGCCATCTCTCCGCGTACATCGCACCAAATGCCTCCCGTCTACCGAAACACGAGACTTGGTCGTCGTCCATAGATGACCCGATGCTGAAAGACAACGGAACATTCGCACCCACGCCAGTCTCTCAAAGTCCCAAAACGGCCCATCGTCGAGCCCAATCCTTGGTCTTGCATAGAAAGTGGAAACCCAAGAGAAGTGGAAGGGGAGGTCCAGGCGGTCTTGGTTTAGCCTCGGATAGAGCTGCTCATAGCGATGCCTGTCGAGAGCCAAATGAGGATGGGAGACTTGTAGATAGACTCTCGCGGGCGGTATCCAAACACTGCTTCAATGTAGCCTGTTCTTCCGTGCGAAGGCACAGAACCGACAGACAAGGGACGGACGGCGGCTTGTCATGGCGGGCACACAGAGTTGATTTCGCGCCCCAGCTCATCATTCTCGTTTCCCATTCAGGCATCCAGTTCGTATACGTTTACTCCTTACTGACCGATGAGCGGCACCCCTAGACACAGTTCTCTCGGGGGATCCGTAGTAACATGCGTCGCCTTGCTCTGTCTATTTCTTCGTTTCGTACAGACATCCAGTTCGTCCACCTGCGGCTGCCGCTCAATTATTCATGTAAGGCCGCGCTTCACATCCTTGGCGACCAGGCCCACGAGGCTCTTCTCTGGCTTTGGGTACGGCGGCCTGCCACCCAGAATGTCCGCCACCTCGCGCATGTCGAGCCAGTGCGCCACCTTTGGGCGGCGGTTCGGCCAGTCCGTCCCCTCCTCCTCCAGCTCCTTCATCGGGGTGAAGACGACTTCGGACCCCCGAATGCCGATGACGGTTGTGCTGTGGGGATCTTTCTTCACCCTGTTGTGTGCGTTGCGGCCAAAGTCTTCGAGGTGCTGGATGCACTTGATGGCCAGTCGGACTGCGCGGCAGCGGTCCATCGGGGAGGGCACGCCACCCTGCTGCACGTGGCCGGGGATGCTCTCCCGACTCTCGAAGCGATCGTGTGCCTCGTCTCGGATGATGCTCGCAATCAGTTTGGCATCGTAGACTTTGCTGGCCTTTTCATTGACGAGAATCAGGCGGCCGGCACGGGACTGGCCCCTATCGTTCTTGAAGACCTCTTTGAGGTTCATGACGTCTGCGTTGAGCATCTCGAGGCTAATGCCTTCCTCTGGAATATATATCGCCGTGGCGCCCACGTTGAGTCCGCTGAGGGTTGCTATGTATCCGGATCGACCTCCCTGCGTCTCGATGACGAAGACGCGCCGACGAGTGGCAGAGGCCGATTGCTTGATCTTGTCGCAGTACGAGACCAGTTCGTTGAGGCAAGTGTCGGAGCCCAAAGAGTACTCGGTGCCGGGGACGTTATTCGAGATGGTCGCCGGGAGCAGGCAGATGGGGATGCAAAGCGACGGAAACTCGTCTCTGGCCTTGCGTAGCTGCGAGACGGAATGGAATGCCTCAAAACCGCCAACGATGAAGAAGGCATCGAATTCGTACAGCTCAATCAAGTTGGCAATCAGTTCCATGCCAGACTCGGACGGGAGCTCGCGGTTGGTGCCGATTTCCGAGCCGCCCTTGCTGGCCCATCCGTCGACCTCGAGCCAATCGAAAGGGCGCACAGACCCGACGGGCTTGTCGTCGTGATGGCGCGCGAAGCCAGCAAAGCCATTGTGAATCGCAACGGGCTGGTGTCCCCGGCTAAGGCAATAGGCCACCGCGGCGCGCACCGCGGCGTTCATACCACCGGCGGGGGCGCCGACATTGATGAAGCCTATCTTCATGCGCTAGGAGCCTGTTAGTCACGTCTCGGGGCACTCGGTGCACGTTCAAGGAACGAGGGCGAACTCACGCTTTTCTCCGGCAACTTGCAGTCTCCCGCAAAGACATTGGTAGTCGTGAGGAACGACCTGTACTGGTCCGCGAACTCGGTATCCCGGAGTGCCATGGCCTTTTCGAAGTCCTTAGCCTCGACCGCAGCAGCGAGCTCCTTGGACTCGAGTACCGCCTTCATCAGCGGCTTTCGCACAATCTTGTTTTCGTTGATGGCGATGAAGCAAGTTTCGGTTTCGGGTGTGGCCTCGAGAACAGCATTGACGGCCTCAACGCCCTGAAGGGTGGCGAGCATGCGATCGTAGGCGACAGCCGTCCCACCACGCTGTACGTGGCCCAGAGTCGTGATGCGCGTATCCAGGCCGAGTCCGCCCTCGCTCTTTCCAGACAGCAGGTCCCTGATCTCTTCGGACGAGATCTTGTTTCCGTCCCTGTCACGAGCGCCCTCGGCAACAATGACAATCGTTTTCCGCTTGCCAATTTTACGGTGCTATCAAGAGTGGCGTCAGCGAAAACTATTTGTGCATGGAATCTGCGCCAGGGTCACTCACTCTGCGGACAACAACAGACATGGCCTGGCGCCAGTCGTGATCCTGGGGGCGTTCGGGAATGAAGACAAAGTCGGCGCCGGTGGCCACGCCAGCGAGAAGAGCCAGCCAGCCGCAGTGGCGGCCCATGACCTCAATGACGAATGCTCGTGAGTGAGAAGAGGCAGTGGCTTCGATGTAGTCAACCATTTCGCAGATTCGGGAGAGGGCCGAGTAGCAGCCGATGGTGGCATCGGTGCCAGAGAGATCGTTGTCGATGGAGCCGACGATGCCAACGATATTTAGGTGCTTGTAGAGGGCGGTTTGGTCCTCCGACACTTCACCTTTGGTGACGAGCTCTTCGAGCAGGGAGGGCCATTCGGATCGAAACTTGTCGGCGCCAGTCAGGGAGCCATCTCCGCCGCAGATGATGAGGGCGTCGATGCCGCTAAGAACCATGTTCTTGGCGGCCGTCAAGCGGCCAGCGCGCTCGTAAAAGGCCATACACCGGGCTGTTCCGATGAGCGTGCCTCCTTCGGACAGCCAGCCTCGAACGTCGTCCCATCCCATCTTCTTGATGTAGTCGCCACCGCAGACTAAACCCTCGTAGCCCTCATAGACAGCATAGGCGTCGCATCCCAGGTGGATGGCCATGCGGACCACGGCGCGCACCACACCGTTCATGCCTGGGGAGTCGCCGCCGGAGGTCATTACGGCAATCTTCTTCTTGGGAGCCATGGTGACGATGGAGTGCGATCGAGGGTATTCCGAAAAGATGCAAGTAAGATGTCGATGGTCGAGAGACGAGGAACTGCACCGAGCTAGGGATCAAGCTACAGGGTCAGGGTCATTGCGTCGATGCTCCGGGAAGACGAGGGAAGGATCTGAAGACGCCTAGAAGATGCGACGGATGAGCTGAATTAGGCGGGCGGAGGCAATGCTGGTTGGTTGGCTGTTTGGAGGATCGAGAGGCAGGAAAATAGGCGGGATGGAGGGGTGATGGAGTGAGGGGCTGAGGAGGGGGAAGCGACAATGGGCTGATCAAGGGTCCAGGTCTAACTTTGGAGTTCGACACGCTATGCCCGGTGCCTGTCTTGTGTGCCGCGCTACTAAGATGGGTTACCTTTTTCAGGGCGTCATTGGCGCGGTGCCACAGGTACCTGGGGCTAGTACAGTGCAAGCTTATCGGGCCCTGAACCAAGGCAATGACGGAGCTGAGCATCACCGTGCCACGGTTTGGTATTTGCTGGCGTGATTCATGAATGTTCTGGGCCTAGTGCTTTGTTTCAATCTCACCGTCATCACGGTCATGGCGAGACGCGAGTCCACCGTGTTTCCATCGATCCTGGCGTACCGTCGGAGAGTGAAAGATACACTGTATTCACGTACTGTACGTCGCCCACTAGCCTTGAAGTGCTTGCATCTCCAAGGTTCTCGACTAATCAAATGCATCCATTTTGCTCTGTCAAGTCGAGTATATATTTATCCTCATACCCTTCCTCCGTGACGGAGGCTTGCAGCCTTGAAGCTCGCATCTTATTTATACTTTGAACACAGTTCTTTATTCTTTAGCTCGCCTCGGTTCAGCCCTTTGAGTCAATGGCCGTGCGGCCCTTTCCACGAATTGGCATCCGTAACTTGAAGCAGCATCACCAACAACCCACGTAAGAAATTTTGACTTTGAAGCCAGCTGGACTCGTCCGCTACAAACAAGACGTTCGATTGGTAAAACGACGTCCACGCACTCATCATCATGGCTCTCACTACCATCAACCTCCCCTCCTTGGACAAGGTGGCCTCGGGCAAGGTACGCGACCTCTTCGCCCTCGACGACCCCAATGCGCTGCTCTTCGTTGCCTCGGACCGCCTGTCCGCCTTCGACGTGGTCATGAAGAACGGCATTCCCAACAAGGGTGCCATCCTGACCCTCGCCTCCGCCCACTGGTTCCGCGTGCTCTCAGAGCGCATCCCCGGCCTAAGGACGCACTTTGTCAGCCTCGACGTGCCCGCCAGCCTGTCTGCCAACGAGGCCAAGGCGATCAAGAACCGCAGCATGCAGGTTCGTAAGCTACGGGTGCTCAAGATCGAGGCCATTGTGCGCGGCTACCTGACCGGCAGCGCTTGGAAGGAGTACCAGGCCAAGGGGACGGTCCACGGACTGGCCATGCCGCCGGGGATGCAGCTATCACAAAAGTTTCCAGAGCCCATCTACACGCCAAGTACGAAGGCCGATCTCGGCGAGCATGACGAGAACATACACCCAGATGATGCCTGGAAGGAGCTGGGCGACAAGGAGACGGCCCGCCAGGTTCAGGAGTTGTCTCTCAAAATCTACCAAACCGCGGCCGCCTACGCCGAGGAGCGAGGCATCATCATCGCCGACACAAAGTTTGAGTTCGCCAAGGACGACGAGGGCAACATCTATCTCGTAGATGAGGTGCTGACACCGGACTCGTCGCGATTCTGGCCCAAAGACGCGTACGAGCTGGGCAAGGACCAGGATAGTTTTGACAAGCAGTTTGTGCGCAACTGGCTCATCAAGGAGGGCCTCAGGGGCAAGGAGGGCGTCGAGATTCCGCGAGACATTTGCAAGGCCACAGAACAACGATACAAGGATGTGTTTTTGAAGCTCACGGGAAAGACATTTGAGAACGTGGCCGGCAGTTGAAGTGACCAAGACAGAAAAAGCACGCGGAAAACATGTAGACTTCAAATGGAAAAAGAAAGGCGCTCCTGGATATCTTGGCGGTTCAATATATCATTTAGGTAAGAGAAAAACGGTTCAAGAAAGTATTCGACACGGAAAGTTCCAGACCGCCGTCATCGACTATTCATTGGTTTCATGCGCGCCCATGTGCGTGTCATTTCCCGTGTCGTAGGCGATACCGCCATGTCATCATCTTGCATGCAGTCTCCTCATCAGGCATCGAGAGCACGGTCTAGTTGGGCTGGGAGATGGCCCGGTTGATTCTACGTGGGAGTCAGCGGTTGGATTTTTTGATCGACGGTCGGAAGCCTTACCTCCTTATTCCCTCTGCCACGACCTCAGGATCCTGCGTGAACACCATGCGGAACCACCCGGGCTCGAGCGAGTGCTCCTCTCCCGCGTGAAGAAAGATGCCGGCGTTGATCAGCTTCTTTCCAAGTGCAGACTCGGCTTTAGACAAGCTCCCGAGGTCTTTGCGCAGGAAGGGCGACAAGTCGATCCAGAGAAAGAAGCCGGCATTGCTGCCCAACAGATAGTTGACGCCAATCTCGTGTAGGCCCTGGGTCGCGTGCCTGTAGGCGGCGGCGAGCTTCCGGCGCGTCGAGTCGACAAAGTCGCGGCACCACTTGCGGTCCTCGAGCATGGCGGCGCCGATGGCCAGACTGGGCCCGGCCGGGTTGTGGAAGCGCATGACGCCGGTGACGGCGTCCTTGACCGCCTGGCTGCGGGTGATGATGGCTCCGAGGCGCAGGCCCGCCGAGCCAAAGTCCTTGCTGAAGCCGTACGTCACGTGAAGGCGCTCCGTGTCAATGAGACCCTCCGCGTTGATGGCGAGGATGGAGGTGAAGGGCGTCGCGTACGGCTCTCCCGAGTCGAACGTGGAGCAGGCGTAGATTTCGTCGCTGATGAGGTGGAGCTTGCGTTTCTGGCAGAACTTCATGATGGCGACCAACGTCTCCTTGGGGTAGCATATTCCTGCACCGGGCGTCCCGTCAGGACAATGTCTTGGAGGAGCGTTGCAGGCAGGGGATGGGATGCACGCTCTTACTCACCGAGGGGATTGTGGGGATTGACAATCAGAACGGCCTTGATATTGACGCCCCTGGCCTCGGATTGAGCCGCGGCCGCCTCAAACTTGTCAACGACATTCTCGGCGAAGCAGTTGTCAGCAGCGGAGTCGGCGTAGACGACATTGACTTGGGCTCTGTTGCCAAAGTCGAGCTCAAAGCGGCCATAGACGGGGCGGCTGGCCAAGATTCCGTCGCCTGGATCGGCGAGACCCCATGCGAGGATGTCGTGCATGGACGTGGCCGCGCTGGTGACCTTGATGTGGTCGGCCGTGATGGGCTCGTGGGGCTGGAGATACTCGTTGAGATGGACGGCCAGGGCGGCGGGGAAGCGGCGGCCGCCAGCGGTTGAGAATCCATAGGAGAAATGCTGCGGCTCGAATTTGACCTAACTAATCATTTGCAAGAGTCCAGTTGGAGGGAGAAGTCGGGCCCTTACGGCTGCGTTGACGAAGCTCTCGACGTCGCCGGCAATCAGTTTCTGTAGCGCAACGCAGTGAGCCTCCAGGAGCAAGTTGACGGTGGAAGCAAGAAGGCTCATACGTTTTCCGCGAGGGCAAATGAGATGAGGCCGTCCGGGTTGGTCTTGGCATCGTACGTCTGAGCCCGGGCGAATCTCCAAGGGAGATGCTGCTTGGCAACAACGGCAGCGCTTCGCTTGGAGAGGTAGGGGTTGTAGGAGGGTGATGCCATGGTGGAGCAGCGAAGATTCTCTTTCTTGGACGGTACCGTGGACAGAGAAGTCAATGCTGGGGAGAGACCGTTGTTTTCTTGAGTCCATGTGGCCGGAGAGAGGACTTTATAAGTGGAAGCTGAGTAACTCGAGTTGTTGTTGGCCGATACAGGTATTGAGTGGAGTGTCACGATCCCCTATCCTGGCCTGTCTCGGACTTGATGAGTCATGCCAGTGCAGCAAGCCACATCGCTCTCGATTGGAGAGGCAAACTCGCGATAGGATAGTTTGCATCAAGGTTGGCCCCAACGTGCCTTCATTACTGAGGCCCGGCATAGCAATCAGTTTGAGTGCTATCCATCAAGGTCACCTTTGCCTGGCTTCTTCAGTTGGGCCACGCTCTCAAGGCAGTGTCAAGAACCTGGACTTCTCTTGGGCTGGCCATGTACGCTCCTTCTCTCCCTTCCATATAGATAAAGTGGTTTACAAGTGAATAGCCATTGGATCCATTTTTCGACAAGTGACAGGCTTGCTGTTCTTTCTGGCGCTCAACCTCCCCGGGCCGACTATGGCCGACCCCGAACTGTCAGAGGCTTCAGCGGCCTGAACAACAGCTGGCGGGCAGTTGGCCGCAGGAACCGAAAGCCCATCGGTTCCTCAGGCAGCACTGGGCGACAGTGCAGCAGAGCCCTAAATATCCAGGGCCATTTACGCGCTTCCCCCTGACGCGTCTCGCTTTCGCCATCTCCCCCAAGCGCCAGCATTTTCAACCCCCAAGCCTGCGCCCGAAACGGCGGCATTCTCACACCGTCTTGAGGATCCATGGCACTGTCGAGTGACATGCTCTCGTTGACTGCTCAGCATCTTTTATGCCGTATTGATTAAGGGGCCTCGTGCCGCCGTCATCATGTTTTATAGCCACGAGAGTCCGTCTGCTTCCATCCCCCTATGCCTTGACGAGACTTGTGATGCTAACCACGCCTCTAGTCCTCAGCAACAGTCAGTATGGCGTTGCCACCATCTGGTATGGCCCACATCTCTTTACGCTCTCTTCCTCCTCGCCGTCGTTATGTTGTACTGGGGAGCGAGAGCGTGGCAATGACTGACCCCCTTCTCTAGGCTGGCCGCGACGATTGGCAAAAACGCCTCCGCCGGAAAAGGTGTCCTGCGACGACTGACCAAAAAAGCCGTCCAAGGGGTGGACGTTCCCAAGGCGTGCGAGATCATCATCAACCCGGGCGCACCCTTGGCGCTGCGTCTGCAGGGCAGTCTCCTCTATGGCGTATCTCGCGTCTTCGCCGAGCAGTGCCGCTACATGCTCTCCGACGCCGAGAAGACGCAGTCTGACATGATGACTTTCTTCCGTGTCCTGCAGACAAACGAGACGGATCCTCGGGCTGGGAAGACCAAGTGAGCGTACACTTTCTTGGTCAGAGATACAAATCACTGATATGTGCACCCAACACAATAGGCGCCATCTCATCATGCTCGAGGATGATCCGGGCTTTGACATCTTTGGTGCCCTGCCCAGTCTGGATCTGCTTGGCTGGGACACAGAGCTCGCCGGGGTTCCAAGCCAGGGCTCAACAAACAGGTTTTCTTTCATGACCCCCCAAGGCGCCTTGAGCCAGGCCAGCCATTCTTCTAGTCAGAACCAGCCGTTCCTGTCATCTGGCCCCCGGCCCTCTTCCCTTGGTGCCTCAGATTATCGCCTGCCGTCCGAATTCGGCCACCACAGCTCGCCTCTGCCAAAGCACAATCGAGACTTGGAAGCCATGCCCGAGTTTCAGCCCTTTGTCGAGGATGAGCTGGATCAAATCAACGCCATCGGCCTCGACTTTGATGCAGATGGCAACTTGATCGACATCATTGAAGCTGAACCAGAGCTGCCTCTTCTTTCTGGCACAGGCCCTCAAGCACAGCCTGAGTCCCGTGACTCGGATCGGGTCGGAGGACCCGAAGGGCAGTTGATTCTAGAAGAGGGAGATAGGCAGGTGTTGAGCCTGGGCGAAGCCGCGCTTCCAGATGCCGAGGCGTTCCCGGTTCAACGAGCAGCCAGGAAGGCCCCAAAAGTCCTCGCCGAATCCTCCGAGACCACCGAGACTGAACAAGCGTCTGCTCATATCCGTCGCGGGCGTCCACGCAAGCTCAACTTCATGGTCGACAAGATTGATCGCGTCTCTCGCCAGGAGTTTCGCAGCTGGACCGAAAACTACGTCCAGCACATGGACGGAAGCCGCAAGCGACGCCGGATAACCACGCAGGCACAAGCCAAGAAGAACGCCGTTGCCCTCCTTTACGGCAATAGAATTGCCGGCATTGGCATTCTTCACGGCGACCTTGCACCGTCCCACCCACTGGCCCAAGAATTTGCGGGCCGAGCCCTCAAGGCCCGTCTGGAGGGCCTGCGTACCGATGAGGTCGAGTACGGATACCAGGAGAAGAGGGGCAGACGCCGCAAGTCCCCTGAGGCGTTTGGGCAAGACGATGCGGCACGCGGCGAGCAGCGGAATGTCCGCCAGCGCATCGATGAGGACGCGGAGCTCGGGCGGGGTGACAGCCACGACGGAGACGGTCTGGTGTTTGGCGACGACTCTGCCCCTGAGATTGGGATGGAAGCAGCTCCGCCCATGGAAGACCGACGCTCTTCATCCATGATGCCGTGGAGCCGTCCGGCGTCGGTCACCCGCGGCCAGGGCAGCGCACAAAAGGGAGTGCCCTCTCCCAGCCCCCTCCACACCCGCGGTGGCAGCGTCGTTGGCTCCATTGAGCATCACAGCGACCCCATCGAGACACCCCTGGGAGCCGCGATGGGCCTCGGGGCCCGAGATGACTCGTCACTCGACTTTGGCTCGTCCCTCGGCGCCCTTGACTTCAACCGCGGCGACCAAGAGATACCCGGGTAGAGCGCGGGGCTCGACGTGGCCAGTCAGGAATTCTTGGGATATGCTACAGAGCAGGCCGCCGGCAGCAGGGGCGTCGTCGCGCGAGACGCGCACAGAGGCACCGAACACCGTTGGATCACCTTTGACGAGCTCGCCGACCCGGAGACGCACACCAAGGCCGTCGCGGCGCAGGCTTTTCTCCACGTGCTCTCCCTCGCGAGCAAGAGCGCCATTGCCGTCGAGCAGGACGGCGCGGCGCACAATGTGCCCTTTGGCACCATCCGCGTCGGCATCCCCGTGCCTGCCCATCGATCAGTCGCGTCCGAGGAGGACGAGCTGGCTTGAGTGGCGACGGCCTACCCTTTTTGCGCAGATTTGACGTTCGATGTCGCGTGCATTTTCTCCATTGGGACGCGCGCCTGGACGATCAAAAGTGGTTTGATTTTTATTGCACTGCATTTCAAATGGGAGTCTGGCCGGCGCTTTTTCGTCGACTTTCTTTTTCTTCGTTCTTTTTTCAATTTCTCGATCATCGTTCAAGCGCAAGATTCGTAAAACGGGCGTCTGGTATTTTTTGTCTTCATCGCATCTGGACTCGGGTCTGCGAGAGGAGGGCTGGCAAGGGGTTCGGAGCATCGACAGGTATGGAACTCGGGATACGGGGGGGTGGTTGCTACATTGTGCATTGGTTTTCTCTTATTCTTCTGCGTATTGAGAAGGCGACGAGGCCGTTCACGGTTTGCGGGACGGAAGTTGTCGTCTGGGTGAGAGTCGAGCGAAAGGTCGTCTCATCTGGGGTTCAAAACATCAAAAGCATGGCGCGATAATTAAGAGCAGCTTCCTGATATCGTCCTGATTCATACGTCGTCGTACACGTGCAACCGTCCGCACTTTGATCAGTCATATACATTGAAAGCATCATCTTCATCCGCGGCACCCTCCCGATCTTCAAACTTCATGTAGCTCTCTTCAATGCCGTCTCCCGCGTCACCAGCATTTACCATATTCCAGGCTTCTTTGACTGATGACAGGGCAGAGTCGGGAAACGCAAGGTCGAGCGGTAGAGAGGCAAAGGTCCCAATTCTCTCGTCGGCGGAAAAGGAGCCTGTACCCCCCCTTTGCTCGAAGTACAGTTGATACATGCACTTGGGTTGCTCTCCATCCGCAGACGCAGCAGCCAGCAGCGACGAGAGCGCCGCCTCTAGCAAATCTTTCGATCCTGGCGTGGAGATTGTGCTGAAGTAAATGGTGCCTAAGTCAACCATGTCAGCGACTGTCCAAGCAAGATGTTGATGATGGAAAGCGTATGGTTGGGAAGTGCCATCAGGTTGTTGAAAATATGTCGTCAATGGAGTTCAGACAATGTAGATAAGATTTGTTTTCGATGATCATCCTGGCACATCAAAAAGCAGACGGAAAACTCCAAAAAACTTACATTGTCCGCTGGGGCATTCGCCAGTCTCATCAGAATGCACCAAGGCGTATGCTGGAAACTCGGAGGCCTCTACACCCGGGATCGATCCGGGAGGAAATGCAGCCACAGCCACGCAGGGAGTAGGAGCACCGTCGACTACAGCCTTGAACATTGACGGCAGGTCCGACTCAACAACGGCAGTCAGTCGACTGACGGCGGTTGTGGCGTCAGAAGGCAAGCTTGAGCTTTGGACTAAAGCTTCCGCTCGTATGACGGTGCCGTTGGAGAGTGTGGCTTCGAGCTCGGATTCTTCACCATCGCGTGTGGAAGGGACCCTCTGTACATCCGAAAGTCCAGTCCCGAGCATGTAGACGGCGCCACCCACGGCGGCAGCGCGACAGCCCACTTGGGCGACCTCGGACAAGCCGCCCCATTTAGGGTAGACGGCCGCAAAGCCGGGACCGAACAAGCCCATGGAAGTCAGATGACGATGTATGGCGGCGAGACCAGCCCCGACCGAGATCTTGCCGTCTAGGCTGAGAGTTAAGGCGATGACATAGGACCGCAGCTCGCGGTCGAGCTTGAATTCCGATTCCAGGAAGTCGGCCAGCTTGTCGTCCGCCTTGGGCCCCCACAGCTCGGTTTGTGGCTCCGAGTCATAGGCGAGGACAAACTTGAGAAACTTCATCAAGGAGCGTTTAGACTGAGACGAGATGGCGGCCGTAGCGAAAACATCTTCTCGCGTTGAGGGCACACGGCTGAGGGTGGATGTTGGGGTCGAGTCGGAAACCGGTTGGAAGATGTAAAAGGATCCGACAGCGAGGAACTCAACCTGGCGGAACGCCTTTGTCGAGACCAGCTGCGACAGGAGTTCGGACCGCGTATGGATCAGCTGTGGCGCCAGGGCTAAGCTGTAGGCCCGCGAGAAGGACAGCCCCTCGGTTCCCCTATTCACCTGCGCTGCGGCAAAGGGACGATCGGCATCGGTTGACTGGTGCTTCTCAGCCCACTCATCCGCCTCCTGCAAGCTGAGGGCAGCCTCGGCGCCGCCATAGTAGCTGTTTGAGTCGACGTGGAGGACATTCTTGCCCGACCGTGAGAGCGCTCTGTGCTCAGCAGGGCAGGCTGGGTCAGTCAGTTTGAGGACAGGCACGCGAATAGAGGGGGGGGCTTACAGGGCCAGAAGGGACTGTTGAAGGCCGGTGCCGCTGATGATTACATCCCACCGCGTCTCGGAGAGGGATTCCATGGCGGTGCAAAAAAGGAGATGGGGGAGGGATATGGAGGGCAGAAAGGAAGAAGGGTGGGTTCGGACGACCAGATTTTTCCACTGCCGAGCGAGTAGGTGGGGCTTAGGTGGGCCCCGCGCCAGGGCCCGCTCTACTGTACGTATTTCACGCCCGACGGGAGCGGCGAGAAATTTTGTTTCCTGATTTGTTCTTCAACCCGCTCCTTTCTTCACGCGTCGCCTTGGGCACCTTTGGTGTACAGTAAGTGGCGTCGCGAGATTATCGTATACTTGGAGCGGTAGAAGAAAATGTCTGCTTGTATCTACTGCCCTTGAATAACGTCTGAAAGGGTGGTTCGAACGGTTGACACACTGCATCATCCCGGTACCAGCAGCCGTAGGACGGACTGGCCTGCTATCACGCAGTGCCGGACGGAGAGTTGAATCTGCATCATGATCAAGCGTAGCAACAGAGGCATGTTCATTGTTCATGACGTATGCACGCGAGGGTATCATTGGTCTCTATGTCTGCTGGCTCGTGACAGCGGTGGCCACCTCTTTCCACCGCTTGCCTGCCCATCCTAAAAACTCCTTGGACCGGAGGACGCTTGGAGACAGCGTCACGCCGCCGTGTTTTGAGAGAGACAATATTCTCATGGCCTTGCCCTTGCCGTCAACCACAATGGTGACGCTCTCATCGCACAGAGACTCCTCAAGCCTGTCCGGGTCCATCAATAGCCAGTGCTTGCCGTCGGCCGGCCGGTCCGTCTCCTTGCCGGTGAAGACGGCGGCCGTGCATGCAACGGGTATGCCGTTGAGCGTCAACGGCTTCGGGTCCTTTCTGGAGCAAGCGACGAGCTCCGTGTCCACGTCATAGCGTGTACGGGGAATCTTGGTGTCCTTCAACGCAGCCACAGTCGCCGCCCAGGCCGCGTCTAAGGGGTTCCCGTCAAAGGAAATGAAGAATATGTCGATGTAGAGCACCCAGTAGGCGGCGACATACTGGCCATCCGTGTCGCCAGCATCATCTGCATCCTCTTCCATGGCATCTTGGTCGGCCGCCAAGCGCTCCGAGGGTCGCGTGTGCCATATCCGCAGGTCATCCGGCTGAACGAGCTTGGAGCTATGGAGCAGAGAGTATATCCTCGTGCTGAGCGTCTGTGCGAGTGTCGTCGGCGGGCCGCCGGGAAGGAACTGAGGCGCGCAGCCCGTGGCTAGTTCGATATTCGGCACCAAGAGGTCGTAGTCCCTGAGCTCTGTGTCGGCGTTGGAGGCGCGGTGGTTGGGGATGTTGGAAGTCAAGATGGTCTCGCCGCGAACACCGCAAACGACAGTCGTGTCGCCCATGCGCACGACGGCGCTGCCCTGGGCATGCGACAGGCTCGAGAGATTGGCCGTCAGGGGCCTGCATTCACCGGGAGCCCGGCCGTTGCTCCTGGCAGCCGGAACGTCGCTGTTGGGGGGCTCGAGGTTGGCGAGGAGGTATGGATACGGGGAGAGCTTCGCGAATGTGGCGCGGGAGAGCGCCATGGCTCCGAGGATGATCTGAGGGGAGGCGTGCCGAGAAAGGTGGTCGAGATGTGGTAAGCTGGTGCAGTGCGGCCGTGAAAAAGCTGGGCCTTGTGTCGGCCTCGTGGGGCCAGAGCTGCTTCAACCAATGAAACGACCTGTTTTGAGGTGACCAACGAAAGCGACTTTGAACGCGACTTATTAATTAGTCCTTTCTCGAATCCTCCTTTAAGAGACAATATTCGACACAGGCTTGTCTTTACTCAAGTGAGAGTCCATAGCGTGCTAAGCATTAATTAGCTATTGAGCGTATTTCATCGACTAATAGTACCCAAGGCATAACCAACGCGCATCGCCTGGAATCGGATGCATCAGCATTGCATGTAGCAGACATCAACCCATCAAATCAATCTCGTGTACACATATCAGCCTGGCAAAACTTAAAGACAACCTTGTCAGCAGCGACTAGAGTCTAGACGAGCGTGTTTCGTGGAGGAATCGCCGGTTCGTGAGACGTCTACCTCAAGCCCGGACGACTGTAGACTCGTGCTACAACCGCCCGTGACATTCCTTCATTTCGGTCTCGGTTTGGTTGGAACGGCACTGTCGACATTCCTTCCCATTGCGCAATAGTCTGATGGGCCTTTGTGACTTGCGAACAGCGCCGATAAGTCTTGGCACGTCGTGCAAGGCGCGGGCTGCCGTTGTTGTCATGCGTGGCTTGAGGCTGCGGTCGCACCACTGATGCAACGCGCAGCCAAAGGATAACCAGTCGCTCGAAAATGGGCTTGGTATCTGACAACCAAGCAGGAGCGTGTGAGTGTGGGCGCTTTCTATGGCATGATGTAATGAAATGCAGTCGACGGGTGTCGATTTGTATGGACTTCCGGAGCTTACAACTTCAACGATGCAACCATCACGAAGTCGAGGCCGACGGGCGACGGCCCTGCAGTGCACTTGCATCATGCTGTTGGTCCGGGCTCTTGGGACGACGTCGTCGAGGACGGTAACAGCAGCATGCGGCCGAAATGGTCGCCCGCAGACGAAATCACCAAAGAGACCGACTTCGGCAGGGCGGGCCCAGCATCGAGTGCGACGCTGCCAGAGCGGGGAGTATAGCCACGTAAGTACCTAACAGTGCAGAGTGCAGCTGGTTGTGATGGAGCACCTCGTCCTCGGCTTCGAGCCCCGGTGCAGCCGCCGCGGCGACGATGCAGGCACGGCGGAGTCGAGAAGAGGGCGGTGATGAGGTGCGTGACGATGGCTCCATTGCAAGTAACGGTGCCATTTGGGCGGGTTGGCGGGCAGCCACTGGAAACGGCACCCGGGGGCCGAGGCGAATCAGGTGCCGCCTGCTAGCGCCTGTCTCGCCAACAGCTCGCCAAATCAGGGCCCACGACGACCCCTGGACGGCCGGCGGCCCCCACTGGACGCCCACCGAGTGCGTTCATTCACTCTCCGCGGTGGATGCTGTCCTCCCTCGCGGCTTCTTCTCCGCATCAACCTCTTTGTCTGTCCATCTCGCGAATATTCGTGGTGCTTTGCAAAACTCGACGCATCTGCCGGCCGACGACGGAAAGAAAAAGAAAAAAAAGAGCTCCTCTACCATGGACTGACCCTCTTTCCTCGCCCGTCCTCGCCCGTCCTCGCCCGAAAGGCTGTTGGCCTCGCCAGGACGGCATCGCGAAACCATCGCAAAATGCGGGCGACATGCATGTCACCCACACTCGGCAACGCTGGGCGCGCGCGCCAAATCGTCCAGTCCCCTGCGCCGTCGGCGATGTGACGACCCGGTCGGTCCCTTTTCCCGGTGGCCTCTGGCCAATCTCGGGGCTCCGTCAGCCGCCCGACCCCAGAAAACACACCATGTCGTCCCGTGTCCGTGCCTCGTGCCCATGCTGTTGGCTCGCCCTCTCTGCCCTACCGTTGTCTGCGTGGCAAACCTCCCTCTTGTTGACGCTGGCAGAGACCTGCTTTCCCATGTATGTACTGTATGTATATCCTGCCTGTCTCACTGCTCACCCTCCCCCCCCTCCTGTCCCTCCTCCCATGCCGCCTTGTTGCGCGCCGTCTGTGTGACGGCCGACGCCAAGTTCTTAGAGCATCTTACTCCGTATTGTTCCACCAGCGCTGACACGACGTCTTTTTTCTTGCCAAAGCCCCCACCAAGCAGACGGCGACAACGGCTCTCCGTCTTTGACCCAATCCTGGGACGCTTGACATGTCCCCTCTCGAGGCGCCGCCCGAGCAATTGAGTCGCCTGCGGTGCATGTCGTCTTGAAGCAGAAAGCTCCATTGCGAGAAAAGCCGAGCTGCTGTTCCGTCAGACATGGCTTCCAGCTCGCCGGAGCCCGCCGTCCGTGCCGTGGGCCGGCCGCTCTCCGGCCTCTTCAAGCGCATCAACATCCCGCTGACGCCGACAAGCCCTCCGGGGCTCGTCCAAGCCAGTGTCGTCGATCCCTGGTCCAGCTCCGGCAAGTATGCTCTCGGCTGGACCTACTTTGCCCTCGCCGTCGTCGGCAGCGTCGTCGTGGTGCGCATCTGGCATTTCTGGCAGGACAAGATTCGCCAGGCCATCTACAAGCACCAGGTCGAGGAACACTACCGCAGCCTCTACGGCGCCGATGTCGACCACGTCTCCGCCTCGCAGCCCGAACAGTCGACGGGCCAGCACTTCTTCCCGGAAGGCGCCGGCCTGGGCTATAAGCAGTTCCGTCCCAGGGCTCACTTCTCCTCCGTCGGCTTCGTCAACGACACCCTCGCCCTCTTCCGCTGGGTCTTCTACCGCCCCATCCCCGATGTTGTGTGGAAGAGACACCGCCTTACCTTTTCCTCCCTCGCCGTGCTGACCTGCGCCCTCATCGCCGTCGCATTCGTCACCCTCTACTGCTTCCTGCAGCAGCCCCTGTACTGGCAGAGCATTCAGTTCGGCTCTCCGCCCCTCGCCATCCGGGCCGGCATGATTGCCGTGGCCCTGACGCCGTGGATCGTCGTCACCAGCATGAAGGCAAACGTCTTGGCCATTGTCATCGGCATTGGCCCCGAGCGGCTCAACGTGTTCCACCGCTGGCTCGGCTACTTGTGCCTCTTCCTCTCTCTCGTCCACATGATACCCTTTTACGTGCAGCCCGTGTGGGAGGATGGCGGCATGAAGGTCTTTGGCCAGCTGTTTCCCGCCGGCAGCGGCCTCATCTACGGCACCGGAGTGGCCTGCATCGTGCCGCTTATCTGGCTGTGCGTCGCCTCACTGCCGTGGATCAGGAGGGCGGCCTACGAGGTCTTTGTCCTCCTCCATGTTCCCGTCGGCATCGTCTATGTCGGCCTGCTCTTCTGGCACACCAAAAACTTTCTCATGTCCTGGTCCTATCTCTACGCCACCATTGCCATCTGGGCCTTTAGCTACCTCATGCGCTTCTTCAAGCTCAACTGGACCAAGCCCTGGCGTCTGTCTTTTCTCGTCGGCGATGAGGCGGCCATCACCTTGATGTCGGAAAACGCCATCAAGATTACGATCCCCACGCAGATGCGCTGGAAGCCGGGCCAGTTTGTATATCTGCGAATGCCCGGCATCTCCCTTCTCGAGAATCATCCCTTTACCATCTCGTCCCTCTGCAGTGACGACTTCCCATCCGACTACGGCGACAGGTATCGCGACTGCGTCCTCGTTTTCAAGCCTTACCGCGGCTTCACCAAAAAAGTGCTCGACACCGCTGTCGCCAAGGGCCCGTTCCATACCTACCGAGCCTTCCTGGACGGCCCCTACGGCGGCATGCGCCGGGACCTGGCGGCCTTTGACACTTGCATCCTCATTGCGGGTGGCAGCGGCATCACCTCGTTGATGTCCCAGCTGTTGAATCTCGTCAAGCGGATGCGAGACGGCAAGGCCATAACCCGCAAGGTCATGGTTATCTGGGCCATCAAGCGGTTCGAGGCCATGGACTGGTTCAGAGAGGAGCTGCGCATCTGTCAAGAGGCAGCCCCCCCAGAGAGCGTCATCTGCAAATTCTTCCTGACGTCGGCCGTGCGTCAGCGGCCGGGGGCCGAGAAGACGGGCCCAATGGGCGGGCACAATCCGAGGGCACTGAACCACATGCTGCACGACAAACTCGATGGCTTCGTCGCGGGCATTGCGTCGAAGCGCAACTCTGCTCTGATACATGCTGAAGCCCAAGGTGACCCGGAGCGCGAACGCGAGCTGCGTGCCGAGGACGAGGATCGCATCACGGCGCTGCCGCAGCAAAAATACCTGCAGCCTCATCAGATACCACCCTCCAATCCATCAAATCATCACCTTGGCCCCGAAGACGCGTTGCGGCTCGGGCCTCACGGATATCCCGAGGACAAGAAGCATAGAGCAGACGACGACGACGAATGCAATAGAGTGCAAGAGCTCTACCTGCCCCCGCCCGGAGAGGAGAATGCACCCAATACCACTAATATCCCAGCATCGTCCCACAAGCAGCCCGTCGACGGTGAGCAGGAGGAAGAGTCGCTTCCGGTGCGCGCCCCCGAGCTGGCGCATCTACGACACACTAGCCTGCCTCCTGGAGCGGCGGCTAAGCAGCGGCCGGCGTCGACGTTTGGCCCGCCTGCCGGGTTCGATTTTGGCTTCCCGCAGACACCGACCGAGTTCCAAAAGAGCTTGATGCAGTTTGCCTTTCCCATACCGCACCAAATGGACGGCGGCTGGACCGTCGAGTACGGACGTCCACAGCTCGGCCACATGCTCAAGGAATGGGCGACGGGCGGCATGGATGGCCGAGGCATCCTGGGGAGGAGAACGGCCGTGTTTGTGTGCGGCCCGCCGTCGATGCGAGTGGGCGTCGCCAACACAGTGGCGAGATTGCAGGCCGAGATCTGGGGCGACGACGAGCTGGAGGAGATTTTTCTGCACACGGAAAATTACGCCCTCTGAGAGGCATCGAAACCGAGCGGCATGCCGGCGAGTGTAACTGTATCCCGGGGCCGTCCATGAGTGTTCATGGTGTGGGCGGTGTGGGCCGGCGGGCCTTGTTGTTTGTTGTAAAGATACCAAGTCGTTCACGGCAATCCTGTAGTCTCCGTGCACACTCTGTTCTATCTGATGCAAAGTGACTTCTGGGCAAGCTTTGCAAACTCCGAGCCTGAGATGTTGTCTGAGCCGAACAAGGCGTCGTGTGTTGCAAGGTGTAGGACAAACCCCGACTGTCTGCGATGCTCACCGCCGTTCATGCAGCGACAAGGTCGGAGAAAACGGCGCGGACCCATTCTCGGTGGCCGCATAGTTTGTTCTTTGACTGTTCCCTGAACAAGGCGCGGTTGGGTGCCGGCACTGGCCGCGATGACGAGCGCGGGGAGGCACCCTGATGGACAGACGCGCCCACGATGGCCGCTGGATCGGCCATAAAGGTGCTTGAAGCAACGCCCCTTTGCTCACTTTGCGCGCGAGCTTTTCCTTCCACGACTTCCACCTTCTCTTCTCCTCGACCGTTCTTTTTCACTTCTTGCTCTCTCTTCGACGCCGTCTCTACTCCTACGGCCTCGAGAAAGCAGCCTCCCGAGAGACCTGTTGAAAGCGACAGCCATGGCTACCTGGAGGGAAAAGGACCTGGAAAAGGACCTGGAAAAGGCCGAGAAAGGGTGGGCCATTGCCAAGAAGTTCTCTCGCGAAAGGTTGGAGCGGGTGAACTCGTGGGACGGCGGGCGGCTTGAGAAGGCGGTCGAGGAACGCTACCTGGTGCTGGAGACGGTGTGCCTCTTCATCCACGCGAACATCAAGTGCGGCCAGTACAGGTAAAGTCGATTCCCCGGGGCAAGGGCTGCGACGAGGCCGACTTCTGACGTTGCGGCAGGATTCCGTCCCGGTTTTGGCGGGAGCTGCTTACCGAGCATGGCATCGTGGTGTATCCTTCGGCCATGACCGAGGACATTGACGTCCACGGGATGGGGCTTGATATGACCTTTACCGAGGCCTACAGCGGACACATAGGTAAGATTGCCAAATGCTAGGGACTCGAGACCGTACATCCCGCTAACTGCCCTGCGATTATCCAGAAATGTTTGACCGGTGTTCCGAGGCTTCCCATTCGCCGCCGTGTCCTATGAAGTACTTCCGAGAACCTCCGCCAGAATACCAGAAATGAGTGTGAGCAACAGGGCTCATGAGGTCTGCGAATCAGGGAGCAGAGGATAGTTGCGGGACAGCCATCTGGAGACGAGCTTCGATGCCATGGTGAATCATGAAGACCCCAGGACAGGGGCGAGAGCAATGAGGGATGACGGACATGCAGGGCGGATTGGCTGGGGATTACCTTCGAGCAGAAAGGGTATCCGCGTTGAACAGCTCGCTGGCCCCTTTGACGGCGTTTATATCAAAATAATCAATGTAAACCACTCAAGAATCGGTCCTTGTCCCCGCGGCACCGTCTCGATTCGCCCTCCACACGCCTTGCTCGCCGTGGAATTCCTCTCGTTTCCAAACCTCGACCCTGGCCTTGCACTCCTCGAGGGCCTCCTCGCCCGCTCTCCAGGCAGCCTGCCGGTGCGGTGCAGACACGGCAATCAGGATGCTCTCTTCGCCAATGGGCACGGTGCCAAGGCGGTGAGCCATGGCGATGCCCTTGAGCCCGTGCCGGGAACGCACATCACTGCCGATGCTCAGCATGCTTCGCAGGGCAAGCTGCGCGTACGCCGTGTACGTGAGCTCCTTGACGGGCTTTCCCGCAAAGTTGTCACGCGTTGTGCCTGCGGGCAGCGGCCGATGGGTGAGCCAAGCCCGTGTATAGAAGAGGGCGTGACGGGGCTTACCGGCGAAGAGGACAATGGCGCCGGCTTCGGGACTGCGGACCTTGTTCATGGTTTCTTGGATATTGAGCGGCTCCGTGACCAAGGCTACGTGGCATCCGTCTGCCGAGAGCTCCCATGGCTCGTCTTGTGAGTTGGCCATTGTGCGGAGATGTGATCGCAGGAATTGAGTGGCGATGCGAGGCGGAGATCTTCAATGAAGACCTGTCACTCGAAATGCGGGGACACGAACTTGTGATTAGCACATGACACAGCAACGTAGAGAAATCTTCAATTTTTTTTTTCTCAGGGCCAATATGTCGCTAGAAATACTGCAAGTGAGGACAGAGAAACCGCGATGTTTCGTCCGATTCGTATTGGCACTGGCTCGGAGGCGGGAGCGTGAGGTGATGCAGACCCATGCTGACTAAAGCTGCCGCCCCAATAAACGCGATGAAAGGCCTTAACGCGTCGCGTCTCTTTTCCCTTTCTACAACACCCTTCCAAGCTATCGATAAAGCGAGCCGTATCCACACACGTGCACACCAGTCATTCTCGGGCAAGTATCATGGCTATCAAGGATATCAACCCCCTAATCTACTGGCTCGTGATGGATGACTCGTCCCGAGCACGACTGGTGCCTGGCAGAGGCATATGGGCACGGAACAAAGTTAAGATTAACCTCAGGGCCAAGGGGGGGACGGCGGCGGCCAAACTCGCCATTTACCTTGAGCGCCATCTACGTCTGAACAGTGATGTTGACACGCCCCTTGTCTCGGCGTCCGATGACCCGACGATTGCGTTCGACGTCGTGGACCGACGACAATCGGCCCGACACCAGGGTATGACGGTTGTCAAGACCAATATCAGACGCGTTCGTGGGAACATTACGTATCGCAGCGCACGCAAGTTTGCGTTGAAACTGGGCGTGGACATGCCCGACAACGCATGGCACACTTCGGAGCGTGAATTCGTCTTTGCGAGTAACATCTTGCAGGATGCTATTGATAAGGCATACTGCTTCGAGAACACTCGCAGATCGTGACTTGCTCCTGGCTGTTCTGAGTGTGTGTACGCGCGCTCGCAGTGTTCTTTGTCGACAAATCACGCTGTCCACGATATCTGCTTGCTGGTTGGCACAAGCTCCACTCCAGAGTGCTGTCTTTTTTCCAAGTGTTTTTGCAGTTGGCCGAGATTGATGGTCGACTGGGACAGTTCCCAGTCCACGCACGCGCGTTGCTCGCCGTAAGGGTTGGAGCTTGCGCAAGGTCGCTTGCAGCCAGGAGGCATCTCTGCTCCCAGTCCGTTCGCGACTGACTTCGCTGAATTGTGACCTGGAGTGGATAGCGGTGAGGCGTGTTTGGCGAAAGCTACCTTTGAGCGTGGAGCATAAGGTAGGGAGTGCGCAGAAAGAACTTCCCCCAGTCTTGGGGTTTGATTGGTGCTCGGATCTGGCAGTACAGTATTACAGTCGCTCTCTTTTAGAACACGAATACAAAATTTAGCTGGCTTGGTCGTGGCAGTAGTTGATCATCGTGGGTTCACCATTTTGCTGACTAAACCCCCCGCAACAAAGATAACGCGGCCGGCTCCCCCTAACTACCAACCGCTTTGACGTATGTAGCTTTCGAACTCGCCCATCAATCGTCAGTCGTGATTAACTGCGGCTGCCTCATGCGCGCCCGTGCTCGGAATCCACCTGAACGCATCTCGCATCTTCTGAATACTCCTTGGGACTTTCCAGCGAGATACGCTTCTATACCCACCTCCTCTCTGTCTTCTCCACTTTCCCGCGATTGTGTTGTTCGGCCTTCATTATGAATGACGACCATCGAACACAATCTCCCGGTCGAGGGAGGGATCACGACCCAGGAGCTTTCCGCGACAGAGACAGCGACCCAGACCATCGACGAGACGACTCTTACCAACCGCGGCAGGGTAAACATATAACCTGCGCCTTGTGGGGATTGGCAGAACCAGCGCGACTGTCCCGCATAGATTGAGCTTTGAAAGCTAACTTCCCCACGGGCCGGCGGGACTATCCCAGGTCTCCTCCGAGGCAAGACTTGTACGACGACTACCAGGAGATTCCGTCACGTCACTTTCGCGATATGGACCGCGCAGGAGACTCTGATGACCGCTATCGGGGCCTTGATGATGGCTATTTTCCCAGACGCCGTGATGACTCGCGCCGCTCGCGCCATGATGCCCGAGACAAGCGTGACTACGAAGGCATGTACGACGAGGGTTATCGAGGTGGATATGATGACCACTACCGTTCACGCGACCGGGCTCGTGACGACGAAGAGTTTACGCGCGACGGTGACCATCAACAGCAATCCAACAATGGAAACGCTAGACTTCCCTCAAACGGCGATCATCACGCCAGAAGTCCGTCTCGCAACCGTATTCAAGACGCTGGAAGGCCCACCGACACAGTGATGCTTGAAGGCCTGCCGTATAGCATCTCGGCTTCCAACGTGAGCGTCCCTCACTTTCCAGATGGAACCTCAGTCCTTTTTTCCAACGAATGAAGACTAATTATGGTCACTATTCAGCTACGTGAGGGTCTTTTCGACAGCTCCATCGCCGCTGAATTTCCCAGCGTTGACGTGCGCGTTACTTCTTCCCGAGGTAAGCCCCGACACATCCTCCTCTTCACACTGCGCAAAACTAACTGCAACAAAGGAAAATGCCGGGCTTTCGTCCAGTTCCAGCAGATTGACCACGCCGTTTCATTCGTCAAGGAGCATTACCCAAGACTCCAGATCTACTTGCCCCACTCAACTGATGACGTCCCAGATGGGGAGATCTCCGTGTATATCCACTATACTCGCAGCCACGGCGAGTCTGACAACACACAGCCACCGCCTGCCGCTACAACGACCAGCTGGGAATGTTTGAGAGTGAGCGACCCCGAGTCGTCGAAACGATGCATATCTAACAAGTTACAGTGTGGATTCTCGAACTTTGCTTCACGGGCGAAATGCAAGGAGTGCTCTTACATTCCGCTAGGTATTGCCACCGGGTCCCAACCTCAACCATTGGTGCAATCTTGACTTACGTGCTTCCTTTCCAGCTACCGGAGGGCCCCTGGGTCGAACGGGAGCTGCAGACGTCGGGCGAGACCTCGACAAGAAAGTCCAAATCCTGGTTGTCCATCCCCTCCCACACGACATCGATGAGGATATGCTAGCCAACGAGATGAGACGGCTTGAGCTGGTCAAAACTGACAAACCAAAGGACGACGCACCCAAGTTGAAGTCGACGGCACCTTCTGCAGACGGAGCTGGCTATGGAGCACGGCCAGGTTCCTTGCACCGCGTTTTCCTGATGCGCGATGCCGCCACCAACGCAAATTTTCGATACGGATTTGCCGAATTCTGGACACTCAACGATGCGCTTGCCGCGTTGAAGAAGTTCCAAATGACACGCTCTTTTGAGATTGGAGGCACGCCCGTGACGATTGCTTCAATCCATTTGGGGGTGTTCATCCCGGAAGACCGGGTGAACACTCCCGGGATCGACCACATGTCGTTCACACCACTGTTCAACCCGTCCTTGCGAATCAGGTATCGGGACCCGGAGCTCTACCCCAGCCCAAAGGTTGTGGCGTCAGAGCCTCCGGCCGATACAGATGCCAAGGCGAGCAGGGAGGAGAAGGCCGACCCGACCAAGGCCAAGAAGCGCAAGGCGGACGAGGGCCTGTCGGAGCCTGCTCCCAAAAGGGCGCCAGTGATGGCTGCCCAAATGGCCTTCTGGCAGCGTAGGCACGACGAGATCCGTGGGGGCCCACAGGACACTGCAGAGAGCACCACGGCCGACGGCCCAACCCGTACGGCGCCAATCAAGTTCTCGATGTCTGGCGGCGCGAAGACCGATGCCCCCGGCAAGGCAGCACCCGCCACCGCGGAACCCCAGAGCCAGGCAGCGCCTGCAAACTCAGAAGTCTCGTTTGTCGACCGCGAGCGGCTGCAGTGTCTGCTTTGCATGATGAAGTACAAGTCGGTCGAAGAAGTCAACGTCCACGAGAAGTCGAGGAACCACAAGACGGCAATGCAAGACGAAGACAAGGTCAAGCTCGCCCTGCCCAGAATAGCCAAGAGAGACCAGCGGCTCCAGAAGGCAGATGCCGGCCAGTACCGCGATCGAGCCAAGGAGAGACGAGAAGCGCACAACCAACCGGGCAAGCCTGCCGCAACACCAGGAAAGCCCAAGACAGACACGATGCAGCAGGAAAAGGAAGAGGTCAAGAAACCGGTCGAGTCCAAGGGCATGGGCATGTTGGCCAAGATGGGGTGGACGACGGGGAGCGGGCTCGGCGCTCAGGGCGGAGGCCTTACGGAGGCGCTCACGGCCAACGCGTACAAGGGCGGTGTGGGTCTCGGGGCAGAGGGCGGCAAGCTCGGTGACGCGGCAGAGATTGCCGAGGGCCAGACCGTCGACAGCTACTCTAGCTACCTCACGGCGGCGCAAAAGAAGGCGCGGGAGCGGTACAACCAGCTAGAATGAAGCCTCGACCACGTGGTTGGCAATCTTTTTGGAATGGGCGCCATAGAGCTCTGAGACTTGACGTTTTGTGATTTTTACTCTGCTCCTACATGTCAAATGGTCGTCATGCTTCGTTTACTTGCGTTCCTGTGATTTACTCAAAAGTGGTGGAGAGTCCGGAGGCTTCGGCACCGACCGTTGCGTACACGAAGAGTGGGAAAGAAAGGAGCCCTATTGAAGCCATCATGCCTTTGTCTCGGCGGATTTCACAGAATCGACACTGGGCTGTATGTACTATTATGCATCTATGCAACAAGGGTATTTATTCGTGTGGACGCGGCGAGGCTTGCCTCCAAAAAGTCTATGCAACCCTCCCATTTCGTTCTAATTCATGCCTCCCCGTGATACTCGTGCCATGGTGGGATGCCCATAGGTTTCATCATTAAACAGATGCCTTGAACCAAGCCGTCGCTTTCATTATAGCATGGTCGTAGTGAAGGCAGCAGCCACCATGATGAGGACGGCGGCGACAGCACCGATGCGCGAGGAACCGAGACTGCCTGCTGCGCTGTCTTGGCCGGTGCCTGCAAGCCATTAGCCACATATGCCCTTTAGGGGATCGAGGGGAAGAAAGGAGGCTGGGTAGACACAAGAACAGCACATACCTGGTACACCGGCGATGTCGGGCAGCTGGGTGTCGCCCTTGCGGATCTCGACAATGTTGGACTTGTCGGCCTTTGTGTTGGCCTGGGCAATTCCGAGCTGGCGGTTGGCCATGTCGTAGACGACGTAGGCGGAGCGCAGAAAGGTGTCGCCGAGCAGGGCGAACCTGTCGGAGCTGATGCCGTAGTCGTAGGCGGAACCGACGCCAAAGATGCACACCCTCTCCCAATCGCCAAAGAGGTGGCGGATCTGGCTGTTGCGCAGAGTTTGCTGGACGCTATCGGGGAAGGCGTCGATGACCATTTCGGCGACGGGGACCCGGATGTTGGCGCCGTCAAACTTGAAGTTGAAGGCGATGCCCTTTCCCTTGGCGCTGCGGTAGGCGCAGTCGACGAGGGGGATGGGGATGCCCTGAACGGAGCGGACGCCGAAGTGGCGGTAGATGTCCTGGACCTGGTAGTCGGGCAGGAGGGAGATGGTGGAGCCCGAGTCGAGGATAGCGGCGGCGTCGAGATTGTCGAGGTCGATGCCATCCACCTCGAAGCCGCGGAGGCGGACCGTGTACGAGGTGCCGTTTCTGGAGCCGGTCTGGATATCGGAGATGAGAGGCAAAGTGGCGAGCTTGCCGTGATATTTCTGGGAGTCGATGCCGCCAAAGAGGATGGTTCCGGACTTGGCGTCGAGGTCGTCCTGCAGAAGGCAAACCGTGTCAGTCGATATAGGGATAGGGGGAGAAGGGCGGGCGTTCGTAGTACCAAGAATAAGCTGAAGACGGGGGCATCGATGATGCCCTTTTGGACCATGTTGTCGATCACGGTAGGGTACGAGGAGCTGGCGGCGACGTTATCGCCGAAGCCGAGGCCCATGATGCCGGTGAAGCGGACGGACCTGAGAGCGAGGCCCAGCTTCTGGTTGTTGACGATCTTGCCGTTTACGGTGACGGAGTCGTTGAAATAGTCGCCCCCAATGTTCTTTTGATCGAGGTAGGTAATGTCAAAGCCGCCCCTGTTGACCGAGGTGAAGGTAGAGCTGGCCTCGGGGTTGACTGGGGAGGGAGACTGTTAGCAGGCAGTCACCGCAGTGCCACGAGAGGGCGACTTGCACTGCGGACCGCACCACCTTTCGAGTCTTTGCTGCAACTGCGGGCTTCTGCAGAGGTCGGCGTCGACCGAGTTGACCCACGTGTCGCTGCTGCCCGTGTCGAGGAGGAACGAGAGCCTCTGGGGGGGCGTCCCGATGCCGAGCTCGGCGTAGTAGCCGCCGGCGGTGATGTTGTTGAGGGCATTGAGGTCGATGGTGCCGTCGCGGCGAGCAATGGACGACGATGACGGACCGGGGGCGGCTCTGCGGCGAAAGGGAACGGCGACGGTGCCGGCCGAGGCGGTGAAGGAGTAGGAGGCGATGAGAGTGAAGAGGGCGAGGCCTCGTATGCTGGGGAGCAGCATGACCAGGTACGCGAGGGTGCGTCTTCTCCCGCGGCTGTACCCAGCGAGCCCGGGACAGGAGTTGGTGTCGACGGGCGGTGAGAGGAGGCGAGTGTGGTGGCGGAGGGAGGCTGTCTGTCTCTGGATGTCTTGGGTTCGTCTTCGCTCGGTGGCTAGGGAATGAGGATGGTTGCGGAGGACTGGTCACTGGGTCTGTGAAGCAAGGAGATCGATAACAATGAGTTGCCTATTTTGTGTGTCTATGAATGAACAAGCAACGTGTGTCGTGAAGCATGGGGCAAGGTAAAAAGAGGCGAGAGGCCAAACAAGAGACGCGAAGAACAGGAAACGAAGGGCGCAGAAGAGAGGTAGGTATAAGTACAAGACAGGTACGATGGAAGTTGACGTACAGTACGTAGGTAGGTATTATGTGGGACTCATTTTACTGGCTGCTTTCTTTTTCTGTCCCCCTTCCAGGCAGGAACCAGCCGTGCGTCTGGTTGAGATTCGGCGATGGAGGCGCGGCGATGACGAACGGCTGGCCGGCCTGGCCTACCCGCCCTGGGGTGGGGGGCTCTCGATGGCGGAGACTGTGGGGGGCTGACAGGCGGGTCTCGGCCCGCGGAGTGGCGCTGCAGCGCTGTGCTCCGGGGGATGCTCCGGGGGGGTGTTGGGCCTCAGCTTCGGCGGCGGCCACCCGAGTACTGAGTACAAGCAGCTGGGGACGGGTGCTGTAGAGCGGAAAAGGTAGTAACGGCTACTCGGCAAGAGCTGGTCTCTACTAGCTGCTCGTATTTGGTAATTATGTACCTACTGTACTGGTGGGCTGCACCTTCCTCTTATCCAATCTGTTTAATAATAGACTCCGATCACATGGGGAAAGCCCCCCCCCCCCGCCTGATCAGCAGCAACACGATGGGGAAGCTGCGCGTCACTCATGTACGTACGTACTTTTATTAGACGGTGATGACTGTAACTGCCATCTTCACCGAACCCACAACTCGTCGCGTCCTTCGCATCAATCACAGCAGGCAACAGAGACCCGATGCAAGGCTATTATTATTGCACCCACCTCATCGTCATGGCTCGAGCCTCTTCCATCACCTCCCTCTGCCTTGCCTTGTCCTTGCCGGTGGCGTCCCATTTCTTGTCGCCCATGACCATCTGGCGATCCGAATACTCGGCCACCTTGGCCAGCAGTTTCGTCTCCCACACTTGATCGGCTTTAGCCTGTAAGTCGCCCTTGACCGTTGCCTCGCGAATCTTGGTCAGCTTTGACGGAAGCATGGGCTTGGGCATTTCCGCCTCCTTGCTTCGCACCACAAGCGCCCACGCCCGCCGCGCCGTCGCGTGCCGCCGGAGCTGGGTCTCGGAGTACGTTTCCTGCAAGGCCTCCCTGCACGAGGAGCACCATCCGGGAGCCAACTTTAGCACGTTGGAGTGGCTCTTGCATGCCCTGTCCTTGCAGAGCACGATGGCGAGCGCCTTGTCGTCCTCGTGCCCACAGATGGTGCGCACGACGTCGGTGGCAACACACATGATGAGAGACAACTATCTCGACACTTGGCGTCCTTTTTGGATAGCGGTGAAGACGGTCGGTTTCGTGATGAGAGTGGATGATGCAGAGGGGGCTTGTCGTGAGGCTTTCGGGACATGGACATTATTCGAGCGTGCAGAAGTCTTTATATGTCTACGTCATGTCGCACGGCAAAGTCAACGGAAAGCATTCAAGTGGTTCGGTGAATCGCCATCATGAGGGTGCGAGAACAAGACCGGTCTTCTGTGTTCACCACCAAGACAAGGGACAGGCCCTGGGACACACCAGCCTTTGTGTGACACGTTTGTCAAAACATGTCTGCTTGTTCCCTGGTCGTGACTTTGGCCAAGGATGTGATTCGTTTACAAAAAAAAACACAATGCAGATGCCGGCAGTCGTTCCAGAACCGTTCCTGATTCCTCGCTCGGACTTCCTCTGAGTTACAACAGAAGCTTGAGTGTACCGCTATGTCATGCACGATGCCTCGAATCCATTTTGATGCGCCTCCAACGCCGCAAATCCAAGCGTCCACACAAATATGTCAAATATGCCATCCACGCCTCGGGTCTAGATTGCGAATTCCCAGTCGAAGTCGTAGTAGGACATCGTCTTGACCATCTCCTCGTGCATCTCCATGTCCATCTCCTCGGACATCTCCTCGGGGTTGTCCTCACAATACTCAGGCGCTTTGTCGAGATCCTCGTCGAAGTCTGGCGTCAATTTGAGGGTTTTCTCTATCGCCTCACGAGCTATGGCGGCCAGGAAACCCTGCCAGGGCGAGCCAGCAGCCCAGTTGAAATCCCACCAACTTCCCGTACCGACGACAACTTGCAGGGGACGGGCTTCTGTGACGAATAACGTAATTGTGCTCTTCCAGTGCGAATACGCAGCTTTGTCAATGCCCCTCGCGGGCGTCTTCTCGTCGCGTAGCTTGGGCGTCTTGGCCGCACCTTGGTTGTTGAGCTTCGCAAGATCTTTCCAGTACGTGTTCAAAGCCTTTTTATTGCATAAGGATGAAAAGGCCTTGCCGAAACCCCATATCCGAGTGCGATTTTCTAGACAGAAGTTACAAAACTGGGGGAGAATGGTCATGTAGACTAGGGTGTTCTCGCATGGCATCTCGGGGTAATCAGCCGGCGCTGCGCTGCACAATTCTTTGTAGGGGTCGAGGAGGTGGCCGCATCCCGCGGCGACTATCTTGTGTTCGAAGCACATGCTGACCAGGGGGGATGGGGGGGGAGAGGGTTTGTTCTGCTGTCTGAGAAATGGCCAAAGACTTGTCGGGTTGAGCAGCTTGGAGAGCTGCCGAGGCAAGGGAGCCAGTGGAAGGCGCCAAGAGCTCTTAAATACTGAGCCATCTCCCATGGAGACGATGTCAAGACGCTGATCACTGGCCAGAAAATAGCCGAGATTCTTCTTGTCTAGCTCTCTTTTGTATGGGAGTCATTGTGGATTCAATGTTGAGTCGTTTGCCGATATACAGGCCTTGAACATGGTCTAGAACACGACTGAACAAGGAGGAGCTTTTCGACAGCGTGGTCCCAATGCTTTGCTGGCCATCGGAAGCGACAGTTGTTTTCGGATCATGGACGATACTCTCTCTATAGCTTGGAACCCTCTTCGGTACCGTCTTGCTTTAGCCTCACGACTCCCTGATGCTCGTAGTCGACTAGTCAGCTATTTGAGGAACTTTGACGGGGGAGAGTGAAGAGGGAAGAGAGAGAGCCGACCTCTTGCACGCAAGTCGCCAGCAGGGTGCCATCCTTGGCAAAGATGCGCTGGAAGACGACGCCCCGCCCGTCGCCCGACCAGGGGCTCTCCATCTCGGTAAAGAGCCAGTCATCGGCGCGGACGCGCAGCGGCTCGTGGAAGTAGATGCTGTGGTCGAGGCTGACGAGCATGCCGAGGCGCGGGCGGCCGGCCCAGTCGTCGATGCTGGAGCCCATGCCCTCGAACTCGTTGACCTGCTCGACCTGGCGGCGCACCTCGGCGGGCAGGCCGGGGACGTCGCCGGGGGCAAAGGGGAAGCGCCACAGGCGGTGGATGCGCGACACGGTGCCGATGAAGTAGCTGTCCGACATGTAGGCCAGCGCGTTGAGATGGGCCTGGTGGCCGCCGGCGGCCGAGATGGCGCCGCGGCAGCGCACCCACTGGCGACACTTGCGCTCGTCGGGCCGCGCCGCCGGGTCGCGCGCCTTGAGCACCTCGATGCGCGCGCTCTGGAAGGGCCCGTTGCGCGCCCACGACGGCTCGCCGTCCCACGCGTCGCCGGGCGGCGCGCCCACGTCGGCCGGCAGCGGCGCCGCGTGGCGGACCTGGACCGCGCCGCCCGAGCCGGAGCGGACGAAGCTGACCGTCGTGGTGAAGACGCAGCGGCCGCGCTGCCGGGCCTGGACGGTGCGCGTGGCAAAGGACCGGCCGTCGCGCACGCGCTCCACGTGGAACAGGATGGGCACGTCCGATGCGCCGGCCAGCAGGAAGTAGCAGTGGCACGAGTGCACCAGGAAGCTGTCGGGCACCGTCTTCTGCGCCGACGCGAGGCACTGCGCGATGACGGCGCCGCCGAAGATGCCGCGCGCCCCGGGGGGGTGCCACGGCCGCCGGGTGTTTGTGAAGATGTCCTGCATTCATTCGCAGCCGGCGTCAGTGCCCCTTCATTCTCTTCCGTGCCTGTCTTCGAGGACGACGTTCGCTGCTCACCTTGCCCAGCACCCCCATCTCCGTCACCTCGAGCGTGTTCTCAATGGGCGCCTTGGACGGATCCTTCGGCGGCGGCGGCATCAGCGTCGTGGCGCCCTCGTCCGACTCCATGACGGCGGGCTTTGCAAACGGAGACCCGGCGAAGCCAAAGCCGCCCTTCATCGGCCGCTGCGGGCTTTCCGGGGTGAGCTTCAATCTTATCCCTTGACGGTGCCCGTGGTGCTGCTCCCTTGGGCTTGTTTCCGTGAATTGTGTCGCCGCGCTCCGAGTGTGGAACCCCGAGACCAAAGAGCCTCTACGCAACGGAGAGGTTGTGGTTGTTCCGCCCTCCTTCTGTGCTTCCCGTGGTTGTCCGTCCTCCTTGCCAAGGACCACGGCTGGCTCGGAAGGGGCCAGTTCACCGAGTGCGGGTGTACTTGCACGCTTTCAATTCTTGCCGTTTCGTCCGCTTTCCCTTCGAGCTGGCTCTCGTCGTGGCAGGTGAAGGTGAATGTCTAGAGGACGAGAGGGAGAGAGGGAGCGGGAAAGACGACTGCTATAAGAAGGCGTCGCGCCGTCGTCGCGCCGTCGTCGCTTTTGTGCCGAGGCTAATAGTTATGGGTCTCGTCTCACGTCGCAGGAACAAGTAGTTATGCCGTGTCCGACTCCCGCACCCCGTCTGGGCCTAGCCGTGGCTTTGCGACTTCTAGTGGAGTTACCTGATTGAGTTGGTTCGGGCGCTATCCCCAGTGACGCCGCCCGAGGTCTAGAAACCCCTTTCTCCACAAGCGAGAGCCAGATAGTCGTCATGGTCCGAGAATGAATACAGCCACGACCCCTATAAAGATTGGGCAGAGGCGTGTTATATTTCATGTCATGGACCGGACCGCCCCGATTCCTTGTCCCGTTGTTACAGCTTCGATAAAATAACCGCATCCCGACAAGGCGAGCCAGCATATTCTTATTCGCACGCACATTCTCTTACCGTTTACACCATTCGAGCCTCCTCTCCCGTCCGTCCCTCCTCATGAAAAGACGGGCTCCAGTCCCTCCCACGCCTTGTCGTCTCCGCTCGGCCCCGCCTTGTCCCGCTGTTGCCAGTACTTGCCGTTGAACTGCCAGTATTCCTCGCCCGTCACCTCGCACCTCGTCTTGGTGAACCACGCCGGCACAAACTCCTCACCCCTGGCCTCGCGCTCCCGACGCCGCGCCCGCTGGCTCTCTTCCAGCCGGTTCTTCTCCTCGGCCGCAAAGTCGTACTCGCCGTCCTCCATGGCGCGCTGGTCCGGCCGCAACCGCGAGTCCGTCGGCGCCAGCCACGGCTTGAGCTTGTCGTCGATGTGGTTAAAGGTCAAGACAAACGGCGTCAGGTTGAAGGGGATGCCCGGCGGCCGCGGGTTCGCCTCCCACACCAGGTACGCCCGGCTTGGGTCCGTCAGTCCTCCGCTGTCCACCGGCCCGCTGTCCTTGGGATCGTCCACCGTGGCCTCGTATCCGGGCGTCAGTCGGGCATAGAGTTTCGAGTTCCACCGCCCGCCCAGGCTGAAGCGCACGTTGCCCTGCGCATCCAGAATCTTGCCCGCAATCTGATATGCGCTCGACGCCTTCCACCCGCGCGGCTTGAACTCAATCATCGCCACCTCTCCCGTTGTCCAATTCTTGATCTCCATCGGCCCGTAGTTGTCGACGGTCGGGTTGCCCGTGATGATGCCAATGACTGACGACGTCACCTTCTTCCACGTGTACAAGTCTTCCTTGCCGCCCGCCTTGGGCTGGAGCTTGAGAAACCAGGTGCCGAGGGGGTTGATGTCAAACGACTTGCCGTAGAACTTGGACCTGACGGCCGACTCGCCCCAGTACGTCCAGTGGGGGGACTCTGCCCACGCTGCGCCGACGGGGGGGTGGTGGCTGACCTGCTCGATGAAGAAGCGGTAGTTCTTGTCCGGCCGCACATACTCAAATGTCTCGCCAAGCAGTGGGTTGAAGGGCTTGGCCACGCGGCCAATGGTGGACGCGTACTCGCTGGCCGCAAAGGCCGCCACGTAGATGAGCCGCTCGATCGAATCGGCGCGCTCCACGGCCTGGTCCAGCAAGTCTGCGTACTCCATGTCCTCGCCGCAGCGGTACAAGAGCGACGTCGGCTCGTTGAACGACACGGGTAGCGTCATCTTGGTCATGTCCTTGCCAATCATGGATTTCAAAATACCCTACCGATGTGGTGAGCACGGTCCTGTCCCCCCGACGGCTAGCAACTTTACTTACCCATAGTGATATCTTGGGACGATCGTCGGCATCCATCTTGAGCCGATGTCTGATGCCATTTTCGTAGCCTTTAAACGACGGGCTAATATCGAGCCCAGAGACGACAAGTCCTGTGCCCTCGTGGCTCGTCTCGTCGGGTGGCATCTCGGTCACCTCGACCTCGCCCGCATCAACGGCGTCGAAAAACTCGTCCCCGTTGTCCGAGTCGCTTTCCGAGAGCTCCCCGAGCTGATCGAGCGCCGTGCCCTTGCGCCCCAGGCTACCGAGGTATCTGGCCTCCATCTCCACCTCTGGCTGCACCTTTTCGGCAGTCGGCGTGTTGGCCGAAGACACGACACCCCCTTCCATGACCTCCCTCAGCGCCTTTTTCGTCAGGCGACGTTTGGTCTCCGCCTCGCCGACACGGGCTTCTAGCTCCTCCTGTTCCCTCGCCACTTGCTGCATGCTCTCCTCCCACATCCGTCGCATGTTTGCCTCGCGGTCCACCCGGTACTGCCAATAGGCGTCGCGGTCTCTCGAGATGCGAAGCAGGTCGCCAACGAGACCTGTCAGGCTGCGGATTGCCGCGTCGTACGTGGACAGCGCCTGCGTCACCTTGGTGTCCGACAGCGGCGTTGCAGGGCTGTGGGAGGCCTCGGCTTGCAGTGCGGCGTGGACGCTTGACATGGTCTCGAGCTGCAGCTTGGCCGACTGCGCCGTGATGTTAAGCGCATCTTTGGTCGCGCCAGGCTCCTCGCTGATGCTCTTGTCGTCTGCAGCGTCGTCGTCGTCGTCGTGGTCCCCGAGCATGGCCGACGCGCCGTTGCCTGGGGCCCTGGAGGCACCGTCACCCTCCGTCCCGGCGTCCAGGAGCTCGTCATCGTCGATGCTGCCTGCTGTGCTGACTCCCGCCGGCATCTTGGCATTCGACAGGCGCCGTCTGGGCGCGTGCGATGGGCTCCTCTGAAAATCGGACAGGCTCGCGCATTCGCTGTGCGAGTCGTGCACGGAGAGAGAGCCGCTCTGGTCCGCCTTGGCCTGCCTGAGAAGCTCGGCGCTCCGGGCGGCCTGTCGCTGCTCCTCCTTGGCCTGGTCCTTGGTCCACTGGATCGAGTTGTTGAGGGCCCAGAACCAGCGCTTGGCCTCCACTTCGTGGTTGGCCTTGAGAGTGTACTTGACGGACGACTTGCCGATAATCTCAAACTTTGTCTTCTCGTCGGCGCTCATGTGGAGCTTGGCAATCTTCATGTTGATGGCGCCTCGACAGGCAGAGCCTGCATCGTCCTGGTGCTTGTAGTAGCTCAAGACTCCGTCCTCGAGTACGAACCATCTCAGCTGATATCCCTTGCGGTAGTTGGTCCACTTCTTCAGGTAGCCCTTGATTTCGCGCGCCTCTCTGCCAGCCGTCAGGTCGCCCGGTCCGGCCGAGGAGGCGCCCTGCGAGGCAGCATGGCCCAGCACGGCCTTTTCCTGGATGCCCCTCTGTGCTGCAACGGCAGCGGGCGACTTCTTGAGCATGGCCTTGACGCCGTCGTCGCTGGTGACGGACTGGGCAAGTTTCCCCTTTCGGTCACGTCGGAAAGGGTCTGCGCCGTGGAGCAGCAAGACTTGAATGAGCTGCGTGTTCTTCTTGCGGGCGGCCTCGTGGAGCAAGGTGCCGCCGGACTGGACGGTGATGGGATCGGAGGCGAACTCTGGACTGTTGATGTCTAGGACCGTCTTGAGGCGCGGCTCCTCCAAGACCAGGGCGAGGGTGTCGTAGTCGTTTTTGGCGATGAGTTCCTGGATCTGCTGCACCTTGGCTTCGGCGAACAAGGAGCGAGACAGCTGGAGGAGCTGGAAGATTTCGGGGTTCCGGGCCAAGTCGATGGGCAGCTTGCCCTGTTGGTTGGCGACGGCGTCGTTGATGCCCTTCTGTTCGAGGAGCAGCTTGACGACGGGGGTGCGGCCGTGGGTGGCGGCGGCGTGCAGCGGGGTGTTTCCGTCCTTGTCTCGGGCGTTGACGTCGATGCTATCGAGCGAGTTGGAGAGGACGTACTCGATGACGGGGAACTCGGCGCACTGGATGGCCAGGTGAAGGATGGTAGTGTCTTCGAGGGGACCGGGGCCGAGGGTGGACATGGATGAGGTGCTGGGGCGGCCGCCAATGTCGGCCGTGTCGCGGATGGCCTTTGAGATGGAGGCAGTGTCGCCGCTGCGCAGCGCCTCGACGACCCTGAACTTGCGCACCGACTGCTCTAGGCTGGCCGTTTTGTCGGGCGACCTGGACACCGGGGGCGGGTTGGGGGTTGTTCTGCTGAGCATGGCCGAGGTTCTCGAGGGCTTGTGGGCGTGGCCGGGCTTCTGCGACGAGACGCTGGTGTTTGAGCCGGCCGAGGCTTTGGGCGCAATGTTTGGGGATGGCGCAGCGGCTCCTCGGCCTTCTTCTGAGCTGGATTCGTCGTCGTGCGTGTCTTTGCGACGAATCAGCGAAAGCGCGGCAGCCGACTTGGACCGCTTGTGCGAGCTGGTGATGGGTAAAGGCAAGCGAGTCAGTCAGCAGGTGTCTCGATGACGGAATGCGCGGAGGGGGGCCTCCTCTCACAGCCTGACGGAACCGAGAGAAGCCATGAGCGAGAAGAAGCGACGTACCTATCGGGAGCGTCCGACATGACGGGCCGCTCGTGCTGGAGGACGCCTACAAGGCTGTCCTTGCCGAGAAACTGCTGTCGACCTCCGCCAAGGGTGCCGAGTCGTCGCGAGACGGGCGCCCGGCTTTGCTAAGGGGGCGACGGCTGGGGGGCGTGCCGACGACTTCCCGGGACGAAGACAGTCGTGACGGCGAGAGAAGCGGACGAGTCGAGGTCGTAAGTGCGCTGTTCAAAGCAGGTAGAGGTGTTTTCAGCCTTGATGCGGTTGGATAAAAGCGGTGATACATGGGGTACGAAGTATATGGCGATGACGATGATGGCCTCTTTGCTTAAGTTCATAAGTACCTGCAACACATGCGCTAGGCGGGGTGGGGTGGCTAAAGAGGGCGTATTCAGCCACAGTTGGCACGACAGACAGTAGGTACCTACGAAGAGACGCTCCTTCTCCCACTTTGTTGGCATCTCTCTCTCCTTGATTTGTTTCTCCTTTGGATGCTTCAACACAAGGGCAACAATTATCACATTAATGCAACGTCCAGCTCATAACCCCTTGTATTCGGGCCCCATATTCTCCATTACGCGTGCATTAACTTATGCGTTCCATCACTTACACCAAGCCTGCTACTCGCTGATACTCCAGAAAGCAGTGGATACGACAATTCTCTACTAACACGGTGCTCACAACAACAAGGAATAACACATGAAATTAATGTCCATCATCGAGAAAAAAACTTTCCTTGAACTTGCACGCAACTTTCAGCTGGTGCATCCGAGAATAGTAGAAATAAAAAATAAAAAAAAGACCGTCAAAGTCATGTAAGCCCATGAGCACAGTCTCGGCCGACGAGGAAATCCCGCCACATCCCCCCACCAACAGAATTGTCACAAAACATCCGCATCATAGGGCAAACAACTGGGCGGCGACCACCGCGACTAAGCCAGTCAGGCCCATGGCCAGGCTGGAAGCACCAGCCGTAACTGGCTCGGCGGGAGCGGCAGAAGGCCGGACGGGGGCCGCAGTGGGCCGGAAGGCAGATGGTGTGAGGCGTCCCGTGGGAACCGACCCTACAGAGGTGCAGTTGAGTCCGGGGCAGCCGTTGCCGGGAGCTTTAGGAACGCTTGGGCCTGTAGGGCAGCCTGGGCCGCTGCATTCTTCGCCAACCTGGGACTTGACAGGGCCTGCAGAGCAGCCAGGTCCGCTGCACTCATGGCCAGGCTTGGGGTTGGCAGGCGAGGGCCTGGGAAGCCGCTCCAGGGTGCTCGACGCGGGCACAACGGGGGTGGCCGTGGATACCCACGAGATGACCTGGGTGACGACCTTTCCGTTGGGGCAGTTGCTGACTTCAGGCGGGCACGAGGTGATAGTATGGATCTTGGTGGCATACAAAGTGCTCGTCACCCTGGGCTGAGAAGTTTCTGTCGGAATTGTCGCACGCACGCTGGTCTCGGTGCTAGCTGGCTTCTCATGGTGGGCTGTGGGGAACACCGGGCAGACAGTGGTGTACAGAGAAACGGTCTCCGTCGTCACTTTACCCCTATGACAGTCGACGACTCCGGGAGCGCACGAAGTGATGGTGTGAATTCTGGTCGCATAGACGGTGCTAGTTGTGAGAGCCACCGACGTCTGCGTAGCAGTTGGCTCGGCGGGCTGAGCCGTCGGAGTCACTGGGCAGACCGTCGTGTACAGTGGGATGGTCTCGGTGACGACGTGGCCGGTGCTGGGGCAGTTAACGACCTCGGGAGGGCATTTGGTGACGGTACGGACCACCGTGGTGTAGACGGTGCTCGTGGTCATAGGCACAGACGAGGCCGAGGTTAGGGTCGAGTTGGACCACCGGAGAGAGTTCGTGACATGCGACGGGATGGACTTGGTAGTGTTCAGAGACGTGCCAGCCGTGCCTGTAGACCAAGACGAAGAGTAGATGGAAGTAGAGGCACTCGTTGTCGAGGTCGAGGTTGGCTCGGGATTGCAGCCATACTTGAGGGCATCCTGGACATGCTGGAGGAAGCCCTTGCCCTCAATAACGTTGGCGGCAGCGCGGTTGAGGTCCCACAGCGAGATACCACCCCAGTTCTTGGTGTCTTTGTACTTGCAGACGAGGTCCTTGACCTCCTTGGGGCCGATGTAGCCATCGCCGGCTTTGGTGGAGCCAGGAAGGCCGACAAACAGCTTTGCGTTTTGGCTCTTGTCGCTCTCGGACACCACCTTGACCCAGTCGTCGAGGTTGAAGCCACTTTTGGAGGCGGCATTGCAGCCCGCATTGTTGTAGAACTGAATGAAGAGAGCGTCAAAGGCGGCCTTTTGAACCATGCCTTGCATCTGGAAATGTGCCGGGTCCGTGGGGCACTGTGGGGCACCAGTGATGAGCATGTTCTTGTCAAGAGCACGGAACTTGTTGATCATGGCAATATAAGGACCATTATCTGGGAGCGGCGAATTAGCTTCACGCGGAAGTACTCTTTCGTGGAGACTGAAGCAAGGGGATACAGGGGCCTTACCAAAATCCTTCTCAATGTCAAAGTCGAAGCCATCAACCGCCACGTGCTCGTCGGGGCGGTCGAAAGGACGCGGCCCGGTATAGCCCTGGCGATAGGGGCCAAAAGCATTGTACAAGAAGTCTGCAAAATACTCCCCGTTGGCGTCCGTGGTGACCTCGTAGTCGTTGGACAGGTACCCGGAACCCTTGGGCTTCCCGTAGTCGCCACCGATGCTGAGGAGGACCTTGACACCCTTGGACTGGCAGTAGGGAATGTCCGTTTTCAGACTTTGGCAGTTTCTGTAGAGTTGAGAAGCGCGGCCGCTGTCGCTCTCGAAAGTCTCGGCCCAGCAGTGGGAGGAAAAGTTGATTCCGGGATAGCCAGCGCCGGACCTGTCCTTCTCGGGAGACATATTGACAAAAGCCAGCGTGGCATACTGGACTCCACTGTCACAGTAGTCCCTGAGCTCGGGGCCGGCAGTTTGACCCTGGGGGATCAACGGTTAGCACATGTGTATTGTTTCCATACAAAGACATGACGAACCCAGTAACCATTAAGGGCACCATAGGCGCCGGTGGCACCAGCGAGCGCGAGAGACATATTAGCGATGTGTTGCGAGTTTGGAAAGGGGGGTAAAGAGTGAAAGTCGGCCGAAGCCAAATTGAATAAAGAGCGTGGCGATGAGAGGTCTCAACGAGAGGACGCAAACAAAGGTGTCTGCAGGCGGACAAGAGGGTTGATAGAAGAAAGGGGGAAAGAGTTGCGCGAGGAAGAGCAGAGGCGTCGACTTTTGATGGCAGCCTCATTTTCGGCCTCGTGGTGAGCCATGGCCGATCAAAGGACCCATCTCCGAGTTGCTGCAGGGCGGTGGGCGAGAAGGTCGAGCGGCCCAGGATAGGATGGCTACACCGTGGGCTGAGGCTCAGGAACAGGCATAGCGCGGTGCTGGTGAATGCGAATCAGCAGCCGGCCTTGAGTGTCGTCAGCCCGTTTGGGCAATCAAGGCCGTGGTAGCAGTGCATGCTTGCTCGAGCCAACATGCCTCCGCGGCTGCATCGACTCAAAAGGCCTCTTCCCCATTGCTATACTGCAGGCCTTTTAATGTCAGACTCGGCCAGGGCCCCGTCAGAGGTAGCAGCCTGGATGCCCGTTGTGGCTCTCACCCGCTTCCAGGGCAATAGTCTTGAATCGGCGGCAGTCGGTGACTGTGGCGCCGGGTCGAGACTGTCATGATGCCAGGTCTATGGATAGAATCATCTTTTGTCCGAGGGCATGGCGTTTTCCGTCATGATCGGGTTCACGGGCGATGGTAAAAGGAGAGGTGGCAGATTTGTGTGGCAGGGATCTGTTTATCATCGAGGAGGTTGCAGGCAGCAGCGGCGACATCGCCCGGTTGCAGCTCGCTCTAATTAGTTAACTTACCCCACACATGCATGCGAAATTGCGTTAACTATTGGTGGCAAACATTAGGGCTGATGGGAGTTGGCGTGATTGAGCCGCATTGAGTTTTTGCAGCTTGTCTCCGACGGCCGAGGGACTAGCCCAGTTACTTTCTTTCTTCTCGGCCTCTGGCGGAAGGTGCTTTGCTGACTGCGCAGGCAGATGATGACGCTGCCTTCCCAAGTAACCACATCTTTCTTCCTCCTTCCTTGGCTGACAAACAGGCTCTTCCTTCCGAAACAAGATCCGCCCCCTACCGCTCCTTCCTATTCCGCCAGGCGTGGAAATTACACATTGTCGCAATGGAGCCATTCATGATAGTGCTACCGAGGCAGCATGCCACCTCGAGGCCAGCGTTTGCTCCACTGTAGTATTCCAGGCTTCTTAAGCTAGTATAAAAGTGAGACTATTTATAAAGCATGAAAGTCACATGATTGCTCCCTCAGGCAGCCTCTGTCACCTTCCCTAAAGGGGTCTAGACGGTGTCATCAACGAAGAATAAGGTACGGAGGAAGCTTTCAAAAGTCGTATCCCGCGCTAAAGCAGCCCCTGTAAAGAAAAAGGAAGACAGAGAACCGCCTATGTCTAGAACATAAGAAAGATCTCCTAGAATAATTATTTAAAAAGATAAAGTAAGCTAAAAAAAAAAAGGTACCGTATAAGGATATATAAGCCTAAATAGATCGAATTCCTCGGTATATATAGTTTTTATTTTATTTTAAATTAAAAGGCGGAAATCAGTATTAAGAGAGAAGGAGAGAGAGTATATAGTAATAGAAATTCGGTACGCTCTTTCTTTTTCTTACAGGGGTTGCTTTAGCGCGGGATACGACTTTTGAAAGCTTCCTCCGTAGTGACCGTGCTATTCCTGAAGACATAAAGATATTCCATGCAGAGGTTAGACCCTGGCTTTTGGGAGGCAGTGGATAGGTCTCGTTGCCGCAAGAGGGGAGACTTTCGAAGACCGAATCCCTAGGGCTCCGATGAGCTTCATGATTCAGCCGACTTTCTTAAATCCGTCAGGGAACTGTATAAAGATAGTTTCGTCAAGGGTGACAACCGTGAAGGCGCTAGTGGCGTCGAGTTGCCTAACCTCCAGGTCAAATTTGACGGTGATAGCCATCGGTACTCGAAAGGCCTTTCCGGTGAGAGTCGCAGCGCAAGGCTCTTTTCGTTATACAGCCGAAGATGGCCTCGAACGCATAACCTAGCTTTGAACTTTGTGAGAAAGCCATGCTTATCAGACTTATAGTTAAATCCTCAGGTTGAAGGGGGTCTAATTATAGCCTCGTCTTTAAGTATTCTTTTTCCTTCTTCTAACGTACCTGTCAGAGCAGAGAATGGACTTATAATGCGCGTTAATAATATCTACACTAGGGGTGTCTCTATCTTGCCTGGTGTAGCGGTATTTTACCAGCTTGACAGTACCTATAGTCTCCTTTTTCATCTTGCCACCTTTATTCTATATATCGGAATTTTTGTAAAGAGACAGACTAGATGACAGACTAGATATCCCCTAGCGCTGGCAAAAACAATTAGGCGCTACAGTTATTAGGGCTTTAATCATTAAACGCGGTTTCTTAATGTTATAGCCTGCTAACCACCGCGCTATTAAACAGTCACTTGCACCGCATTTGTCGGAGTGTTCACTTCACTTCTGTCGGTCGCATGGCTGAGTGGAACATTTAGCTTTATTACTGAGCTTGTCTGATAGTAAGTTACCTGGTTCCTAATCCGTGGAGCTACGCTGCCACAACTCGCTTATGCCCGGCGGTATGGGGCACCACAGAAAATGGTGCAGATCTTGCAATCGACCTGACTCGGTTTGTAATCGGTATTGACCTGAGTGATAGGGACCTGCTTGCCCGGAGCTGCTCTGTGCTTCGGCTTGGGCCTAGCGTGCTTCCGAGAAGTCTGATATGGCCTACGTCTTGTGGCCTCAGACTCCTCAGCCATATCAGACTCAGCTGTTCGTCGGTAGTTCACATCCGGCTCGACGTTCTGTCCGTTCCGACAATAGAGCGCGCATGCCGCACACCCTTTCCCAGGTCCAACACTGCTGATTGCTCCCAAGCCCCCTCGAAGGCTACACCCTTCGTCGCCGTTCAGACTGGCATAACAAAAGCAGCCTTTCTTCAGCCAGGGCGGTCTGGGTCCTGCAGGCGGTTCTGGTCCCGCACAGGCAGAGACTACCCTTGGTTTTGTAAAACAGGTCACACTGGCCGTACACCTGAGGATTACAACCCTTAACCCACCCTCTCACCAAAGTGACGCCAACGCACAAGAGAACGAGCAAAGAATTGACAAGACGTGTCATTCTTCTGGGCTGCTCCTTTAATTTCTAACCTAGATCGTTATGTCAGTTTAACTGGATGGTTCTGTTTTGCTGAAAAATGCAGGTACATTGATCAAACGGAGCGGGAGAGGTAGTGTGTATTAGGGCTTCCACGGAATAAGAAGGTAATTGATTGAGCGAACAAGGTGTGATTGTTCTTGGTGATAAATGGCCTTGACGGCGAAGCAGCCGAGGTTTATATAGACATTTCTAACGGAATGATATCCAGATACGATACGAGTGGTATGTAAAAGCGGCTGGAGTCGGGCATTCTAAGGACATATTCGCCTAATTCGTATATCGCTTGTTTCTTGTTAGGATCGCAGTTAGAAGTGTGATGCTTTCTATAGTACGTTCTTGTCAGCAGGACGAAGACTTATAAACTATACCAATATCACCTCCATTGGGGGTGCTTCTATTTTGCTGGTGGTCAAGTGGTATTTGCTATGCTTGACAGTTCTTGTTTTACCTTGGGTTCGGAGTAGTATAGGGAGTTTAGCTTCTAATATTTCGAGACCGGTTATCCCGATAAGTATTAAAGAAATATATTTAAACGGCCTTTTATTCTCCTTCTACCAATCTTGTCTATAGTCTGGAACACGCTGTTGTCCCCGCCGGGTATGGTGGCATCCCAGATCCGGTAAGGCGCCCTCTCCCGTACCACGCGCCTTATAAATAGATCGACCTCCGTCCTCCTCTTCGACTTATACTCTAGACTTCTTTTCTCCCTTTTTCTCTCCTATAACCTCTATCATCGTTGGCCGCCATCCCTTGCTAGGCACCCCGTCTTCGTGCATTGCTGCCTATAGCTAATCCTACTTTTACGACCTCGTTATCTCGCTCGTGTTATAGCGTCCGTCCCGCGAGCGCTCCTTATAACGCATCTCTATACGTATTCGTCTATGCCTCTGCTTAAATGCCCCTTTATGCCTAAGCTCGCCCCTTTCTTATAAGGGAATAGTGTCGAATAGTTGCTAACTAGCTTACTTTAGACTATTTTATAAGCTTAGAATCGATCTCCTATCGTTCCCTCTAATCCCTCTATTTAATTAGAATATCTATTTACTCGCCTATTCCTTTGAAAGAGCGCAACCGTTATCGGTAATTGTCCTCGGCGTGGTGGTTTAGAGCAACGCGATAGCTTATTAGCTAATGGCAAAAATGCCGCATTCGTCGGATCCTACCGATAGTCGACCTAGGGGCCTCCGCAACGCGTCAACGACTAGTAACGGCGACGCCTTAATAAGCCGATATTGCCTTATAAGCGAGCGCACTAAGGTAATATATCACTAAAAATACGGGGCGAGAACTTTTAAATCGACGATCGCGACTCGGCGTTGCCTTGGCCTGGCGCTTCCCGGCGGCCTACGTCGTTAGCCATGTCGTGATTGCGACTAACCCTAGTGGTCTTTTACGGAGACCTATATCGATTAAGCGGATGTTTAGCTCGGTCCTAAACTAGAAGCTAAGATAGGGTCGCATCGGAAGATTAACTCTAACGACGCTTACGAGTGGATTCTAGACTCCTTTACCTAGGAGCAACAACGAGTACGACGGGATAATTAGGGGGACTATAATCCCACGACACGGCGTAGAGAGCTAAACGTATAGAGCGCTAGGCGGACTACGGAGACGCCGGAGATAGCACTTTTGTTAATAGGCTGGCTCGTTCTACGGCGATATTTCTTAGACGAGAAGTACGTCCGGATTTTATTACGTTATATACGGCTCGGCGTTAGAATAATTAGCGGTAAGCTAGACGAGAGCGGAGAAGGCTAACTTAAGGGGAGTCTAGACTTAGTTCTTAAGAATCGTATCTTTAGGC